GCAAACAAAGGAGAGAGTGAACATGTCTGTCAATGTAAATAAAAAATGCAAAGTCTCTATTTGACAAAGGAAGTCCAAAGGAGGAGCGCGTGTACAGTCTGCTCTCGCAACTCGGGTTGGTTCAGCTCTTCGTTGAGTGGCCGGTGCACGGCCTACAACTTCCGGGGTTCAAGCAAACTGTCAAGTGGATTCCGATTCCTGACCTAGTTGCTGGAGATAAATCAAATTGAGCACAGGCACTAGGTGGCGCCAGCCTGGCTGCCGTTACCCTCCTGCCCACTTAGTTTTACCCACAGATCTCAGCTAGTTCAACATCTGTCTGAGAAGTGGGTCAAATCCGTCATCCACATCCAATACAATTTCATGTCACTTCAAAATGGTTGTATTGTATTAAGAGTTGTCAAAAGTATCGACAATCTGATACAAAATTAATATTAAAACTACTATTTAAATTAGATACTCATTTGAGCAGGTATCAATACTAAAAAGTCACATTCACAGGACAGAAATGAACCTTTCCTGAAGCTTTAGAATAATCTTGAGCTGTATCAGAACAAGCAAGAACTATGATTTAATGTTGAAAATCCCATTATATTGTCTAAATAAAGAGTGTTTTTGTTGTCATCGTGGTATCGGAAGCAGTACCGAGCCTGTTCCTTAGCATCAAGTTACAATAGCTGCACAAAATCATTATATATTTAGACAATAAATTCCACATTCTTGCATTACAGTATTATTATTTAGCATTTTTCATGTGTGTGTGTCGACAACTGTGAAAGAACGCAAAGGATCATGGTCAATGTAGTTCTACTCAACAAAACTTAGCATTTTAGACTTACACTGTAGGTTTTTTAAAGTCTTGATTTTACAAAATGGCTGTTTTTATCCTTTCTAGCTTAAATCTTTCCATTGCACCAAATCTTAAAGGTCATATATATGTATATTTAGGTACGTAACAATAACCGAAATATCGTGATATCGTCAAAGTTCTGACAATAATATCGTGGACCATCACAATAAATCGAATCTCAAGTCTCTTTGTTTAAATTAAGAGTTATGGTGCAGCAATAGTTAAAAAAAAGATCCTTTGCTCCATTTCAGTGCAGACTACAAGCAGGAATAACAGTTCTAAGCACTTCTAAGTCTTAGTTCTTTGGATTAAGTCTTGTCAAAGCATTTTAAGAGGAAAAAAAATGCATATTAACCCTTTTGTTTACCTCTACAAAATATAGCAATAAATATCGTACCGTGAAATGTATATGGTGAAAATATCGTAACGAGAGATTTGGATATTGTTGTTATCGTTATGCCTAGATATATTACATAAAACTCTTGACTCTTGTGAGCTTTAAGTGATGTTAAAGTGTTGTTAAATCAAAAATAGACCTGGAGTTGTGTTTGAGTAATCAGTTATTATTAGTCTGTCCACATCTCTAAAACTCAAAATACTCTGTTCCACCTTGTTCCACCCTAAATTTGCAGGTTTGTGTGTTAAACATGAGTGAATAAAACAAAACAAAACACAACTCCAGGTCTGTTTGTGATGAGGAAACAATATTATAACAGAGATCAGGCCCTTTAACCAAAACTAGCGCCCGTCTTCTCGTTATGAACCGTGCTATTCTTGGTAGCATTTGCTGGGAGCGTCTCTTTTGTCTGGTGGAGCCGAGTGTGATCAGAGCAGAGATAAATTCAGCTCTGCCCCACTGCCCCACATCCAAATAACACTCCATTGTATCGACCGCATCTGATACAAACTCTGCAAAAACTATCGTGTGAAGAGCTGACTGTACATAATAACAAAGCTGAAATGTTACACCGCAATCGCAGTAATCAAATCAAATCAGTTCCGGTTTAGACCTTAGACTGTATAAATTTGTCTGGGTTTAAACTAAGGTGAGTCCTGGTTTAGATTTATGGTTACAGGTTTAGATCAGATTTAGATTTAGATAGCCTTGGGTTAGTCCTGGTTTCTGCTTGAATTAGTCCAGGTTTTAGTCCAGGTTTTGGGTTTGATTTGGCTTAGGGCTACCTAGTGCCTCAACTCAATTTCACTTCTCTCCAGCGACAAGGTCAGGAATCAGAATACACTAGACGGTTTGCAAAAACCCTGGAAGTACGAGTTCGGGCACCAGACAGTCAGTGAAGAGCCATATATTCTGTGTTGGCAACAATTCCCGAGATCAAGGATTTAAAGCCGGAATAAAGAGAACGTTTGGTGAATTTTATCAAGGGGAAAGTCGTTATTGTCCTTCTTCCTACAAGATTTGGGAAAAGCTTAATATACCAGTTAGCCCCATTAGCGGCGCATTACATACGTCACAACCAAATAGCAGCGATTGTTAAATAAAAAAGTGCCCGCCTACCGTCTAGCGAACGAATCCTAATGCTGCGAGGTCAGACGGTTTCCACAAAGTGAAACCGGTTGATGAATCAGGCTAGTTTAGAGCTGCTTGATTATGGAAAAAAATCATTATCACGATTATTCTGGTCAATATTGAAATCACGATTATTCAAACGATTCTTTTTTTTTTTTTAGCATTTCTCACTCAAAAAAATACTTTGTTATTGATAATTTAAGCAAAACTTCCAAATTGAAAATAAATACAGACTACAGATATGAACCTTAGAGCAGTTTTGGATTGTTTAAAATGAGTAAAATATACTTTGAACATGAAATAAGGCATAGAAAAACATAAATGTATCCAAAATAAACTATATATCCAGCTGTTCTACAATCTCTATACTTAAAAAATAAAATAAATATACCTAATTATATAAAAAATATCCTAAAATAAACTTTGTTACTCTTAAAATCATTTCAACTCGATTATGGTATATGAGTTTGGAGATCGTTTTGACACACAAATTGAAATCACGATTAAAATGTTATTAATTGCACAGCCTTAATTTGGCTTAATTATGAAAAAAAACATGCATAGCTATGATTTTAGTACATACACTTTACACTTTACACTTTACTTGCTGTTGAAATGTAAAAATATAGGCTTTCTTTAGTCCTGGTTTAGACTTAGACTAGTCCCAGTTTCTAATCACCAGTCCCGGCTTAGACCTGGATTTGCAGCTTAGCTCAAATTTGGATCTAATTTAACACTGATCTCTCCATAAATGCTTTCAGTGTTTGTATTTTGTGGTTTGTTTGGGTGTCGTGTCTCCGCCTGGTACCGTTAGCTCCAGTGTTTGTGTGATAAAGACCAAAGCCGCGTTCATGATCAACAAGAAAGAACCGAAAGAAGTTAAACTGACAACATTTTACTGTGTACTCGCTCTCAATAAACCAGTGTGAAGAGGAGCATGAGAACAGACACAGGCTGTACAACCTAAAACCTAAAAACCAAGACGTACAGAGATAGAGAGACGATACTGTTTGAACTTTACCAAAACAAAACTTCTGTAGATTAATATTTTGCTGAATGGGACTTCATTGTTATCTGTAATTTAGGAAAGGGAGGTTGCATTCTGATAACTGGACAAAGTCTTTAGAGCGAGTACTGTGTGTTCTGGCTACTAGTTTTACACTTTTAAACCTCAATTGACACAATATAAATCTTTTATATTGTTGTTGCCTGTTTTTTACTCTTGACCACGAGTTTGCAATAAAGATCTCTATCAGTCTAACTATTTAACCTTCATTTGCTGTGGGCTCTGTCTGGATGACCTCTAGCTGTAATAAAAATAGTGATTCTTCTGTGAATTTTCTCCAGTGTTATCAGGGAGTATTGCACAGTTACAATCTGTTTTTTGTCTGGTTTACAGCGAGAGAGAGAGAGAGCGTGATAAAGCGATTCTCCGTCTATAGACAGCACATACTGCAGCAGCACGGGCACTGATTAATGATTGGCACTGAAACTGGCATCCAGAATGCGTGACTCCACAGTGTGGCTTTCGTCACCAAATTACAACATAAACAACTTGGCCACATCATGCCCAGTGTTTGTGTAATGAAGAATAAATCAGCATTACAATTATTAAAAGTATAAGTTATGTTTGATTTGAACATGTTTACCTTTTGTCTGGGGATGCAGTCTGGTCATGTTTATGTAACTTCAAATCAAAACCTTACTTTGTAGTACTTTTAACCTCAACGTTTCAAGCAAATTAAGGTTAAGGTTCACTTTTCTGCAGTGTCGCTGGGGCATCTCCTCAGGTGCAGTGGGATCCATCTCCATGGTCTAGTTGCTAAGTTTGGTCAGGACTGTCGTAGTTGGAGGTTTTGACCAGTGGTACGTGTTTTGGGTTGATGAGGGAAAATGGAGAGCCAGGAGGAAACATACCCAGACACATGAAGAAGAACATGCAAACAGAAAGGCACCTGGAACCTTCTTACTGTGAAGCCATTAGAACAGGGGTCATCAAACTAAGGCCCGCGTACCGACTGCAGCCCGCCACGCCCCGTTGACCGCTCCCCAGCCCCTCTGCCTGGCCCTACAAGGCAATCCTCAAAAGTTGTCATGGCCTTTCTTTTAAAACTACTTTTTGGCTAATAATAACATGTCGGCATCTTCTATTTTGTAGATTTTTTTGTCCAATTTAAAAACAGATATTTATATGAAGGGTTTATATTTTAATAATTTACATTTGCCGCCAAATTTTCATCACCTGACAAACTCGAGATCAAACAGTTGACAGTCAATGCACGCGCAGAGTTCTGTAGTGCAGTTAAGGACAACAAAATGTCTGGTGTTAAAGTACGAAAAGTTAACAGAAAGTGCAGAGTTTTCAAAGAACAGTGGACGACCAATTATTTTGTTATTCAGTGTAAGGACCGTGGAGTTTTTCTGATATGTAAAGAAAGTGTGGCAGTTTTCAAAGAATATAATCTGCGTCGTCAGGGTTGTACAATTCTGTGGTTAGGGCTGACTCGACCCGGCCTCCATCACAGTCAGTAGAGATAATGTGGCCCCCAGAGAAAAAAAGTTTATTGACCCCCGCATTAGAATAACCCTCCTCTCTCTCTCTCTCTCTGTGTCGTGTCTCAGGGCTGCGTGTGGATCAGGAGCTGGTGACTTCGTACCCTCAGGTGGTGATGGTGCGGGTGCCCACGCCCTGGGTGCAGTCGGACAGTGACATCACCGTCCTGCGGCACCTGGAGAAGATGGGCTGTCGTCTCATCAACAGACCTCAGGCCATCCTCAACTGCGTCAACAAGTTCTGGACCTTCCAAGAGCTGGCGGGACACGGGGTGCCCCTGCCCGACACCTACTCGTACGGTAAGAAAACTACTTCATGTTTACTACAAGGCGTGCTTAGGACTGGATCTACTAAAGCTTTATGTTTTTTAGATTGGACAGTCTGTAGATGTTCATTATTTTATTTTATTGCTGTTTTGATTAAAGATTAAATGGGTTTGGTGGACGAGGAAAGTGACATTTCAACTAGTTTTGTCCTGGTCTAGTCTTGGTTTAATTTAAAGTGATTTAGCTCAGATTTACACTTGATTTAGTTTATAGTTTAACCCTGGTTCAGTCCTGGTTCAGTCCTGGTTTAGACCTGTTTTAATCCTTGTTTAGTCCTGGTGTTGCACATGGTTCAGCTCTGGTTTAGTCCTGGTTTAGTCCTGGTGTTGTTCATGGTTCAGCTCTGTTTTAGTCCTGGTTTCGCCCAGATTTACACCTAATTCAGTTCATAGTTAAGCCCTGGTTGACCCCTGGTTTATTTCTGGTTAGGTCCATAGTTTAGTCCTGGTGTAGTTCCTGATTTCGTCCTGATTTAGCCCCCATTTAGACCTAATTTAGTTCATAGTTAAGTGTTTAGTGGATTGTCTCTTGATTTACTTCTGTTATTACTTAGGCCCAGTTTAGTCCCTGGTTTAGTTCTATTTTAGTCCTGCTTTAGTCCTGATTTAACCCTGATTTTAGTCCATAGTTCATAGTTTTTCCCCGGTTTAGTCTCCTTTTCGATTTAGTTAATAGTTTAGTGTTGGACTAGTTTGTGATTTGCCTCTGATTTTCTTGTTGTTTAGGCTCAGTTTAGTCCTGGTTTAATCCTAGTTTAGTCCTGGTTTAGATTTGGCTTAGTTCTGGTTTAGATTTGGTTTAGTCCTGGTTTAGGCCTGGTTTAGTTGTGATTTAGTTTTGGCTTAGTCCTGCTTTAGTCCTGGTTTAGTCCTAGTTAAATGCTGCTTTAGACCTGGTTTAGTTCGGGTTTAGTCCTGGTTTAGTCATGGTTTAGTCCTAGTTTAGTTCTCTTTTAGATCTGGTTTAGTTCTAGTTTAATCCTAGTTTAGTTCTCCTTTAGTTCTGGTTTAGTCCTTGTTTAGTCCTGGTTTAGTCCTGATTCAGTCCTGGTTCAGTTCTGGTTTAGATCTGGTTTATACCTGCTTTAGTCCTGGTTTAGTCCTAGTTTAGTCCTGGTTCAGTCCTGTTTCAGTCCTGGTTCAGTTCTGGTTTAGATCTGGTTCAGTCCTGGTTTAGATCTGGTTCAGTCCTGGTTCAGTCCTGGTTTAGATCTGGTTTAGTCCCGGTTTAGTCCTGGTTTAGTCCTGATTCAGTCCTGGTTCAGTTCTGGTTTAGATCTGGTTTATACCTGCTTTAGTCCTGGTTTAGTCCTAGTTTAGTCCTGGTTTAGTCCTGGTTTAATCCCGATTCAGTCCTGTTTCAGTCCTGCTTTAGTCCTGGTTCAGTCCTGTTTCAGTCCTGGTTCAGTTCTGGTTTAGATCTGGTTCAGTCCTGGTTAAGTCCTGGTTTAGATCTGGTTCAGTCCTGTTTCAGTCCTGGTTCAGTTCTGGTTTAGATCTGGTTCAGTCCTGGTTTCTGGTTATCTGGTTCAGTCCTGGTTTCTGGTTCAGTCCTGGTTTAGATCTGGTTCAGTCCTGGTTCAGTCCTGGTTTAGATCTGGTTTAGTCCATAATTCTCCCTGGTTTCTCCTTTCCCCTCTATTTTATCTGTTATTTTACACTTGGCGTTTGGTCCAGTCCTCGGTCAGTCTCTCCGTCTCTCGCGCTCAGATGAAAACGGTGTGATCCCGGAGGAAGAGGAGGAGGAAGAGGAGGAGGAAGAGGAGGAGGAGGGAGGGATAGAGAGAGAAAGAGGAGGGGGAGGGAGGAAGAGAAGGGGGATGTTTGGCCTAGATTCCTGCTGGAGCTCTTTACTGGGTCACACAGGGAGCTTATGTAACCGGCTACCTCCCGTTGCCTCGGATTTTTCTCGGTAAAAGATGGCATTCCCACATGGGGGGTTTGACGCAGAGGTGGAGGATGGATCCTGGTCGAGTTCTGTTCCTGTAGATCTATACGTAAAGTCATTTTTTTATTTTTTATTTTGTATAAATGAAGTTAAACTAAGCAACATGTGTATGGCAGAAAGGAATTTGAGGTTTGGCGTTTTGACCTTGAGAGAGCAAGAACGCAAGACGCAGCTTTTTGTTTTGTTTTTTCCATTTTAAAGCTTCACTGCGGAAATTTTTGGTTCCACAGTGTGACATTAAACAGATCTACCTCATATTTATTAAATTACAGCTCAAAAATACCTATAAAAAACAGACATTATGACAGTGAGTCTTGGTTTAGTCCTGGTTTACTTCTGGTTTAGTCCTAGTTTAGACCTGGTTTAGTTCTGGTTTGGCCCCTGTTTAGACCTGGTTCAGTCTTGGTTTGGTTCTAGTTTTGACCTGATTTAGTCCTGGTTTAGTCTTGATTCAGACCTGGTTCAGTCTTGGTTTAGTCCTGTTTTAGTCCCAGTTTAGTCCTTGTTCAATCCTGGTTCAGTCCTGATTTAGTCTTGCTTTAGTCCTGCTTTAGTCCTGTTTTAGTCCTGGTTTAGTTCTAGTTTAGACCTGGTTCAGTCTTGGTTTGGTTCTAGTTTTGACCTGATTTAGTCCTGGTTTAGTCTTGATTCAGACCTGGTTCAGTCTTGGTTTAGTCCTGGTTTAGTCCTGTTTTAGTCCCAGTTTATTCCTTGTTCAATCCTGGTTCAGTCCTGATTTAGTCCTGCTTTAGTCCTGTTTTAGTCCTGGTTTAGTTCTAGTTTAGACCTGGTTTAGTGCTGGTTTAGTGTTAGTTTAGTCCTGTTTAATCCAAGCGTAGTCCTGGTTTAGTTCTGGTTTTGTCCTAGTTTAAACCTGGTTCAGTCTTGGTTTAGTCCTGATTTAGTCCTAGTTTAGACCTGGTTCAGTCTTGGTTTAGTCCTAGTTTAGTCCTGGTTTAATTCAGTTTTAGTCCTAGTTTTGACCTGGTTTAGTGCTGTTTTAGTTCTGGTTTAGTCCTGTTTTAATTCAGGTTTAGTCCTAGTTTTGACCTGGTTTAGTCCTAGTTTAGTCCTGGTTTATTCCTGGTTTAGTCCTGATTTAGACCTGGTTTAGTCCTAGTTGAGTCCAAGTCTAGACCTGGTTTAGTCTTGGGTTAGTCCTAGTTTAGTCCTGGTTTAGTCCTGGTTTATTCCTGGTTTAGTCCTGATTTAGTCCTAGTTGAGTCCAAGTTTAGACCTGGTTTAGTCTTGGTTTAGTCCTGGTTTAGACCTAGTTTAGTCCTGGTTTAGTCCTGGTTTAGCACATTATCTTCTTGTAAAATCTCCATTTACTCTTGATAATATTACACATAATCACAGATTCAAACATAGACGTTATATGATTTTATTTTTCTCACAATTTTAAAACATAAATTGTCCCAGTGTGGAGGAAAACCTATGAGACTTTAATTGACAGATTGAGGAAAAGGCATAAGTGAAGGGAACACCGCCAGTAACGCTGCATTTTTCAGCACCTTTTTTTTTTTTTTTTTTAATCTGCAGCTGATCCCAAGCTGAAAAAACGTGGCACAGCTGTTGCTCCCACAGACGAGCGCTCAGAGAAAACCAGATATGAATTCCTCTGTAGTCATGGTCTGGTCTAATTGTAGTCTAGTTTTAAAGTTCTAGTTTTATCTCTGGGTTTAATCTTGCCTTCTGGTCCTTATTTTAATGTATCATATTCATAGTACAGCTGTGGGGTAATTAATCTTGGTTTAGTCTCGGTTTAGTCACGGTTTAGTCCCAGTTTAGTCACGGTTTAGTCCCAGTTTAGATTGGTATGTACCAATCCAGCTTTTCTGTTCAGTTCAGTTCTTTAATTATATTAACCGATACCAGAGCAGAGACAGAAACCAGCATTTATTACCTTAAAATGAAAATAAAATAAGACAAAATTTATCCAAATGTTTTATGTAGCTGTAATTTTTATCTCTCAAGTAACAACAGAACACACACAGAACAAGTTTAAACATTTTGGAAAACGATATTCGATCCAGCAAATTTGATACCAGTATCGGATCAGGGCTGCCCTAGTTTAGACCTGGTTGAGACCTGTTTGAGACCTGTGCTTAGTCTTGGTTCAGGCCTGGTTTAAACCTTCCTTAGTCCTGGTTTAGACCTGTCCTTAGACCTGGCCTTAGTCCTGGTTTAGACTTGTTCTTAGTCCTGGTTTAGACTTGTCCCTAGTCCTAGTTTAGACCTAACCTTAGTCCTGGTTCACGCCTGATTTAGACCTTCCTTAGTCCTGGTTTAGTTCTGGTTTAGACTTGGTTTAGACCTGTCCTTAATTCAGGTTTAGTCATGGCTTAGACTTGTTCATAGTCCTGGTTTAGATTTGTCCTTAGTCCGGGTTTAGACCTGCCTCTAGTCCTGGTTTAGACCTATCCTTAGTCCTGGTTCATGCCTGGTTTAGACCTTCCTTAATCCTTGTTTAGTCCTGGTTTAGACCTGGTTTAGATCTGTCCTTAGAGCTATCCTTAATTCAGGTTTAGTCCTGGGTTAGACTTGTTCATAGTCCTGGTTTAGACCTGACCCTAGTCCTGGTTTAGACCTGGTTTAGACCTGTCCTTAGTCCTGGTTTAGTCCTGGTTCAGTCCTGTGCTTAGACATGGTTTAGACCTGTCCTTAGTCCTGGTTTAGACCTGGTTTAGACCTGTCCTTAGTCCTGGTTTAGTCCTGGTTTAGACCTGGTTTAGTCCTGGTTTAGACCTGGTTTAGACCTGTCCTTAGTCCTGGTTTAGTCCTGGTTTAGACCTGGTTTAGACCTGTCCTTAGTCCTGGTTTAGTCTGGTTTAGACCTGGTTTAGACCTGTCCTTAGTCCTGGTTTAGACCTGGTTTAGTCCTGGTTTAGACCTGGTTTAGACCTGTCCTTAGTCCTGGTTTAGTCCTGGTTTAGACCTGGTTTAGACCTGTCCTTAGTCCTGGTTTAGTCCTGGTTTAGGCCTGTGCTTAGACATGGTTTAGTCCTGGTTTAGGCCTGTGTTTAGACATGGTTTAGTCCTGTGCTTAGACATGGTTTAGTCCTGGTTTAGGCCTGTGTTTAGACATGGTTTAGTCCTGGTTAGACATGGTTTAGTCCTGGTTTAGTCCTGGTTTAGGCCTGTGCTTAGACATGGTTTAGTCCTGGTTTAGGCCTGTGTTTAGACATGGTTTAGTCCTGTGCTTAGACATGGTTTAGTCCTGGTTTAGACCTGGTTTAGTCCTGGTTTAGACCTGGTTTAGACCTGGTCCTTAGTCCTGGTTTAGTCTGGTTTAGTCCTGGTTTAGACCTGGTTTAGACCTGTCCTTAGTCCTGGTTTAGACCTGGTTTAGTCCTGGTTTAGACCTGTTTAGACCTGTCCTTAGTCCTGTTTTAGTCTGGTTTAGCCTGGTTTAGACCTGGTTTAGACCTGTCCTTAGTCCTGGTTTAGTCCTGGTTTAGACCTGGTTTAGACCTGTCCTTAGTCCTGGTTTAGTCCTGGTTTAGGCCTGTGCTTAGACATGGTTTAGTCCTGGTTAACATGTTTAGTCCTGGTTTAGTCCTGGTTTAGACCTGGTTTAGACCTGTCCTTAGTCCTGTTTTAGTCCTGGTTTAGTCCTGCGCTTAGACATGGTTTAGTCCTGGTTTAGTCCTGGTTTAGTCCTGTCCTGGTCTGTGGTTTTGTTCATCTCGGTTTTCTCCCCTCTCCCAAATCTTACTGCTCTCAGGCTCAGCTCAGACATCAATAGTGTCTCATTCAAAAAGGAAATCAATGAAGTTCGACTCAGTGAACTCATGAACTTTACCTGTTTAAAAACATAAAACCGTTTCATTTACAATGTTTAGGTGATTTTTCATACCGTCTTTCCGATGATTTATATCCTGGTCAAAGTCTTGATCAAATATAAAAATACCAACTGTAAAATGTTACCGTACTAAACCAGTGTTGTAGCCAAAACAACATACGGCAGAGGTTAGTTAAAATTATGGATGGTCTGATTTTTATTTTTTTTTATTTTACTTTTTTATTACAATACCGATATCCAGTATTTGTTTTGTATTTTTTTGTTACCAATATTTAGTGGACGCACAGGAAATCAGCTGGAAAGTCCTTCTGAATTGTACCCGTGCGTGAGTTAATCTATATACATAAAAAAAACTAATTTAAAAAGAAAAAAAAAATCATTATAAATCGCTGGTGAGTAGAAGTGAGTGCCACATCTATTTAAGGATTTTATCTTACATATTTAAATGAAATACATAGTTAAGACCTCTCTAAAAGTGACTGAATGATTTTTGAAGAAATTCTATATCTTACAAATTATGTTCATGCCAAGCAGGTAAGAAAATTAATTCATATTTCTTCCCAGATCAACAGTTTCAGATGCTTTAGGACATGGGAAACAAGAAAAAAATATTTAAAATACGATTTCATAGTAAACTTCTGTGAGCAAATGAGGATTATATTGATATTACAGACTGAAAAAACACGTGCTGCTTCGGGAAAATCTGTAAAATGACATAAACAAGGCCCGACATTTGGTCTCGCTACATTCACATTTCATTTTATTCTGATATAGAATATTGTAGTCTAGTTTTAAGTTCTTGTTTTATCTTTGGGTTTAATTTTCCCTTCTGGTCCTTATTTTAATTTGTCATGGTTCATAGTACAGCAGCTCTGGGGTAATTAGGCCTGGTTTAGTCTCGGTTTAGTCCCGGTTTAGACTAGAGATGCACCAATCCATCTTGTTCAGTTTATTAGCTTTTTATTTCCTGAAAACTAAAATAAAATAAGACAAAACTAATGTTTTATGTTAATCCGTTTTAGTTATTTTATCTCTCAAGTAACAAAAGAACAGTTTGTTTTGTATAATTAGTAGTTCAAACATTATGAGACTCTCTGGCTTTCTATCGACTGAACCGATATCTGGAAGACGATATTCGATACAGCAAATTATTTCTTACCAAATCAACAGTTAGTGATGCTATAGGACATGGGAAACAAGAAAAAAATACGATTTCACAGTAAATTTCTGTGCGCAAATGAGGATTATATTACAGAAGCCGAGAGGGGTCACAACAAACGCAAACGCCGCAACAAATACAAATGCGACAACACAGCAAAAAACTACAACACAACAAAAAAAGCCACAACGGAAATGACTGCGGGACTCTATTTTAAGGCAAATGCCGCAACAAATACAATGCACAAAACAAAAATGCACAACACAAACGCAAAAAAAGCTGCAACACAAACAAAAAAAAGCCACAACACATCAAAAAGCCACAAAGTGACCGGAAAACTCTTATTTTCCGACGGACCGATCAAGCGGCAAGTGAAGAAGAAGAACTACAACGTGAAACGAATAATGATAAAACAATAAATTACTTTTACTTACGTTTCCAACTTCTCCGTTCCTTTACTTTTCACGTTGTAGTTCTTCTTCTTCACTTGCCGCTTGATCGGTCCGTCGGAAAATAGGGTCCCGCGTTCACTTCTATTGTGGCTTTTTGATTTGTTATGGCTTTTAAATGTGTTGTGGCTTTTGCGTTTGTGTTGTGGCGTTTGTATTTGTTGCGGCGTTTGAATTAAAAGAGAGTCCCGCGTCATTTCCGTTGTGGTTTTGGTTTTTTTTTTGGTGTGTTGTGGCTTTTTTTTTTGGTGTGTTGTGCTTTTTTTTTTTGGTGTGTTGTGGCTTTTTGTTGTGTTGTCGCATTTGTATTTGTTGCGGCGTTTGCGTTTGTCGTGACATCTCTCGGCTTCCGTATTATATTGAATATTACACACTGAAAAAACATGTGCCGCTTCGAGAAAAACGGTAAAATGACATAAACAAGGTCCGACGTTTGGTCTCTCTACATTCACATTTCATTTTATTATGATATAGAAGCTGATTTTCTAACTCGGTACATCACAGTGCATGACACGGCCGACTAAAGGCCCGCGAGAACATCCCCCCTCCCCCCTCCCCTGGGCAAAGCAGTTACTCGTGTGTTGACCCCTGTAGTGATTTATTAAACCTAATATGGAATAATTGTTTTATTATACTGTTTGTGGTTGCCATTTGAACATTTTTAGTCGAGATTATCTTATGAAAATGAGGTAAAAATCTTTGTGGGAGCATTGGATATTCCAGAGGTGAATATCCAATGCCCCCGACGCCGCCCCTGATGATGATTTGGATATCGTAACATCTGATTACATTTGCCGTTTGCTTTGTTTGCAGGAGGCCACGATAACTTCCGTAAAATGATCGATGAAGCGGAGCCGCTGGGGTATCCGGTGGTGGTGAAAAACGCTCGTGGACACAGAGGTGAGAGGATTACTACTGCTCCCATTATTCACCCGTAAGAAACTAACGACTGCTGGAATCTCATTAAATGATTAGGTCCCATTATAAGTCAATTATGAGTGAGGCTTTGTGCTGCCTGGTTACACACTAGTGGATAATGCTCGAGTTTTCATTACAGTTTATTTCACACTGTGGACTGATACGAGGCAAAAATTTATTAACTTTGTTGTTTAGATTTTAAATAATGTGAGAAGGCTTCATTTTAAAGGTTCTATATTACGCAAAAGTGACTCCTGTGAGCGTTAAGTCATGTTATAATGTTGTTACCTCCTCAGAAACGAACCAGGAGTTGTGTTTTGTTTTGTTTCATTCGCACACGTTTGTCTACATCTAATCTCAAATTTTTGTCTAAATCTCAAAATGTTCAGTTCCACCTCGTGACGTCATGTAGTGGTAGCAGGGATCCCATGGAAATACTAGAAAAGTCATGGAAATTGAAAATGTCATTTCCCAGGCCTGGAAAAATCACATAATTGTGTAAATTCAATGAAAGCTTTGGAAAAGTCATGGAATTTTAGTATCTCTTTCACGCAACTACAACGTTCTGTTAAGTTCATTAGGCCATTATGATTATTTCCGAACGTATGCGCCTTTTGTTTAAAAAAAAAATAAAAAATTAAAACCTATAATACCAAACCATAAAGTGAGTGGAAAGGGTTAACATTTCATATTTAGCTCTAAAGGTCTGATCACTTCTACACTTGTTTGGTGCCGTAAAGTCATTGTAAATTCACTTTAGATCATGAAAAAATCATGGAAAAGTTTTGAAATTTTGTCAGTGAAAAATAGTGAGAACCCTGTTTTAGTTTTTAAGTTAATACTAGGGGTTTAAAGATATCCAAGTCTCACGATACGATATTGTCACGGTATGAACCTCACGGTACGATATTTATTGCGATATCATGGGAAAGCTCACGATATAGTGTGGAGGCTCATGATTAGGGATGTAATAAAATCCAAATCTCTCGGTACGATATTTATTATGATATTTCGTGGAGGCTAATAAAACTGTGAATATTCTACTTTTTCCTCTTAAAATGCTTCAACAAGACTTAATCCAAAGAACTAAGACTTAAAAGTGTTTAGAACTGTTATTTCTTCATGTAGTCTGCACTGAAATGGAGCAAAGGATCATGGTCTATGTAGTTCCTTCTTTTTTCTTAATTTAAGCAAAGACACTTGTAATTCGATATATATTGTGATGATCCACGATATTAAGAGAACTTTGACAATACGATATCACGATATTTTGGTTATTGTTACATCCCTAGTTAATACCGACTTTTTTTTAGCTTTTGTTCAGTAGAGATTGAATCACCCACAAGATTCTAGCGAAGGTGTATGGAGTTTGAAAACACAGTGGAGCACTTCCTGTATTACCACTAGAGCTGGGTATCATTAAGAAGTTGCCGATACGATACATACCTCGATACATAGGCCACGATACGATACATATCACGATACAGTGCACTTTCAGTTTGATACGATATATTTCATATGGTTTAATAAAAATAAAGGCTAAATCATGGCTGTGACACTAAAAGTCTTTGTTAAACCACTTCTTGTGCAAAGTTAAAATGAAACACAAACATTTTAATCATCAAAACAGTGAAAATGTCAAATGTGTCACATAAACAAGTTTCATTCCTCTGAACAAACAACAAAACTCTAGCGCTGTAACAAAATAATTAAGTAAAATATACCAAGAAATACTCTTGCAGCCCACAATATCCATACTGTATCATCACATTAAACGATACAATATACCGATATTTCGATATTTTAGCACACCCCTAATTACCACATGACATCTGTATAAAAAAAGTGGACTAAAAAAGTGAGTGTGACGTCACCCACAACGTTCGGCGGTACTCAAATGAAGCTCACGACTCTTAACTTTTACTGGAGCGAATTTGGAGCCAGGTTTATATTATGAAGAGGATTTTTTTGATGGACAAAACTGTAAAAAAAAAAAAAACAACAACAACAAAAAAAGCACACCAGGATCATGTAGAGCGGGTGAATACGAACATTTTAAGACCAAAAATGACGAGGGTCACAGCAGCAGCTACAGAGAGAGGGACGACAATATTCCAATGTAATTCAATGGGAGCCAGAGTCAGAAGGAGCCGGAAAACCGCACGTGAACTTCCTACTTGGAACGCAGCAGCTTGCACGTTATATATATATGGTCTATGATGACATCACAAGGTGGAATAGGGTGTTTTCTGTTTGAAAGAAGCCTAAATATGCAGGGTTCGTGTGTTAAACGAATGAAACAAACACAACTCCAGGTCTGTTTGCGAAGAGGAAAACAACAATTACAACATAGATCAGAAAACAGCGTGAAAATGGCGCCTTTAAACACTTCCTTTATTCCCCGTTAATACGTGTTTACATAATCTACAGCAAGCGTAGAGGGTCAAACTCAAAATATTCCTTGTTGTTTTATGGAAACTATGACGTTGCATTGTTTATCCAGCTCAAGCCCCTCACGCTCATTCATCTTTCGAGGTTAGCTATGGTTTTCTTTTTTTTTTCTTTCTCAAACTGAGCTTTTATTTTGAGCATGAGAACGATTTGGGCTGGACTTAAGCCAAGGGTCAAAGGTCGCGGTGCCGAGAGGGAAGTAAACAGAGCCTCCAGACGTTTGAATACGGGTCAAGCAAGAGAGCCCAACCGTTCCTCTGTGCTAACAATGTGGAGCTGGTGGGACAGGCCCGGTCTATTGTTCTCCACTCAAACCAACTGTGAGTGATACAGGGGTCAGTCATAGAGGGAGAGGAAGGAAACGCTACACTGGACTAGTACACATTCACAAAGACTGGATTAGCTTCAAATATCTCCAGAGAATTCACACTGACATACTACAAATCACCTTTATTGTTGTTCAAATCGATCACTCCAGAATTTGAGTTGATTTTAAATATTATATGTAATATTCAAAATGCAGAATGTGCATACAATGAATTTATAAAAATATTTCTAGAGTTATATAATAGAAACTGTCCAATTGTATACTATAATAAAAAAAGTAGATATAAAGAACACCCTTGGATAACAAAAGGTCTTCAAAATGCTTGCAATAAGAAAAATAGTCTATTCAGAAATTTTTAAAAAAAGAGAACGATTGAGACAGAGACTAGATATAAAACATATAAAAAACAAATTAACTACAATTTTGCGTACAAGTAAGAGAGATTACTTTAGGAAATTATTAGATTATAATAAAACAAATGTGAAAGAGGTATGGAAAATATTGAACAGTGTCATAAATAATAAAGCAAAAGCAGAAAACTATCCGAAATTCTTTACACATAATAATATAGATGAATATAACATGGAAATGGTGGCAAATAAGTTCAATCAGTTCTTTGCTAATGTGGGTCCAGATTTGGCAGCCAAAATCCCTCAATACACAGGAGAACGCCAACAACTAATTGACAGAAATCCCCATTCCATGTTTATTTCCCCTGTGGGTGAAAAGGAAATTGTCAATACAGTCATGAAATGTAAAAATAAGAAATCAACTGATTACATTGATTTGGACATGGCCCTGATAAAACAAATAATTACAGTAATTGCCAAACCATTAGCACACATCTTCAATCTATTATTTCAAACTGGTACAGTTCCACTACAGATGAAGATAGCAAAAGTCATACCTTTATTTAAATCTGGAAACAAGCAGGAATTTACCAACTACAGACCAGTTTCTCTACTACCACAATTCTCAAAAATATTAGAAAAGCTCTACAACACTAGACTGGAAAAATTCATAGGTCAACACAACCTCCTCAGCGATAGTCAGTACGGTTTCAGAACAAGCAGATCAACATCACTCGCTCTGATGGACTCAATTGAAGCAATAACCAATCACATTGATCAAAGGAGAATAATAGCGGGTATATTCATAGATTTAAAAAAGGCTTTTGACACAATAAATCATCAATTATTATTTAAAAAAATGGAAAGGTATGGAATAAGAGGGGTAGCTTTAAAGTGGCTAAAAAGTTATTTAGTAAACCGAAAACAATTTGTCAAACTGGGTGAACACTGCTCTTCACATGAGGACATTGTCTGTGGCCTGCCACAAGGGTCCGTGTTAGGACCTAAATTATTTATTTTATATATTAACGATCTATGCAAAGTGTCTACATTGTTTAAAGCAGTGTTATTTGCAGATGACACAAATTTATTTTGTTATGGAGACAACATACAACAGTTATTAGCTGATATAACATCTGAAATGATACAGCTAAAAATATGGTTTGACACAAATAAATTATCTCTAAATTTGAATAAAACTAAAATAATGCTATTTGGGAATTATAAGGAAGAAAAAATACAGTTACAGATACAAGGTGTAAGAATAGAGCAGGTAAATTTTTAGGGGTCATAATTGATGAGAAGATTAACTGGAAAGCCCACATCCAATATGTACATAATAAAATATCAAAAAGTATTGCAGTATTAAACAAAGCAAAGTATGTCTTAGATCACAGAGCACTACACACACTTTATTGTTCACTGGTTTTACCATATTTAACATACTGTGCAGAAATTTGGGGCAATAACTATAAAAACTGCAATAGAACCATTGATAAAACTTCAAAAAAAAGCAATAAGAATTATTTATAATGTCAAATTTCATGACCACACTAATCCACTGTTTATTCATGCCAAATTACTCAAACTGAATGATTTGATTCTGTACCAAACTGCACAAGTCATGTATAAAGCTAAAAATAAGCACTTACCAAAAAATCTTCAACTACTTTTTTGTGAAAGGTAAACAAACTATAACTTAAGAGGCGTTTTGAATTTTAAATTGCCTCGTGCTCGAACGACAAGAAAAAGTTTTTGTGTCTCTGTTTGTGGTGTGAAATTATGGAACAACTTGAAAATAGAATTAAAACTTTGTTCGAATATACATGTATTCAAAAGGGCAATTAAAAAATTAATTATTTCAAAATACTGTGCGGAAGAAATGAGTGCTTAGGGTATATGTGTGCATGTATATGTATGTGTATGTATATGGGTGTATATATGTATATATATATATATATATATATATATAGGTATGCATGGGTATGTGATGTGTATGTAGGTATGTATATATTATATCTGTGTATATGATGTGTACTATATCTGTGTACATAATATACATATATTTGTTGTTGTCTGTTAGATTGTAATGCAATGGAGGTACTGTGCAATTATTGCTTATAATGTACAGGAAATGAGAAGTCTGTATTTGTTCTTTGTTAATTTGGGACTGTAGAAAAAAGGGGTGGGGTTAAATAAGTATTTACTTCCTCCCACTCCTTTTTCGGACACAAGGAAAATTCTGCGTAACATTTATTTTGCCTGTTATTATAGAATAGAAATAGTTACTTTTTGTGTTATATCTATGTATTTACGTTTTTGTCTTTTTTTATTATTTAGTTTTTAGTTTTTGTTTTTTAATTTATGTTCTATGTATTACTGTCCGAAATAAATAAACATAATAATATTAGGGGTGTGCAAAAATATCGATATATTGTATTGTTTAATGTGCTGATGCAGTATCGGTGTTGTATAATAATAGATATATACCGTATTCTCCGGACTACTGGGAGCTCTGGATTATAAAGCACACTGTCATTGAATGGTCTATTTTCAAACTTTTTTCACAAATAAACCGCACCGGACTTTAAACGAAACACAACTGATAGGCTACGTTCAGACTGCAGGGCTTAACGCTTAATTCGGATTTTTGGGAAATTTGATGTTTTTGCAAGGTTGTTCACATTTCCAATTAAATGTGACTTGTATGTGACTCCAGTGTGAACATTAAACCGCCCAAAAGTGTCCCGCATGAGCACTGGAGACACGACGACGTCAACCGCAGTGAGCGTCTCTGTGTTTACAGAAGTTGTTCAAACATGGACGCGAGCATTGAGCACCTGGAGATTTTAAAGTTCCTCTTGTATCAGAGACAGAACATGAACAACTTACTTGTTTTAAGGAGGAGATTGAGAAGGAGAAGGCCCTGGTGTTTTGAGGGGCAGCGGCAGCAACGTCCGTTGAAAGGAACGTGTGGATGTGGTGAGTGGTGACGTGCTTCGCTTCAGTGACACGGAGTTCATTAACAATTTTCGCTTCTTCAGCGCAGAATAGTGACATTTGTGTTTACTGAAGTCGTGTTGGGACACCCGAGTGGATTCGTGTATAGGGCGCTCTGGATTGTGGGTCGTTTTTTGATGGAGTTGGAGGCCTATGGTGCGGAAAATACAGTATATATTTTTGTATATTTTACTAAATTATTTTGTTACAGTGCTACAGTTTTGTTGCTTGTTTAGAGGAAGGAAATTCCAACACATTTGACATTTTCACTGTTTTAATGATTAAAATGGGTGCGTTTCATATTCACTTTGCACAAGACGTAGTTTAAAAAAGACTTTTACTTTTTAACCGTATCGAATTGATTTGAAATATATCGAATCGAAAGTTCAGTGTATCGAGATATATATTGTATCATGGCCAATGTCTCAAGGTATGTATCGTATCGGCAACTTCTTAATGACACCCAGCTTTAGTTTCTATATTCAAATGGGTTTAGTGTTGCCATAATAGCTTCAGTTTCAATTTCAGATGCCATTACTGTCACGTTTAGAGCAGAAGTAGGACCCAAAATGCAAAACTGCATTTCCGAAGTTGTTTAATAAAACAAAGAATGACCAAACACAAAAAATCCAAACAGACATGAACCAACAAAGGGCAAAGGAGTGCACAGGGTTTATATGCACACACATGAATGAGACACAGGTGGGACGCATTACGACAGGGCAAAAAACAATCAATACAACATGAAGTCAAAACACACACACGGCTAGAGAAATACAAAATAAAACTGGGTCAAGGATAGTAAAAGAATTCAATGAAAATAAACACCATAACAATTACAGCATTTTATAGGCCAGTATTAATTAATACAGATAAGGGGCAGCTACAATTAAAGTCGTTGAAATGCAAAATGATGTTGTAGTACAGTTGTCACATTTACATGAGAGCTTCAATTCTGAATAAAAATAATTTAATTCTGAATAAAAATGAATTCTGCTTTAAAAAGACCATGTAAACATTTAATTTCATGAAAATGATTCTTCGGAATTAAAATTAGACCAGGACTGAGACCAGGACTGAAACCAGGACTGAGACCAGGACTGAGACCAGGACTGAGACCAGGATTGAGACTGGGACCACACCAGAACTAAGATCAGGACTGAGACCGGGACCAGACTGGGACCAGACTGGGACTGAGACCAGAAATGAGACTGGGACCAAGACCAGGACTGAGACCAATTTAGTCCAGGTTCAGTCCTGGTTCAGTCCTGGTTCAGTCCTGGTTCAGTCCTGGTTCAGTCCAGGTTCAGTCCAGGTTCAATCCTGGTTCAGTCCAGGTTCAGTCCAGGTTCAGTCCTGGTTCAATCCTTGTTCAGTCCTTGGTTCAGTCCTGGTTTAGTCCTGGTTTAGTCCTAGTCTGGCATCTCAGTTTAAGTCATGGAAACGGGAGACGTCCGTTATCCGTTTTTTTTCCATTATTCATTTAAACACAAAATCAAAAACTGAAAAAACAAATCATTATCTGTTTTGTTTTTTTTTTCATTTTTTTTTTTCGTTGTCTTATTTTTTGGTTTTATATTGAAAAACAAATGAACAAATGATACACGGATTCAAAAATCACACAATGTACGCAATCACCTAAACCTAAACATGCAGGTTTGTGAGTTAAACATGTGTGAATGAAACAAAACACAACTCCAGATCTGTTTGTGATGAGGAAACATTATAACATAGATCAAAAATTCCTGTAATATTGGCCTGTTAAAGCTGCACTGCGTAACATTTCTAGTGAAACGTCCACCACCTGCTTGTCTCCATGGAAATGTGATTGCTTTGTCTAGAATGTTCCACAGCATAAATTAAACCTTGCTCCTATTCACAGAAGGAATTATTGTATTTTTGAGCAACAGAAACGCCCGTAATGAACAAATGAACAAATGCAAGACCGATATGTTTAATGTCATACCATGGAACATTCCAGGCAACGCAGTTACACTGAAAAATTGCGCAGTGCACCTTAAAACACCGAGAGTTACTCCTTCACCCAAACCATCCGAACACCACATGATTCCCGACAGAGCCACTGTTGTGTTGTACGTATATTTGTTTGTGACACAGTGTCCCAAGCTCAGATCAGCACATCACATGGTCGGCCTCGCTCCGCACAGCTCTGGTGCTAATTAAAAGAGACATATTTGAGTGTATGTGAGAAGTGGGGTGTGTCCAGTCAGACGTGGAGGGGGACAGAGACGGACACGTGGCTTCGTCAGCGCCGCCGCACCAGAACAGCTCACAGTGCAGACATGGCTCAAAACGTGGGCTACTGCTAGATTTTGGTTTAGATTGCGTTGAGTTTGAGAAGACGGGGACAATGCATATTTAGTTTAATTTGTTTTTTTAATGCTTGAATGAATTTATTTACTTTGAGCATGCAAACTATAAAACAGAAGTTATGTCACAAATAATGACATTGCAAGAGCAGTCACCGTCAAAATGAGAGATATTAAACAAAATCCACAGAGATGATGTTTACATGTCCAAAAAGGAGAGGGAAGAAGTAGTTCTGATGTCTTTACAGTGCAATAGAATATACTGTATGTTTTGACATCAGCTACAATGTAATACAGATACTGTGAAAGTATTTAGAAGTATATAAAGGACAATAGCTATTAAAGGAGTGCAAAAATATTGAAATATCGATGCATCGTATCGTTTAATGTGATGATACAGTATTGATATTGTGAGCTGCTGAATCGATATATCGGCAAGAGTATTTTTTGGTATATTTTACTAAATTATTTTGTTACAGTGCTACAGTTTTGTTGCTTGTTTAAAGGAAGGAAACTTGTTTTATGCAACACATTTGACATTTTCACTGTTTTGAGGATTAAAATGTTTGTGTTTCATATGAACTTTGCACAAGGCAAGGCAAGTTTATTTGTACAGCACAATTCGTACACAAAGTAATTCAAAGTGCTTTACAGAATAAGAAATACATTAAAATCATAATAAAAACAAATCAAAACATAAATAATCATGAAGATTAAAATTTTAAAAAAGAGAGACATAAATTGGAGAGAAGAGTGCGGAATGAAAACCTTTCAGTTATATGCACAGTTAAACAGAAATGTTTTGAGTCTGGACAAGACGTTGTTTAACAAAGACTTTTAGTATCACAGCCATGATTTAGCCTTTTTTTTTATTGAACTATATCTAATAGATTTTAAATATATGGTACTGAATCATAACGAATCATAACCGCACTGTATCGAGGTATGTATGGTATCGTGGCTTATGTATCGAGGTATGTATCTTATTGGCAACTTCTGAATGATACCCAACCCTAATAGCCATCATGTCAGTACTGAAGTTGAGATTATGCAGTATTTTCACTATAACTAAAATATATTTTGCTATATTTTATCCAAAATGTATAAAACTATTTTTTTGTTTTGTGTCTCAAATACAGAAGACGTCTCCTCTCCAAAATTCTCGTAACATTCAGAACAAAATATATAACATCTTTTACCTGAGATAAGTCATAGTTTGGTGCTTTGATTGTTGATTCTGAGAAAATCCATGCAGTTTCTGAGTCCTTTATGTTGTCTTCAGCCATGTTTGTTTTGACGCGAACGGACTATGCCGCACTCTGATTGGTTAATCCGCCTGTCAATCATGTCCTCTGAAATCAGGGAGACAGAAAACAGCTCCAGATCCACTCGTTTTTGTAAAGTTTTGTCAAAGTGTGTGGTTCTGGCTGGTCGGGTAAACAAACTACAGGAGCTCAGACTCACAATTCCCCATATCCTTCTCTCCTCCAGGCAAAGCAGTATTCCTGGCCCGGGACAAGCACCACCTGACTGACCTGTGCCACCTGATCCGCCACGACACCCCGTACCTGTTCCAGGAGTACGTGAAGGAGTCTCACGGGCGGGACGTGCGCGTGGTGCTGGTGGGAGGGCGCGTCATCGGCTCCATGCTGCGCTGCTCCACCGACGGACGCATGCAGAGCAACTGTTCACTGGGTACGCAACTGTCGCAGGATATACATAGAAAAAGGACTGTTATAGAAAGTTATATTAGACTTTGACAAACTTCACTGATCCACAAGGGAAATTATTTGGACGCAGTAGCTCATGCATCACAGTAAATGTAATAACAAAGATGAAAAATATAATTAGTAAAAATAAAGTCGCAAAAATAGCAAGAGACTGGTGTTAAATGAGGAATAATTATATAAATGTAAATGTAAAAATAAAAAATATATTAGGGAATAGACTCAATACTCAAGACCAATTCTGATATCACAATTATTTAAAAAAAAAAAAAAGCACTCTTTATTTGGACAATAGAATGTGATTTTCAACATTAAATCATAGTACTTTTTTTAGGGCTGCTCAATTATGTAAAAAACCATTATCACGATCATTTTGGTCAATAATGAAATCATGATTAGTCAAATGATTATTTTTTAGTTGCACAATGAATTTATTCAGCATTTCTCTCTCAAAAAAACACTTTTTTATTGATAATTTACGCAAAACTTTCAAATTGAAAATAAATATAGGCAACAAATATGAACCTTAGAGCAGTTTTGTGATGTATAAAACATAAAATTAATACTTCGAACATGAAATAAGGCATATAAAAACATAAATATATCCAAAATAAACTATATATCCAGCTGTTCTACAATCTCTATATTTAACAAATAAAAGAAATATACTTATTTATATAAAAAAAAATATCCTAAAATAAACTACGTTTCGTTTCAACTCGATTATGAGTTTGGAGATCATTTGACACACAAATCGAAATTGCAGTCATAATTCAATTAATTGCACGGACTTAACTTCAACTTCGACAAACTTCAATCGATCCACAAGGGAAATTATTTGAACAAAGATAAAAAATATAAATGGTAAATTCAAAATGCATCACAAAAATAGCAAGAGACTGGTGTCAAATGAGGCGTAAGTATATATAAATGTAAATGTACAAGTAAAAATAAAAAATATACCAGGGAATAGACTCAACACCGATTCTGATATCACGATGATTATAAAAAAAATAAAAAAACACTCTTTATTTAGACAATAGAATGTGATTTTCAACATTAAACCATAGTACTTTCTTTAATATTACCATGTGACCTTATATCTGTGTAATCCCTCAGTCGTATTGTCCCACTAACACACAAACACACAAACTCTGTATATTTATGTCATGCACAACACTTACACATGTAGGTTAGTGTGTTAAACATGTGTGAATTTAACAAAACACAGCTCCAGGTCTGTTTGTGATGAGGAAACCCAATACAACACAGCTCAGAAATCAGAGTAATATGGGCCGTTTAAATGTCACCTATTGAAATGCGCAGACGGACCCAGACCCATTTTATGAGGACGATGCTGTGGTGTTTTTTTTGTAATTCCAGCTGTAACTCACTGTGACAGAATTAGGACACAGCCACCGGATTATTCTGCATTTATGTAACAGATCATGTGGAAATGAAAACAAGCGACTGGTGGATAATAAAATACTAGTGACTCGGCGCGCAGATCAATTGTAATTTGGTCTCCTCTTCACACAGCCTCTCACTGCAGCTTTGTGTGAATTTTTATTGATTTTCTCTAAGTTTACCATATCAGTGTATTACAACACGGAGACAGAGCAAATAGAGTTAACCATGATTGCTCGCTTTGTCAGATTTAATGGTTGTCTTCTATGGATTGTTTAAAAGAACACAGGGTACCTTTAAACAATCCTGGGTCTGTTACCTGCTTCTCTCTGCGGAGATGTTGCCTGGAATGTTCCACAGTATGGCATTACGTTTATTTATCTCCAGAGACAGCAGGTGACACCACAAGGCCAAGTTACATGTCAACACGTTTTAAAGTCAATAAAAACCCATCTTATTGAGTAAATGTAAGATGGATGTATTCTCTAACTGCAGGTTTTGACCCTGGCAACCAACGTCCAGTGATTCTAGGAACTTTTTTAAAACAGTAAAGGCCAAATTATAGTTATGTGTCGAATCAACGCACACTGCTGCCGTCGTCTTGTCACCATTATTTTAGATTTATGGATCTGTGTCGAGGTCTATGCGCTGAGAAGTAACCACCATAATGCAGGGCAGGTAGGATTTGAAAACACCGTTCGTGTAAACAAAATGAAGCGGGAAAGTGGAGTATTGAAAGTGTATGTAGAGCGGTGGTAGAGAGGACCAGTCACAGCCCTTATTGTCTGCGTCACTTCTCCCTGCTGTGCAGTTCAGCAGATCATACAGTTTGTTTAAAGGTGCACTGCGCAACTTTTCTGGTGGCGGACATTCCATTAGAAATGTTCCATTGGAAATGTTACGCAGAGCCAAAGATTTTCATTTTGTTTCCTGATGTACTTTAACTTCTTGGGTTCTTTTTTAAAGACAATACATTAAAGTGTGTTTATCTTGTTGACATGTTTCAGCTGCATCTTCAGAACTGTCACTGGTGTTGGTTTTGACGTGTCGTATATCAGCTGTTGTTACTTCCTGTAGGCGTGGTCAGCCTGATGACTCAGCAGGTTGCTCAGCCTGACCACCCCTCTCGTCGCCCAGTGCTCTCTGGAGGAGGGAGTCCCAGGTGTGCGTGCCCCATCCCAATTCATAATGTGGTTATTTGAAATGACCATAACAAAGACCACGCTGGACCAGGGAGGTTAGTGAAATCAGGAAATGAGGCATGGACACCATTAACTGTGAGGACGGGGCGTATCTCCTGTTACACAACTAGGACACCATCTTCCAGAGAAAACCGGGTGACGGATGTGTGGTCAGTCTGTGCGACCTGCTGAGTCCATCAGGCTGACCAAACCAACAGGAAGTAACAACAGCTGATGTACAACACGTCACCATCAACACCGGGGACAGTTCTGAAGATGACTTGCAGTTAGCAGTCGAAACAAAGAGAAAAGAACCCAAGAAAAGAATGTTTTGCAGTGCATCGTTAAGGCCTTTAAAGTAAACCATTTGTAAACCTTTCATTTTCTGTAAAAAAAAAAAAAAGTCTAGTTAGATGATCTTTACAACATAACCATACCAACATGTTTCTTATAACTTCGTCTTTCTCCTCAGGTGGCGTGGGTATGATGTGCCCTCTGAGCGAACAGGGCAAGCAGCTGGCCATCGAAGTGTCCAACATCCTGGGCATGGACGTGTGCGGCATCGACCTCCTCCAGCTGAACGACGGCTCCTTCGTGGTGTGCGAGGCCAACGCCAACGTGGGCTTCATCGCTTTCGACCAGGCCTGCGGGATGGACGTGGCCGGGACCGTGGCCGACTTCGCCCTCTCCATGCTGCCCAACCGCCTCACCAGGAAGATGTCCCTGCTCTCCGTGGTGTCCAGCACCAGCGAGACCAGCAGCGAGCCCGAGGTGTGCCCAGTGCCCCAGTCCTCTCTGCCCGAAGCCGTTTGCAACATGAGCGTGGGGTCCACCTCCAGCGAGAGCGATCCGGAGTCGGTGGAGCCGACCCAGTCGTCGCCCCTCCAAGCCTCCGCGCCAACCCTGCCCGACCTGCCCGACTCCGCCTACAACATCAACACGCTCCTGGCCAACGAGATAAAGCTATTGACTGAGTAGAAACGAAGCCAAGAGGAAAACAAAATCCCCTTCGAAGTACATATTATATCGAGGAGGGATAGTGGGGTGGTTTTGTCGCAGGTGGGCGAGCTGTACGTGCAGAATTCAGTCACTACGTTAGATCACCAGTTTGGAGGAGTAGACAGGAGCAACGTCTCCCGGTCTATGGCTGCTAAAACACTCCAACATGTCGTCTCCAATAGGCTCTGTGCACAACTCCGCCCGGCAACCACACTGAACTTCCTGTCCAGTTAAGTATCTATGAGTTTTTTCGCTGAGTCGTGCTAAAATTTATAAATATTTAAAGATCAGGCATGGGGAAGGAAGTCACTGACAGCATAAATCTAATAAGAACACAAATAAAATAAAGACTCAATCAAATTTTGAGGCGTAATTAATGTTAAATGTTAAATGTGTGTTGTGTGACTTTACTGGTGCAGGGTTCGTCAAATGCTTTCATCCGTTTTGTCTGGAATGTTTCGCAGTGTGGCATTAAACCTTTTTGTCTTCATGGAGACGAAACCAAACCAAATTACAGGTCAGAATGCCTGTTTTTCTTGGTATTTTTGAGCTATAAAACCAGCTGTAATTGAATAAATGTAAAGTAGAGCTGTTTAATGTCACACTGTGGAACATTCCAGACAGAGAAATGACATATCCATAGCAACAACCACCAGAAAAGTTACTCAGTGCAGCTTTAAAGCAAGTATCTGCATATAAAAGTAATTGGGTTGTGTTTATTTGACTTAATTAGAATTTTAGCTGTTGTTTATTTTAGGGTTTTCTATTTTTAGAAGCGTGACGGTAGCGTGCGGATGTACACAGAGCCAATTAAAGAGGTTTATTTTTTATTCAAGGTGATTTCTTGTATTGTTTTATTGTTGTAGATCATTCACACAGTCCTGGAAAACGAACACTCCCTTGTACTATCTCACCAACGCAGCAGCTTTATCGCCAAAACGTGCGAATTTTTTCCGCTTCAGATTTGCTCCTATCTGCTTCTCCACACTGGGTCGAGCGAAAAGACCGAGCGGCTCCACCTTCACAAACACCGCACTGTCCCTTTAAACCCACATTAAATACATGCTAGACATTCCTTTAGCGACATATCGAACCTTTACTCGTCAAATCTTATCGTGAACATGAAGTGACCCCTTTTGAAAAACACAGATCTGAAGGCTGCTCCCCTGACGCCCCCTCTTTGCACCTCTTCTCTCCAAAACTGGGCCTGTTTACGGCAAGAGAGGGTATTTTCCAAACCGTTAGAAAATGTATTGGGATTTTGAGTGATTTTGTTTAGGTGATAACTGACAGTATAAATGTAGCAATAAATTAGAAGTACTTTCAATAGCCATAGGGTTCATGGTGAGCTCTAGCTTGGTCAAGTGAAGTGGGTTTTGGCATTTCTTTCTTCTTCTAAACCTGTTTTAACGGTGTGAGTTTGGTTTTTAGATCAGGAGGGACCATTTACAGTTTATACATTATCTGTGGGTTCTGATTTTAAAAATGAAATGCTGTTTTATCGCTTTTTAAAATGCTCATCTCTGACCAAGCTAGACAAAAAAAACACTCTATGAAATACACTGCCAAAGCTTAAGTCTTGAAGTTAAAATGACTTGAATTAAGAACATGTGATATTGATTTGAGTAAATTTCACATGATAAATAAAATAATCTACCAGTGGAAGAAGTCTTTTTGTAGTTGAAATTGGAAAATATGCGTAGTTACACTGAAGATGAGAAAAACAACAACTCTTTGTACGTAAAATCAGAAACTAAATTGTATGTTGTTTGAAAGAAAGAAAAGAACATGTATTTTACTCTTACATAATTTTACTTGTCAAGTGAAATCTACTCAAATCAGGTTAAATCTTCTTAATTGGAGTAATTTGAACTTTGAAATTAAGTTTTGCAGTGTCCTTATAAACTCTTCATTTGTCTACATTGAATTCTCCAAACTGACAAACTGCAGCAGCTGCAAAAATGATTGTCAACAATGTTTACTATGCATTGAAGTACGCCATAGGTAAATGTCTTTAAATCCAAACTTGAGGACAAAGGATTACATATCTGTTAAACTGTGTTAGCTGTGCTGTCGTAGGGCTGGACAATATCCTGTAACAGAATTAACATTTGTAAACACAAGAGTTTTTCTGTCATTCTCAGTCGACTCTTTATTGTCCGGCCCTGTGATGGCTCCTTCCAGCTCCTGATTAGCCTTACCAGCCACGTGGCGCGGCTGCCACCTTTAAATTCAATGTCTTGCACTTTATAAACTACCTTTGTGTTTTTCTGATGCCCGGACGATGTATTTTTGAAAAAGCCGAGCTCATAAAGGCTACCTCAACTAGATTTTTTCAAACATATCCACAATTTGTCCCTTTGTTTTGAGCTAGATGTGATTTTTAACCATTTTTTGTACATATTTCTTTAGGATAGTGTATCCAGGCTTAATATTAACTGTCAAATTGTATTTTTAAATAAGCTATTCCTTTTATCGGACAATAACATCACAAAAGTCAGTTGTAAATCGGTGCTAACTTGAACAGATGTAGATTTCTTCATTGTAGACTTTAAAATATCTTTTTATGTTATCTTTATCTTTAAGTAATTATCTTAAAATGTCCATCTACAAAACGAGTTGGCATTGTGTACAAACATATTTTTTGTTTCAACAAAAGGTTTCAGTGGGTGGGAATTCTGATTTTATGTTTATAGTAGACGCCACATCTGTGTTGAGACGCCAAATTTAAAAGCACAAATGTACAGCTACTACTATTGTTACTATATATGTGATAGTGTAAAAGAATACTGGGCTTTTCTTTGTCAGATAGTTGAGTTGAATCTAACTCAGGGAAGCAGCCTGGATCTCAAGCCAAACTCCCTCCCTCTTTTCCTCCTCAAAAACACATCCACACACTTTATTATAGACACAATAGAGACACAAACCACTGCGTTCAAGTGACTCTCAGAAAAGCAAGAAAGTGTTTGAGGGTAAAAAAGTACACGGGGAAAAGCAACCAAAATACTTCATATTCAACATCAACTTACATTACAATTTCCACTTTAAAATGTAATGTAATATTTAATCACTTGGCTTGTTTTTTTTCACAATTAAGATTTAATTAAAGGTGCAATGAGTAACTTTTCTGGAGATATTGCCTGGAATATTCCACCGTATGGCATTACATTTATTTATCTGTATGGAGACACCAGGTGACACCACAGGGCGAGATTACATGCCAGATCTGTGAATAGGCGAGCCCATTCAGAGTCAGAACGCAGGCTTTTAGGTCAATAAAAACCCATGTCATTGATTAATAATAACATCTACACGGAGACGAGCAGAAAAGTTACACAGTGCACCTTTAACTCATCAAACCAAATCAAATAAAGTGAAGTAAATTGGGATTTTCTGAGCGTCGCCTGAACGCAGCGTCATCTACATATCTCCAAACGCCATACAGCCAAAACGATGCATAAACCAGGATGAAGGAAAACTACTGTATATGATGACGCGGAGTGTGTACCAAGCTTAAAATGCACCTTTTCCTTTTGCTTGGGTTAATATTGTTCCTTGTTCCTTTCTAACTTATGGTATTTTTAAAACGAGAAAAAAGTGATTTGTGTGCACTAATAAGACTGTCTCAATAGAAGTGCAACTGCTGGGAAAGCTTGAAGTTTGACATTACATTTATGAGTATATTTTAGCCACAAAATTTGAATATTTGAACAGAATTACAAAGAAATATGAATGTGTTTTTCAGTATTTAAAATGAGACAAGACGGCGAAATTCTCCTGTGAAACTATTTAAGAATTTTTGTCGATAAAAACTGCATAAAAAAACAAAAATTAGGGTCCAATTGTGAGTTTTTTGGACCAGTTTTGATCATTTTACCCAACATCTATCCAAGTTTTTATGTATTTTTTTGATACTGGTGCAGTTTTTAAGGCTAAAATGTTAAAAGAACTCAACTTTTTTTGCCAAAGTTCAAGATTTCGCAGCAGCTCCACAAAAGAAGTACCACGTTTTAACACTACTGCGACGTTGTCCAGTGTAAATAATAATATTGATGAAACGTATTAGAGGAAAACAAAACTGTGAACCCGAAATATTTGAACGAAAGTCCGATTTTTCTTTTCTCTCAAATCAGTTATTAATTTTTACCAGATGTTGTTGTTCATTTCTAACGAAACCTATTGTGTGCATATTCTAGTCCAGTTCTAATATTAAAAAGCCAGCCATAGAAATGGGTGAATGTTCCTTCTTTTTTCCGAGATATGCATAACTAAGTCGGCAGGTTTACTAATTAACATAGGTCAAATCCATAGTTCTGTATTTTGTATTTGAGTAGATATTTTTACTGTACGTGGAGAAGCAAACTGGAGCAATGACTTGAAGTAAAACCTAAAAGCTACTTCGAAAAACTACTACTTTAACACGTCTAAGAAGAAGTAGTAGTTGCAGTAGTAGTAGCAAGAACAATATAGCATTTACAAAATACGGAACTATCCTTTTCCAGGTGCATTGTGTAACTTTGTCTGTCAAATGCTTTTCTCCATGATGATGTTATGGCCTGGAATGTTTCACAGTGTGGCATTAAGCCTTTCTGTCGTCGCGGAAACCAAACTAGGCCAAGTTACGGGTCAGAATGTCTGTTTTTTGAGGCATTTTCGAGCTATAAAATCACCTGTAATTGAGTAAATATAAGGTAGAGGTGTTTAATGTCATTCTTTGAAACATTTCAGGCTGAGATCCCCCCGCCGAAAAGTTACATAGTGCAGCTTTAACAGTGCTACTGCCTAAAACGTGGATGCGATTCTAACTAACGTGTAATTGGAGTACATTGTCACTACTATACTTCCTAAAAGCTGCTATTGTAAGATATTGGGCTACTACTACCATTGAAAAGGGAATCTTAAATCAAAAACAACACTGCCTGTTGATGGAGACAATGCCAAAATAAAATGTTTTGTTGTAAAAATTCATTACTAATAAATAAATAATACTTGTAGTTAGATGCTTTATTTTGAAAGTTGTGTAAGAAGTTGTACAGAAATGTGGAAATGAAACTGGGGTTTGCTTGAAAGTATACGAGATGAGATGTTGTGGAAAAAGTAGATTTATTTTTGTTTCGTGGGGAATTTAAGGTCACCTATTTTCACTTCTTATTGCGGTAAAACAGTGTATTCTAAAGTTGTACGTTTAATAAAAAAAGATGTCTGTGTTTGGGGTTTTGAAGACTCTTAATGAATTGAATGATTTGGGCTAAACTTTGCCTTAACAATCAAATCAAATTGCTGTACGAAGAGGTCCCAGTGGAATTTCGTGGACGGGGCATCAGATTTAGAAAACTTTATCAGACCAAAAATCAAAATAGGTGACCTTCAATTAAAAGATTTGGGGATCAGAAAGTTGGGGCTGCTCCAAAGGTACTGAACTGTTGACGAACTCACTAGAACCCCTGATTTTGTTTTACAGTGTTAACAAACGCATCCTAAAATTTGTAATTCAAGTGTGCAAAATGGTGTAAATATACAGCTATATCCCTCTTTTTTTAGATTCAAATAAAATATGTCATTATTTCAAACCAGTTCAAATGTGTATTCTCGTTTTTTCAGGAAAACGGCAGAGTGGAGATGTTTTCATTTTCATCGTTTGCATGTTAAAAACGCTACTTTCTGATCCATGTTATACTGTTTCCTCATCAAAAACGTACCTGGAGGTGTGATTTGTTTCATTCACACATGTTTAACACACAAAATCTGCATATTTAAGCAGCAGCATCTTGAGCTTTGGGGATGTAGACAGACCAGTAATGCAGGATTATTCGAATACTGTATGTGTGAATGAAACGAGACACAACTCCAGGTGTGCTTTTGAGGAGGTAACAGAATTATAACACGACTCAAAGGTCACAAGAGTCAATTCTGCGTAAAAATATATATCGCAGATGAGTTCTATCATGTTCAGACTGCAGCTGCTGCCAAATCACAGCGCCTACGGGGGTTTCAAAGTCAAATTTAGTACATTATAGACCAAGCAAGTCAAATTCTTGTATTATTGCATCTCATATAAACGTGGACACCAAAAAAAAAAAATCATGAATAGATTATGAAACATTTTAAGCAACATTTATTTTTGTGATCTTACAAAAGTTATAATTATAGTCCACTTATAATAAACACTAAGAAGTTAATAAAATGTTACTAGTGGCACCTGCTCAAAACTAATATAATCTAATACTTCATTAACTTGTATTTTTTTATGTAAATGTGCACCACTCAGATAACCAAAGCAAATACATACATCCATTTTGACCAATCCCTCCATGCCGTTCACCATGAAGAGTAAATAAAGTACACCTCAAAGTCGCTGTATCAGATTTTTTCTGTCTTAAAAACATGAAAAACAGAACGAGTCCATTTCAAACAGTTATTCCTCACTTACCTTCTGCATTCAGAGTGTCCTAATTATTCAAAGCAATGAGTTTAAAATCGTTTTTCAAAACATTCAAAGACCAGAGCGGAGTTTTGCTGTCACAGTAAAGCATATTTCTTGATTATAGGACATTAAAACACTTTATAATTAGACACAGACAGTACACAGCTGACTTATATTGGCCTCAAGAGCTGCTTATATAATCAATCTTTGTTCTAAAACATTTACATAAAAACTTTTCTGGTGAAGGGTCTGTCATATGCTTATTACTTTGTCTGGAATGTTTCACAGTATGGCATTAAACCGTTCTATCTTCATGGAGACCAAACCAGACCAAGTTAGAGGTCATATCTGTGGAGAGGCGACCCCGCTCACACTCAGAATGCCTGTATTTCTAGGTGTTTTTGAGCTATAAAATCACTTGTAATTGAATAAATGTATGGTTGAGCTGCTTTAATGCCATACTGTGGAACATTCCAGGCAGAGAAATGACATACCCATAGCAACAAGCAGGTGTCAGACCCTCCACCACCTTCACCTTTTCACTATTCCAGGCTGTGAGAACTGAATTCGCTGAGACAATTATAGAAAATTCTGAAATATAAAACTTAATTCTGTCTTTAGAACTATATTTATTATTTGATTTCATCTGTAGCACTAGTTGGACCTTTTGTCTTTGTGTCTTTGCCGTCACAAGTTTCAGGTCTCTTCTCCACCAGCTCCAGGAGCTCCTTTATGGCCTCGCTCAGCTCCTGGTTTGGGCTCATCTGGTTGGACTGCAGGGCGGAGTGTCCAAATGCCCTCGCCTGGTACAGAAGCGCAACAGATGTCAGACTCTGGGGGAGTAAAGCTCTCTTATATAACAGCCACGAAAAAAAAAAAATACAGTTGACCGGGTCACAGCTTATCCAAGCTGCTGAAATCCATGTTTATACAACGCAGAGAAGAGGGGAAACAGGAGCGGAAGTGAACAAGTGTGTGTACTGATGGTAGTATTAGTATCTGAATATAGTACAGACAGTTTTAGTGCAGTACATTTGGACCGTTTTTGTGCTTGTACAAGTAGGAGGAGGTTTTGTGTTAAAGGGACAATCAGGAATTTTGGACATGGGACCTCATTTCCTAGTTAGTCAGACTGTTGGAGACACTTTTTAAAATATTCCATCCAGTCCTTGGCTAGTGCATGTCAATGGCCGTAGTTATCCTGCCACTAAAAACAGTCTTACCCACTCCACAAAACACCCGAAGCAAATCTATTATTACACCAGACTGTCGATGTAAATGTCTGTGTTGATAGAATAATGTTTGAAATAAAACTAACCTTGCATCGCATGAATCGCCGCATGTTGAGGGACTATTTTCTCATATATCAGTCCGCCGCTGCCAAGGTTTCTATCCGGAAGTACAACTCACTGCTGCTGCTCTGACATAAATCCTTCAAATGCAAGGTTGGTTTTACCTCTAAAATTATTCTATCGACACAGACGTTTACATCAACAGTCTGGTGTAATAATAGATTTGTTTCAGGTGTTTTGTGGAGTGGGTAAGACTGTTTTTAGTGGCAGGATAACTATGGCCATTGACATGCACTAGCCTAGCACCAGCGACCTCTGCAAATACAAGGACTGGATGGAATATTTAAAAAAGTGTCTCCACTCTTTTAGAGGTAAAACCAACCTTGTATTTGAAGGATTTATGTCTGAGCAGCAGCAGCGAGTTGTAGTTCTTGATAGAAATTTTGGCAGAAGCGGACTGATAAATGAGAAAATAGTCCCTCAACATGTCACGATTCATGTGATGCAAGGTTAGTTTTATTTCAAACATTATTCTATCAACACAGACATTTACATCAGCAATCTGGCGTAATAATAGATTTGCTTCGGGTGTTTTGTGGAGTGGGTAAGACTGTTTTTAGTGGCAGGATAACTATGGCCATTGACATGCACTAGCCTAGCACCAGTGACCTCTGCAAATACAAGGACTGGATGGAATATTTAAAAAAGTGTCTCCACACGTCTCCAACACTCTGGCTCACTAGGAAATAAGGGCCTACGTCCAAAATTCCAGACTGTCCCTTTAAAGAGCCCATATTTCTAATTTTTCTGATTTATTATAATGTTATTTCCTCATTGCAAACAGACCTGGAATTGTGTTTTGTTTCTTTCACACAGTTTTAACACACAAACTGTAAATTCAGACTCTCAAACTGAAAACACTGGTAATACAGGAAGTGCTCTACTGCGTTTTAAAACTCACTACACACTTTCACTAGAATCATTTGAACAATTTCTGCGCTCGAATTGCCAATCTCTACTAAAAAAAAGGTAAAAGGAGCTGTTAACTTGAAAACTACCTCGGAGATGTACACAGTTTTGTAATAATGGGTTACTCAAATGGTATCTGCTATTCAAATAGAGCGTATTCGTTTGGACATTATGAACAAAAAGCGGAGACATGAAGCAATATGGGGATCACCACAAATTGATTAATGGGACATAAATATTTGTTCTTGACGGTTGACTATTATACTTTTTATAACTGTCAGTTGCTTGCGTGTCCTTTTTATGTTATCTTGTCTGGCAGTCTGTCTGTGTTCTGTTGTTCTTCTATGTTCTTTTAAAAGAAGCAAAATTGAATAAAGATAATATTAAAATAAATAAATAAATAAATAATGGGTTACTCAGACATGTGTGAATGAAACAAAACACAACTGCAGGCATGTTTTAACGAGGTAAAAGAATTATAATGTGAGTTTAGGATTTACACAACATCACTTTTCTGACTATAATAAGTGTAATGTAAGCAGTGTTGGGAAGGTTACTTTTAAAATGTATTCCCCTACAGATTACAGATTACACACCCCAAAATATAGTTTGTAACATAATCCATTAAATTACTTAAAGTGAGTAACGTAATCTGAATACTTTGGATTACTTGATATTGTCATGTTTTTTAAAAACTACATGAATGAACCAACCACATCCTGAAAATTCTTGTTTGTTCTTTTCAAATTGGCCCTGGTTTAGACCTGTTTTAGACCTGGTTTAGAGACCTGGTTTAGTCCTGGTTTTAGACCTGGTTTAGACCTGGTTTAGACCTGGTTTAGACCTGGTTTAGACCTGTCCTGTTTTAGTCCTGGTTTTAGACCTGGTTTAGACCTGGTTTAGACCTAGTTTTAGACCTGGTTTAGTTCTGGTTTAGACCTGGTTTAGACCTGGTTTAGACCTGGTTTAGACCTGGTTTTTAGACCTGGTTTAACCTGGTTTAGACCTGGTTTAGACTGGTTTAGACCTGGTTTAGACCTGGTTTAGACCTGGTTTAAACTTGGTTTAGACTTAGTTTAGACCTGGTTTAGTCCTGATTTAGTCCTGGATTAGTCCTGGTTTACACTTGGTTTAGACCTGGTTTTAGTCCTGGTTTAGTCCTGGTTTAGACCTAATTTAGACCTGGTTTAGTCCTGGTTTAGTCCTGGTTTAGACCTGGTTTAGTCCTGGTTTAGTCCTGGTTTAGTCCTGGTTTAGATCTAGTTTAGTCCTGGTTTAGACCTCATTTAGACTTGGTTTAGTCCTGGTTTAGACTTAGTTTAGACCTGGTTTAGACCTGGTTTAGACCTGGTTTAGTCCTGGTTTAGACCTGGTTTAGTCCTGGTTTAGACTTAGTTTAGCCCAAAATGTGAAAACAGGAAAATACCTCCATGTAATCCATTTATTTCAACAAAGTAACTGTAATCCAATTACCACTCACTGAAACTGTAACTGAATACAGTTACTTATAATTTGTACTCTGATTACGTAACTCCAGTACATGTAATCTGTTACTCCCCAACACTGAATGTAAGTGATAAAAAGTACTATTAGTCTCTCCCAAAAGCAGCAGTATTAGTATTAGAAGTGCAGGGAGGTTTCATTGACTGGTCAGAGAGGAGGTGTGTCTGACTGTCTGCCATGTTAAAAGTTCAGTGGAAAAACACTTTGTGAAAAACTACTTGGAGAAGAATTTGAGTATGATGCAGTGTCAAAGTTCTAATACAGTTGGACGTCCCAGGTTATGATATTTTTCTTGTTAATGTGAATGAAACAGTCCAGGAAAAATGATTTAGTGTCCTGACGGGTGAAATAATGTCTCACATTTTGAGCACTAGAAAACATATAAATACAGTGGATGAGTGTTTTGATGTATTTGAGATTTAAAGGTGCACTGTGTAACTTCTGGAGGAGTGTCCATCACCAGCTTCTCTCCATGGAGATATTGCCTGGAATGTTCCACAGTATGTCATTACACATTTTTCTGAGCAGGTGACACCACAAGCCCAACTGCATGCCAAATCTGTGGAGAGGCGAGCCCACTCACAATAAGAAGGCAACTTTTGAAGTCAACAAAACCCATGTTATTTAGTAAAGGCAAGATGGATGCGGATAAATTTAATGCTATACAAGGATTTCAGGATTTCAGAAAAAGCAACAATATCTCCATGGAGACAAGCAGATAGTGAATCCTCCACCAGAAAAGTTACACAGTGCAGCTTTAAGACGAAAAGAGAATCACTTTTAATATGTGGTTGTAACAAGAGGAATTTGAGAATAAACGGGAATGGAGGACTTTTTTAAACACATTTTTTTCTATTTTTGCTATGTCAAAGGCACACCTCAGCGGTTACTTGCTTTGTAACTGTATCTTGCATGTGTTAATTGAAATATGAACAACAAAAAAATAAATAAATAAATAGAAACTAGACTTCCTTGTAGCTGTAAAAAAGCACAGAGTCCAATAATCTATGATAAGAACTTGAAGCATGGGTTTATCTCATCTGGGTCACTCAAAACCCTGTAAAAACTCTTTCCAATAAAGGTACACTATGTAACTTTTTTGTTTGGGGGTTCTGTCACCTGCTTGTTTCTACGGATATGTCATTGCTCTACTTGGAATGTTCCACAGTATGACTTTAAACAACCTCACCTTACATTTAGTCAATTACAGGTGTTTTTTTTTTTTTTGTTCAAATTTATCTAGAAAAACAGGCAATCTGACTGAGCAGGGCCGCCTCTCCGCAGATCTGACCTTTAACTTGGTCTGGTTTGGTCTCCATAAAGACAGAAAGGTTTAATCATGGAGAAAAGCATTTGATGGACCCTCCACCAGAAAAGTTGCACAATGCACCTTTGAACCGAAAAGATTGATTTAGTTATTTTTATGAGCAAGTTAAACCTCACAGGGGTCATGGAGTTTAAGACCACGGCTCCTAAAGGGCTTTTTATCAGCACGTTTACAGTGGGAAGTCAACACAGCTCGCGGCCATTTCCTACTAAACCCGACATCTTTACAGCTTTGGCTAATTACCCGTAATCCTGCGAGGAGACAACACGGGGCGTCTGGTGAGAAGAGTGTCAGTGTGTCAAACGCTAAGCCCGGGTCACGAGACTTACCTTGACACGGTTGCCTCCGATGAACCACAGCTTGGAGAGACAGAGCGAGGCCAGTGTGACGAGGCCGTGATCCTTCCTGGTCTGGTGCTCTTCAAAGTCCAAGATGGTGTGCAGCATGTTGTCCACTTCCACTTGTCTGGCTTTGTCTTAAAAATTGAGAGAAAAGTAGGAAGAAATTAGTAAAAAAAATTTATATTAAAGGTTCTTTATTACTCAATGTTAACTTAAGTCATGTTAGAATGTTGTTACCTTCTTAAAAACATAGTTGGACTTTTGTTTTGTTTCATTCACACATGTTTGAGTAAACTTTTATCATTATCTACGTCTCCATAACTCAAAATACTCAGTGCCTTCCGCACTCAGTTCAAGTAGAGGTAGTGTTCAAGTTAACAGCTACCTTTTACTTTTAGTTTAGTAAAGATTGCCAATTTCAGGGCAAAATATGCAGGGTTTGTGTGTTAAACATGTGTGAAAGAAACAAAACACAACTGTGTGTTTGTGATGAGTAAACATTATAACCTAGATCAGAAATTAATGCAATATGGGTCTTTAAAATCTCTGGTGAAGGTGTGTCATTTCGGTCATTCCTTCATACAAATGCACTTTTCATAAATATTGAACACTGAAGACCATAAACACTCAAAAAAGCTACAGTTTTGTAAATCTTCTGAGTTAGTTACCATGATATTTGAATGTGTGTCACTTGTCAAAAATGTTCTCGCAATACTAAAATTTAAAACTCGATTTCGATACTAAGAAAAACCACAATGATAATTAAAAACACTCGTGATCGTGATTTTCAACATTAAAACATAGTAGTTTCTTTTATATTCCCATGTGGTCTTATATCTGTGTAATCCCTCATTGGTCCATGTTCGTATACTAACCTGTGTGCTCTTATACTTGTTCTGATGCAGCTCAAAATCATTCTAAAGCTTCATAAAAGGTTCATTTCTGTCCTGTGAATGTGACTTTTCAGAACTGATTGTTGCTCAAATGAGTATCTAGTTTCAATTCTAGTTTTAGTATCTGATTTCCGATACTTTTCTTGCTTCACCACTGTTTCTGCTTAAACCTTATCATGTAATTTTATATAATTTTTTAGGACAAAATGTTCCCGCGCTGCTATTACTAACAACTACAAGATGTGACAATTCAGAGAAATTCTGTTCTCTTCACTTGACATGCCCATTCTTATAATTACATTTCTAGTGAGCCTACAATAAATTAACTGCATCATAAATATTGCTTCATGGGTGTGACGCCTTCTGACTGTATGACTCCATTTCCCATGAGGCCGTGGGGCAGTGTGTCGCCAGTCTGCGGCTCAGATCTGGGGCACAGACAGTGACGGAGCTCGGAACAGTGTCTGTTTTAAATCTGCGCTTGAGCCTTCGGATCACACTGCAACAACCACCACTAAAATTAGCAACTGACCTTGTTTTTTAGCAAATCCAGTGGAGCCCGATGTTTGTGTTTCTGTGCGAGTGGTTCAAGTGTGACGTAATGCTCTGACCGTCTGAATGAATAATACATTAGCTACTGCTTCATTATTTAAAGCTGTACTGTGTAACTTCTAACTAAGATGGAGAGTCCACCACTTGCTTGTCTCCGTGGACATGTTATTTCTTTGCTTGGAATGTTCCACAGTAGGACATTTATATAATTATGCCTTATTTGACACCTTTTGTTACTTATTTAGAATTTATTTTTACCTTTATATATTTTTTTCCTCTTCATTATTATATTATATTGTGATGTGTGAGCTGCTGTGTCCAAACAATTTCCCTTGTGGATCAATAAAGTTTGTATAAGTCTAAACATATCTCCCTTGCATTTGTTCAATTATAGGTGTTTTAAAGCTCAAAATACTTTAAAACATTAATTTCTACCATGTGCAGGCTTGCCACGGCATAGATCTGACCATTAACCTATAATATCTGTAATATCTCCATGACGACAAGCAGGTGATGGACCTTCCACCAGAAAAGTTACACAGCACACCTTTAATTAAAAGCTTTTTTACATATTTTTTTCTCTCATAATTTTAACCAGTGTCGAGCTTGTAATTAGGAGACAGTTTTGTGACTTAATACTTGGCTTGATTAAAAGTAATTATACATTTATACAGTATCATAAAATATGCATAACCTTGTTCAGTTATTGTTGTATAACTGTATTGTATTTTTTATATTATTTTGTATTAATTAATTCATTTTGTTAGTTATTAAAAATGAGCTATGTAAGTTTTCTCACTGGGGTCCATCAACTTCTTCGCTTATAAAAATGTGATTTCTTTCCCTGGAACATTCCACAGTATGATATAAACATATCTTATCTTTAATATATTAAACTAAAGGCATTTTTATCACCAATAAATACTTGCTTTGGAGGAGACATCTCCTCTAGGTAAATTTCAAAATATTCTGTGGAACATTCCAGGTAAAACATTTCCGTGAAGAAAACATATGTCCCTTTATTTGTTCACTTTTGGATTCTTTATCTTGTTAAATATGGGACCGTTTATTTGACACCAGCTTTGCACAAGCTCCTACTTATTTCACAAACTAACTTAGATTTGACTCAGCTCCACCTGTTGTTTAGTATAATGCTTGTACATTAACTCTTTCCCCCTGGACGCCTACTAGGAACAACCCATACATATGTTACTAGGGCTACCCATAGAGCATAATTGCATAAAAGAAAAACAGACTTCCACGAGTGAGTTCAGGGCAATTTTGGTTCATAATCGAGTATAAAGCCCGGATAGTTTGTTCAGATATCACAGGACTCCATACAGACGCATCAGCGCATTCTCATCTTCATAAGATTCACTCTCTGTAAGTCCGTCGCTATCGCTGTTTTCCACTTTATAATCACCCTCATCATCACTTTGAAATCTATAAAAGTCACTTTCTCTAAACTTATCCATAAAATACATCTGCTCCTCATTATTTCTAAAACTGTGCGCCGCAGCGCCGCGATCTTTCCATTACACGTGTTTCGTGTTGTGTTTTTTCCGGAAGCTACCATCGCCACTACTTAAATTAACTTCGGAAAAAATCGGCAAAAACATATCCTTGAATCCTAATGGTCAGCCTAGTGTGGGTTGTAGTGGCCCCGACCTATCACAGCCTCTGTTTACATGTGAAAAACCGAGCCATTTCTAAAGGTCGTCAAATCACGTCTTTAGTGATACAGCGGAGGTGTCAAAAGTCGTCATTAAGGGTACATGGGGGGTCGTCAAATGTCGTCTTCATGGGGGAAAGAGTTAAGTTAAATTAATATGATCTTTGTGTGTTGTCACAAACTAGCATCAGGACACGATAAAAGACACACCCTCTTCCAAACCCACGTGTAAATTGTTGCACTTGAGCTCAATGTGATTCAAAATAAGACAAAGCGACATTGGCACATACTTCATAGCTCTTACATCACATCCTATGACACGGACATGTTTGTTAATAGCTCCAGATACAACATTTTAGTTATTTTTAGGGATGGGCCAATATATCAGTCCAGAATCGCTATCAGTAGATATTCACGCTTTATGAGTATTAACATATTGACCAAAATAAACTATTCTAGTCCACCACACTCCCTCAGTCCACGTCTTTATACAGTCTATGGTTCAGTGGTTTGAAAATTCATGTTATCCTTATTTTAGAAAGAAGGTTTTTTTTTCTTTGTTCACAACAAAATTGTCTAAAATAAAAAAAATAAAAAAAACTCTACATAGAAAATACTAGCCCAAAATTGGTTATTGGACCAAACTTCGGTATGGGCCTACATTTTCTGTATTGAAAATGGTTATTGATGATGAGTGTTTGTCCATCTAACTCTAAAAGCAAAATAATTACCAAAAGTGGGCTCCACAGACGTCGTAGGATTCTCCAAAAGGGGTTCTATTAGTTTAGTCAAGTGAGAGTGCCAGGTTTCTGCCACCTACAAAACAAAAAAGACAACATTATATTTCAGCTGTTCATGCCTGGGGTCCCTCATGACTAGAGCATACTTCTGTTACTAAATGGAGAGTATGCAGCCTGTGCTTTTTTTGGTTTAAAATAGGAGGTACAATCAGAACTTGCATAGAGACGACACATACAGGCTTTTCTTATTCTCAGTATATGGATAGATCAGAAACTCTAGAATGTTTATGAAATTTTAAAATGCAGATTCAACATACAAATGACAGAATATGTATTACAAATAAGAGCTTCTTCATAAGATATTAAGAGAACTTTTTTTTTTTTTTTTACCTCATTATACAAAGACCGAACAATCAGTGTCTTCCCCTGTTTGGCAAAAACACTGGCCATAAGAAAATATCCATTGCTGCAAACAATGCTGCCGAGGCCGTACTCCTCAGTAGCATAGTAAATCTGCAGGGATAGAAACACCGTATATCAGCAGACGTATGGGCTAATGTTAATAATGTCTCTTGGAATCGTACGTCATTAGCGAAGTTGAATAGAGCGCCGTCTAGGTCCCCCGTGGTGCTCTGCAGTCTGCCCAAACTCCGGTGCAAGCGGTGGTGCAGCTCGTTGCCACAGTCTGGGTTTTTGAACACAGAAAACTCGGCCTGAGACAGCAGCCCAGCGGCCGTGGAGACATTTCCTAACCCTGGGCACACACATGCATCAAAGAGACATCAGTGTACTCAAAATTATACATATTTATTCTAGATACTGGAGCTTCCATTTGTAGGTAATCCTGTCACGATAATTACTATATCAACTTAGCGTTCCAATATATTGTAAATGGAACAACAATTTTTGGGGGTCAACATTTATCGTGGGGACTAAGGCAAAGCAAGGCAAGTTTATTTGTACAGCATAATTCGTACACAAAGTCATTAAAAGTGCTTTACAGAATAAGAAATACATTAAAATCACAATAAAAATGAATCAAAACATAAATAATCATCAAAAACATAAATTAGAGAGAAGAGTGCAGAATGTTTGTTATTGGTGCTTAAAAGGGTGAATTGTGAACTAAAATGTACTTATGTGTTGCATCCTGCTGTTTATTTAAAACAGCTCAACAATATTTGACAATATTATACATTTAGAGTATGTTTTTGTGAGTAATTCTGCTGTGCGGTTTGGTTTCATTGTTATCGTTTGGCGTTACCGGTATATCTGTTATCATTCCAGGCCTATTTGTAGGGTGCACGCACACGTTCACACAAGTATCTGACCCATGAGTAAGTATCCTGTGACTGTGTTCTACATGGAGGACGTGGACTTTGGTAACCACAATGGGATTTTTTTTAGATGATTAACAGTTTGCAGCTCATGCAATCCTGGAAGTTCATTAGGTGTGTGTGGGAACTAGGCTGTCAGTGTTGTTTATTTAGGTGTGGGTGACTTGGTGTTAATAACTAATGTCACTCAATTTGTCCAAACACGTCAAAGGTGTATTTGTGTAACTTTTATGGTGCAGGGTCCGTCAAATGTTTTATTCCATGGAGATGTTATTCCTTCGTCTGGAATGTTTCACAGTATGGCATTAAATCAAACCAGGCAAATTTGTGGAGAGGCGACCTGGCTCACAGTCAGAATGCCTGTTTTTCTAGGTATTTTTGAGCTATAAAACCACCTGTAATTGAATAAATGTAAGGTAAAGCTACACAATGCACCTTTCAACTCACGATATTGTCTAACACAATGATGGAGAAAAGCTTTTGACGAGCCCTCCACCAGAAAAGTTACACAATGCACCTTTAAGTAACAAAAGTGAGTACTTCATCATCCACTGCTGCTTGATAACGTTAGGCTGCCTTCCTCACCCATGTAAGCGTCTGCCAGCAGGAGGTATGCAGGGACCAGCTGGACGGAGGAGGGGCCGAACACGTCGGTGCAGAAGTGGAGGCACGTCTGACCCGCGGGCAGGGCCTCCTCGTGCTTCCCCTCAGCCAACTTCCCCTCAGCTATGGACCTGGCGATGGCAATCAGCTCCCTCTGAGGAAATGAATGCACCCACACAAGTGAGTTCATGTTGTGAGACTAGGATGAAATCGTTTACATACTTAAAAAAGATTTGCAATGGTTGTTTGGCAGTTCTGGGGAACATCTAGCAGTACTTAGTAAGTCTTTTCTTAGTAATTACTTGACTGAGGCACAAAGTCGAGTGAAAAGTGCAGTGTAAAGGTTGTTGGATCTTTCCAAATATGGTTAAACTGCCACTGCATTTTAAGAGGTTGTGTCATCTGACCTCCCTTTCAGTCCTCCCATCTCTCCTTTAGTCCTAAAGACCCCAACCCTCCTACCTTCTCAATCTGCCCTTTAGTCCTCCAGACCCCACCGCTCCTACCTTCTACCTCTACCCTTTAGTCCTCCAGACCCCAACCCGATGATCTTCTCACTCCCCCCTTTAGTCCTCCAGACCCCACTGCTCCTACCTTGTACCTCTCCCCTTTAGTCCTCCAGACCCCAACCCCTCTACCTTCGCACTCTTCCCTTTTGTCCCCCAACCCAACCCCTCCCATCTTCTCACTTTACCCTTTAGTCCTCCAGACACCACCCCTCTGACCTTCTTACTCTCCCGTTTAGTCCTCCAGACCCTACCTCTCCTACCTTCTCGCTCTCCCCTCTAGACCTCCAGACCTCACCCCTGCTATGTTCTCACTCTCCCCTTTAGTCTTCCAATCCTATCTCTCTTACCTTCTCACTCTCCCCTTTGGAGCTCACTCCTCCTACCTTCTCACGCTCCCCTTTAGTCCTCCAAAACCATCCCCTTCCTGCCTTCTCTCTCTTTAGTTCTCCAGTTCTACTCAGAAGATAATGGAACCCTATAACTCCAGGAGATAATGTTACTTTTTACAACTAGAAATAAATCCAAACGGCTGTATTTAACTGAGGGGTAAATAAACATGGCTGTAAATTCATTCAAATCTCTCTGGTTATTCTTCACACATCATGTTAATTAGTTTTTCTAAAATCTGCACCTTTTTAATGTCCTTCTCTATTCGTTCTTCTTTAGTGTAGAGCGTCTCTGTGCGGATCGGGACCAGCAGCGGGCAGATCTTCTCATGAATCCCCACCCAGTCCGCAAACTGGTGTGTGGCATTGCTAAAACACACAAATACAAAAGGGAGACAGTTCAAGTTCACCACTGTGGAGAATTTAAACACTTTAATACGCATAAAGTGCACACAGGTTACACTACATTACAGTAAAATAGTTACTTCATGTCAGAGGTGGGACCAAGTCTTTGTTTTGCAAGTCCAAGTCGAGTTTCAAGTCACTGGCCCATAAGTGCAAGTCAAGTCCAAGTCGTCTGCTTTGAGCTTCAAGTCATTTCAAGTCTTTAAACCAAATATAACTTAGATTTTTGCAATTTATATGACTTTTAAGATAAACTGTACATTAAAAAATCATAGTATATTTATAATGTAAGTATATAAGAGTTGTAGAAATTAGTTTAGTAAATTTTTCCTTGACAAGATCTTAGTGTGAATCATTATGGTCAGAACAGAAAGAATTCAGATTTAAAAGTGCTTCTCAAGTCTTCTCAAGTCACAGGGCTCAAGTCCAATTCAAGTGCCAAGTCACTGACCTTCAAGTCCAAGTCGAGTCCCAAGTCTTAGTCCATTTTATCAAGTCAAGTCCCTAAAATAGTGACTCAAGTCTGACTCGAGCCCAACTCACGTCTTGCAAGTTCCCACCTCTGGTTCATGTCATTAATCGGACTAAAAATGACTTTGTTGAAGTTTATAATTTTACTTCCTGGTTAAACATGGGCAGCAAATGTTACATAAGAAGAGCAAATAAAAAAAACAAAAAACACTAAAGACTAATTGTTTCAAAATTTAAATACAAATTAAAATAAAACATCTATATTGTTTTAAATACAGAATATGGGTGTATTTTTTTTATAAACTGACATAGGCAGGGGGATTCTTTTTCAGGTCTCAGTGCCATTTCTGTATTTTCAACTTTTTTCAACTTTGTATTGGAAAACAACACACACACGTCATGCACATTAAACAAACCTGAAATACTGACCACATTGCTCGGCCCTACTGATCTTTGAGTTCTTAGAAAAAAAAAACAACGTTCTGGCTAAAGGATAAACCCACATCTGTAAACGGCTCGGAATAGCCTAAGGAATCTGAGCTGGTCCAAACTGGTTATAACTGGTTTAGATTGCTCTGTGGGGATGCTCCTGCCACAATGTCACTGATTACTTTAAACAATACCCACGTGCACCTCTGGATCAGCAGAGTTCAATGTCAACTAGAAGAACTACTGCAACTACTGCATTACAAATATACCTCATGGCTAAATGTTTGATATCAAGTAAAAGTGTTAAAAAATTTAGCACTATTTCCCCATGAGGGCACTGGGAGCTGGGTAGAGAACATAACACTGAACTTGATTTTCCTTCTACGCAGCAAACCCGGATGCAATTTCAGGTTGAAATATTTCAGAGTTGTTTTTAACACAAAAAGTCTTATTTTAACAGTCTGAAAGTTAAATGGGTGTTAATTGTTAATTCGGCATCTCCCACACACCACTTCAAACTCATGCGAGGCAAGACCAGTTTGAACCAGTTTTGTACATAATTTCATCTCAAATTCACTAAAATAAAGTGTAAAAATAAAACACCTTTGTGTGTTGTTTAGCTAAATCAGGATAACTCTACAAAGTGTTATCGGTTTACTCTCAAAACATTAATATAACTCTTGATTTCGGGATTAAACAGGAACTTTGGTCCAATGTTACTTAATTAACATTTCCAAAAAATGTTAAATTAACTCTAGAACAACTTGGACTCATATAAACCCTGAGTAAATGTTAAAATTGATTGATTGTGAGAGTCAATTTTAACACTCTACTTTTTGCTGTGTGCCAAGTCTACAGTAAAAGCTGAAAAAAAAAAAAAGCTAACTAAAAAAGAATTTATTGCATAGTTCTGAGAAAGAGCCATATGAGTCGCTATTGTTATAAATGTTTAAAAAAAAAAAAAAACAGTAATAAATATCTACGGTAATGTATCTGTTTTACCCCACTGGGAGCAAAGCAAAGAATATACAATTACTGAAACACTTTGTTCTCATAAATTATTACATCTTACCAAGTCTAGAGTAAAAGCTGTAAAAGAAAAAGCAACACATTTATTGCATAGTTCTAAGAAAGAGAGATACAGTATGAATTAATATTTAACACGATGGGGTGAGTGCTGATTGGCTGTTCAAGGGTCATCCAAAAAACACAACATGGCCAAAGATTCTTAAATGTAAATAGTGAAGTGACAAAGTATTTGGGTTAGACTGATTTACTCCTACTTTCTCCATTCATGGTTTTAATCTCAGGTACTCCGGGTTTAAGTTACCTGGGAGTTGAAAATGTATTCTTCCCATTTCCCACTCACTTTTTCTCCTTGGCTTTTGACTATTTATGTGGCTGTGCTTGTCACTGTTTGTTATGTGTCCTGTCTAATTTGTGTGCAGCACTTTGCTCGACTGTGTTGTTTTTAAAAGTGCTCTCGAAATAAAGCTGAGCTGAGTGGAGACTTTGTGATGCTTTACATAAGTGTAGTGTCATGTAGAGCCTGTCTGCTTTTCAGTGGACTTCGTGGTTGAGTTTTCCGTCACTTACATGCTTCTCTCCCTCTCTCCCTCTGTTTTCTCGATCTCTCTCTGCCTCTCTCTCCTCCGCAGATGGCTGAGGGGGGAAACAGCGAGACCAGGCCACGTAATGCAGCATGTTGGACTGGTTTCATTTGTGGTTATGTTGATATAAAGGGCTGGGAGCATATTGTTTCATAAGGGTTCCAAAGAAGTCCACTAAAGGTTATAGAGGGCGCCTTTACAGGGGTCCTGGCTCGGTCCTGGTCTGAGATCCCTGGTTAGTCCTGTTGTAGACTCGGTTTGGTCCTGTTCTAGTCCTTGGGTAGTTGAGTAGACATATTATCCATAATTTAGGGGTGCATTGTGTAACTTTTCCAGTGGAGGGTTCGTCAAATGCTTTTTTCCATGAAGATGCATGGTATTAAACCTTTTGAGCTCCATGGAGACCAAACCAGACCAAGTTACAGGTCAGATCTGTGGAGAGGCAACCCCGCTCAGTCAGAATTCCTGTTTTTGTGAAATGTAAATACACACATGCAAACACTGCATTGAGAAACCCACCAACCCCAACTACCCATGCCCCTTCTTTTCTTCTTTCTTCATCTCTTCTTTTTATTTACTTAATGTTTTGTTCTTTTGTTGTTGTTTGTTTTTTTATATGTGTTAGTCTTATATTTTGCCATGTATATTTTGTTATTAATGTGTCGAGTATCCATTCCCTCAAAAACGACAAATTACATTTAAAAAAAAAAAAAAAAGAATGCCTGTTTTTTGAGGTATTTTGAGCTCTAAAACCACCTGGAATATAATAAAAGTAAGGTAGAGCTGTTTACTGTCATCCTGTGGAACATTTAAAAAGGGTATCCCTAGGTTTGACTACCCCAAATGTAAGACATTTTTAAGACCTTTTTAAGACCATTTAAATGAAAATTAAGACCAACATCACACCAGATATGCAGGTGAAAAACACCAGATCCAATTCTAATAATGACCATTACTCACTGCTTTAAATAACAAAAATACTTTTATTATAAAATCTCATTCAGAACTCATTTATAGTAGTATGCATTGCTTGTAACATGGCCAAAAACTAAGTATGGTTTGTGCATCCTCCAAATTAGATGTTCATTCTCATTATGTGATTTCACGTTGTTGTTTTTTGCAGTCCGGTTGAGTTTACAAAAATATAGGCAGTGTTGGGGAGTAACAGATTACATGTACCGGAGTTATGTAATCTGAGTACAAAATTATGAGTAACTGTATTCAGTTACAGTTATTGTTTCAATGAGTGGTAACTGGATTACAGTTACTTTGTTGCAATAAATGGATTACACGGCGGTATTTTCCTTGTTTTCATATTTGGGGCTAAATCCCTTTTTTTTTCTCAGTAATTCCACTCATTGCCGGACACTAAACCAGGTCTAAACCATGTCTAAAACAGGATTTAGCAGGACTAAACCAAGTCTAAACCAGATCTAAACCCAGGATTTAACAGGACTAAACCGTGCTGTGTGGACCGTGTCTCCCCCTCCATCCATCCATCCATCCATTTTCTTCCGCTTATCCAAGGTCGGGTCGCGGGGGCAACAGTCTGAGGTTAGCCTCCCAGACTTCCCTCTCCACACACACGTCCTCCAGCTCTTCCAGGGGGATCCCGAGACGTTCCCATGCCAGCCGAGAGACATAGTCCCTCCAGCGTGTCCTGGGTCTTCCCCGGGGCCTCCTTCCGGTGGGACATGCCCGGAACACCTCCCGAGGGAGGCGTCCAGGAGGCATCCGAAACAGATGCCCGAGCCACCTCAACTGGCTCCTCTCAACATGGAGGAGCAGTGGCTCTACTCCGAGCTCCTCCCGTGTGACTGAGCTATGGTGTCTCCCCCTCTTCTATCAATAATATTTTTAAAGACTCGACCTTTTCATTTTCTTTAATCAGACAAAACATCTTATGTGAAGATTTCCTAGTCTTTGTTACTCTTCAGCAAATCAAGTAATCCAAAGTATTCAGATTACGTTACTCACCTTCAGTGCATAATTTGTTTGTTTTTGTTTTTTTGTTAAATCATTGTTATATGATGCATGATTATGTTAATTGACCGAAGAAAATATACTACTACTACTACTACTACTACTACTACTACTACTACTACTACTACTACTACTACTACTACTACTAGTAACTTAATGGATTCTGTTACAAACTACATTTTGGTGTATGTAATCTGTAATCTGTAGAGGAATACATTTTAAAAGTAACCTTCCCAACACTGAATATAGGCTAATGAAATTTAAGACCCTTGTGAAAAAAATAAAACTTGGACAACATAATTTAAGATTTTTAACGCCTTAATTTAGGGACATGAAATTTAAGGCCTTTTTAAGACTTTTAAGACCCCGCGGCTACCATGTTTAAAGCAGAACAATGATATATCCATAGAAAAAAAAGAAGGTGACAGACCCCCCCAACCAAAAAGTTACAGTGCACCATTAACGCTCACTGATACAAATTCCTCCATGTAGTAGGTAATAATATTTAAAACAGATGGAAAGCAACTAAATGAATATGACTGAAATGCAGATGAGTTCTTGTCTTGTGTAACCACTAATAGAAACGATCACATTCAACATTGGTGCGTTTGTCTTTTGGGGATTTCAAGACAAAGTGCAATGTAATCAATAGGAAAAACTGACTCTTGCCCCCCCGTCAGCAAGTATGACAACATCGCATTCTAGCGTCTAACACCGAAGTAATTGACGAGGGTTAATTTGCGAATTTGGCATCGATTGGTAGTTTTCAGCTTTTCCGATTGGGATGATGTCATGCTCCCTGATGGGGAACAAGAGCTGGTTTTTCCTATTATAATTACATTGTGCTTTGCCACAAAATATCCAAACGGTAATGGTTGAACCTGATGATTTCTATTAGTGACTAGACCAGTTATCTTCTTGCACACAACATATTCTGCCTTTTAACAATAATCATTTTAGTTGCCCCCTGTCTGTATTAAATAGTATTGGTCTACAGATTAGGGATGTAACGATATCCAAATCTCACGGTACGATATTATCACGATATTTATTGTGATATTTTGGAGAGGCTAATACAATTGTAGATGGGACACTTTTTTGCTTTTAAAATACCTTGACAAGATTTTGGTGTGAATTATTTCCACCATAATCCCAAGAACTCAAGTAAAATCATATGTCTCCATGTTGTTTGCACTGAAATGAATCATGAGATATGTAGTTTCTGATGTTCATAAACTGTTGCTGCTATAAAACCATGCATTTAAGCAAAGGAACCTGTAATTCAATATATTGTGACAGTCCATGATATCATTTTGAGACTTTTGACAATGCGATATCACAATATTTTGTTTTTTGTTGCATTCCTACAACAGATTATATTAACCTGCCCTATTGTTAACTGTGGTGGGGGCAAAATAACTACTGATAAAGCAGATTTTGTGGTGTGGTTGGATGAGCAAAGCAGCAACCAAACAAAACCAAACACAAATAATAGTTTAAATCCTCCAGCTCAAGTATTCCTAACCACATCTAGCTCAAGATCTGGAGGAGCATACCCAGATGTGGTTGGCCCAGTAGCTTTCAAAGACGGATCAAAATGAGGCAAAAATTTCCCTACAGGGACAATAACGTGTAATGTAACCTTGTGAAATTCTATTCTAATCACTAATTTGTGGTTAAACATTTGTGAATTTCGTTTGTGAATATGAATTAAACACCATAGGATTGCTGATCTAACACTGGCTCCATGTGAGAGAATGACATCACCATTTTATCGCCTCTTTTTATGTTATGTGGATATATCTCGCATATAACGCTGTCTTCTTGCGTTGCTCTTTTTTCTGCTGTTCACAACTGCAACACATAGGTCTGGGCTGGGAAGAACAGGCTGGATATGTGGCTATAAGCTGCCTTAAATAGACATGGTTTTAGTGGCTCATCTCCCTAAGTCCAGCCTTAGCGAGAGGAATGTCACCACATGCTACTCTCTTCCTTCTCCTGTTCCTTCTCTCTCTCTCTCTCCTCCATACGAAAGCCAAGGATTTCTCCGAGCACGCCCCATCCCATTATCATCTGTAATTAAGGCGGCAGCAGCAGCAGTAGCAACAGGGAGGCCCACCTAGTGCATTGTTGCCATGACCAGTTGAGTCTATTCTAATAAATGACTTTGAATGGCTGTGTTGTTTGGTCCATCCTTTATTATCGCAGAGGCAGTAATTCCTTCGCACTGACATGAGGAAAAATAATTTGTTCTCCAGCTGTTCCACTGCTCCTCCAGACTCCAGGCAGCTCCCTCTCCCTCCTCCTCCTCCTCCTACAGCAGCAGAAGCAGCAGCAGCGGGCAGTCACATGAGTCGTCCTCAACAATGCCTACGTGGGATTTTTCCGAGGTTGAAATAAAATGGTGTACACTGCCATCTAGCGTAAGAACCAGATATGACAGGACCTATTAGATATGTCACGTTTTTTGGACATATTGCTTAATTTTCACTTTATTACCACTTACATAGGCTATATTGTATTTGCTATTTTAGAGTGGTTCCATATTTTTTTTAATTTAAAGCCATGAAAGGGCTGACTTAATTAGAGTGACCAGATTTTCAAAATAAAAACTTGGACACCTCCGATTTGTGGTGTTTGGTAATAATAAAATTGTGAAACAAGTGCGTAATTAATGAAAATTGTTATGCAGATACCATTCATGAGTAACACGTGAGCCAGTATAGTCACATTTTCTTTGCGTTTTGGTCATTTTTAAGTATCCTTTTCTGTATTTTAACAGATATACATTATGTTTTGAAAAATATAGAGCTCTGGAATGAATAATGCATTCAGTTTTGTTTGTTTTAATTTATTTTTGTGTCTTATATATGCAGTATGTTGTAACGAAAACTGTAAATGTTAACTTGCTTTTCATACGCTGTTTCTTGGAATTCTGTCATTGTTTAATATGGTTAGGCACTATAAGTACCTTTTACTTCAGCCTAAACCCTTTTGGTCATGATCTATGGGATTGTAGTCTATGTTTTGTTTTGTCTTGCAGTGCTGCAAAATGACTGAATAAACTACTACTACTATAATATTCCGAACAACTGTACAACAACTCTCCCTTATGGAACAGATAACCCCTATGTCCTGTCAATCATCATATCATTGTTGCACTGTCTTCCTATGGCCTATTATATATAGCTGAGATTTTATATTTTATTACTTATTTTTCTATTTTATTTTGACTTGTACATATACATTTACGTAATTATGTCTTATTTCACGCCAGTCTCTTGCTATGTTTTTTGCTACTTGTTAGAATTTATTATTGTCACTTATATTTTTTTTTCTTTGTTATTATATTATATTGTGATGTGTGAGCTATTGTGTCCAAATAATTTCCCTTGTGGATCAATAAAGTTTGTCTAAGTCTAAGTCTAAACATATCTCCTTAGCATTTGTTCAATTACAGGTGTTTTGAAGCTCAAAATACCTTAAAAAACATGAATTCCTACCATGTGTAGGCTTGCTACTCCACAGATCTGACCATTAACCTGTCTCCATTGTGATTACCAAGTTTATTTCCATACTGCAAAACAGTAATATAAGTAATAAGTAATTTTACTTAAACAAATGACAATGTAGACCTCTCTTTACTGTTGGCAAGTATCAAATTTGTCAAAAAGAGGCACACCAGGGACATTGCTTTGGATAAATCTGTAGGAACAGGGGACACAGGGCTCAAAACTGTGACTGTCCAGAGTAAATAGGGACGTCTGTTCACCCTAAATTTAATAGCAAGTAACAGCAAATAATAAAGGAATGAATAATGCCAGCTACTCTATGATATTAAAATGTTTTGACTAGAATGAATCTTTTCTTGTAACCTACATTTTCTTGAAACTAAAAAGTCTATTTTAAACTTTGAATTATTAATATAAGTACAACAAAAATAATAAATGCCAAAAGTTGTATACATCCTACAATATAACAAATTTTGAAGGATAGTTTTGTTTGTTTGTTATTTGTTTTACTGCAGGACCACGGAAACAACACGTGCCCCAACAAATAATAGCTTTGATAACGTAATATGGAAAAGCAAATTTTGACTTTTATACACAGTTTGCAGTAAATATGAAGAAAGCTACCTCAATTGTGTTAATTTGCCAAACAAATTCCTTCAAATCTCACAAAAATGTTAAAATGAATGTGATTTTAGCAAAACAACTCACCAGTAAAACGTGACTCTGCACTGCGCGCACTGCAGGTACGCTCTGTTGTGACAAACTTCACACAACTTTTGCGTCCCCTTCGGTAAAGCGAGAGGGATTATCGGGGTTCCTATGGCTAAATCTTGAGTTTCCATGTTTGCAAAAAGGTTGGCAATGAATACAGAAAATATAAGGAGCTAAAATGCAAATGAAACGGTTCAAAAGTTCTCCAAGCTACAGCTGCTAACCATCAGCTAATTGCTAACTGTTACCATGGAAACGAGTCGCTCACCCCAAATTTAATCTTCCTGTGTGCGTTAAAATTATTAAAACTATACTTCTTTAGATACTAATCATAAGACATATAAATAAGAAAATAAATACATATAAATTAAAATAAAATAAAATAAAATTGTGAAAAGAGCGTGTAACATTGTGCATTCACGTGTCAGTCGTAATCTGAGAGATTCCTATCGCTGCATTATTTTTATTTTATTTTTATATTTTTTTTGCTTTATAGTGATTTGCAAACACTGTTTTCTGTATTTTGGCAAAACAAATGACAATTTATGCTCCTCTTTATTGGTGGGGATCAGATTAGTCAAAAATTGTGATAGTCCTGGTTTATACCTGGTTTAGAACAAACTGGTCAAAAATAGGAACACCTGGGACTTTTTTTTTGTATGAAACTGGGACAAATAACTTGTTTTGTATAAATCTGTTGGGACAGGAGACACAGGGCTCAAAAATGGGACTGTCCTGGGTAAATAGGGCCGTCTGGTCACCATAATACAAATAAATAAAATTTTATTGTCTGTTTACTTTAGATAAAATAGATTTATAGTTTAAAAACAAGAATGCTTCCTTCAAAATAAATGCTTTATTCATTTATTAACCAATATACAAAAATAAGTAGGTGACTGTGTTTGATATCTGCAAAAGGGCCCACGTGTTTTACTAGGCTTAATAAAAGTAATACATACAAGTTATTTGTGACTACTACAGTTCAGGCATATCAAAACAAGGGACTGATCTTTTTATTAAAGCTTTGTGTTTTTGTTGGCCTAAAGCCTCATTATTCTTTCTTCCGTAGATGGATGTATATGATTCCGCTGAGCATAAGCAGAGGAACGCAGACCCAGGCCAGAAAGAAGCAGTATCCGAAGTGCCCCAGGCTCAGCTCTCTCAGATCATGGAGGATTTCCTTATTGTGCAGAGTGTAAATCAGAGCCGCACTAAAAGCTGTCAGACCTACACACAGAAATAAGACACATATCAACCACAAGCATAAAACTGTTGATAAAAATATAAGAAAACTGTAAATTGTGCTGCTACTTTCTATCAGAACCAGCTGTTTTATTCATGACTGCCCCCACTGGAACACTTCTGATATAGGCCTATGAACAAGCTATAGTTTTAGATTTATTTTGCCAAACCCATCACATTTTGACAAGTTAATACATTATTTTGTTGAAGCATATCTTTATATTATACCTACTGGTTGAAGAGTCTAAGTTAAACCAGTTCCTCATTGTATTTCAATTACAAGTATCTGTTCACATACATATTCTGCAAAATTGAAATATGAACTGCTAAACTAATACAGCGATCTTTTCTATTTCAAAACATGGTCGCGAAGGTCTACAAAACACATTTTTAGCTGGTTTTATTGGCTACATAGCTACTCCTACGGATTGGAGGCGGAATATTTTGAGGTTTGCAGAGGAAATTTAATAACATAAATAAGTGCAGCCTTTACGATTTGCTAATTGTGACTATTCAAAGCACGTTTTTGCTTCTTTTGAGATTAACCTCGCTGTTCTGCCATGGATTTCAGACATGTATTTTTCCTGTCACGCTTGCTAATTGCTATGGCAACAGTCCCAACGTTTCATTAGTCTGAAACCCGTGGCTGCAGCTTCACCGCGCGTGCATACATCTATTCATTATTTCAGTCATGGTTTAATTTGTTTTAACAGGGTTCTTGTAGATTTTGTTGTATTTCAGATTATTTTCATATTTTCAGATTTATGTTGCTTGTATGTTTCAGATCTCGTCAATTACCTGCAAATATCTGACACAGGCCGGTGAAGTAGAACAGCCCCCCTTTGGACATGGTGAAGAGCTGCCCCAGGAAAACCAGGAAGGACACAGAGGAGAAGACCACAGCCAGGACCATGAGGACTTGGACTGCTTGGAGCCACTCTGAGACACATCAGAACATCACAACTGGAGATAAGCAAGAACGTGTATGAGATGAGTATTGAGTGATGAGTATTATGTAAAGACACTGGTACCGGTTTCTTTGGATGAAGAGCACAGCCAGGTTCCTGTCATGTTGTCAAATCTACAGTTGTACCACAGATCTGAGTTCTCCATACCGTCCCACACCCACCAGGACTGAGAAGACACACAGTTGAAACAGCAGAAAATTAATTCAGTGTATATTCAAATACAATTTAATTTGTATAGCAAGGATAAGTTTGTCTTTGTGTTTGATATAACTTAACAATTTGCTGGATTGGGTCATCTTTCATATATTAATTCTGCTAATATTCTGTTTGGGCATATAAATTGATGTGACTATTTACTGGTAGCCAGGCTGGCACCACCTAGTGCCTCTGCTCAAGTTCATTTCTCTCCATTTCTCTTGCAAGAACCCCAGAAGTGGGAGTCCAGACACCAGCCAATCAGTGAAGAGCCAGACATTCTGTGTTGGCAACGATTCCTGAGATTGAGGATTGAAAGCCAGAACAAAGTGAATGTTTGGTCAATTTTATCAAGGTGAAAGACATTATTGTCCTTCTTCCTATGGGATTTGAGAAAAACTTAATATACCAGTTAGCCCCGTTAGCTGCGCATTATATATGTCTTGACCAAATAGCAGCAATTGGTTAAATAAAAAAAAGTACCCGTCTACCGTCGAGTGAATGAATCCTAATGCTGCGAGGTCAGACGGTTTCCACAAAGTGAAACCGACTGATGAATCAGGCTAATTTACTGGTCGTAGCCTATATCAATGTATAATTCAGCTTATGAAACTTGTAACAATATTTTTTGGGGTCTAAATTTATTATGCATATGATTTCTTTGCAATATTGGGATTTGTTTTTGGCCATATGATAAGACCTGGGCTGTAAAAGGTTGAATAAATAACTTCTCGGACTGAATATCGTAGTTTATCATCTATATTTTCTTCAGCAGGCCACCTCAGAAAATTGCATAATCTTTAAACTTTTATTCATACAAAGTTGTTCTGTCTTTACTTGAGAGCTAAATCACAGCTACATAACACATTTGGATCAGTTTTGTCTTATTTTATTTATGCTGAAAGGAAATAAACGCTGCTAAATGCTTTCAGTTTCTGCACCAATATCGGCTGATATCGAGAATCGCCAGATACTTTAAGCTATAGTATCAAAATTTATCCCTAGTCTAGTCTCCACTTGTTCCATTCATTTATGTTTAGTCCTTTTTTTAAATTATTTATCGGAAATATCAGTACCAGAATATCTATTTTCGTCTTAGTTGTAGTGTAAATGTAAGTAAAGTCAATAAATACGAGACACTGACTAAAACTACAATGACAATTTTTTGCATTGAAAATGTTTTAAATACTATAGTGTATACTTTATCCAAAAACATTCAACATTTCGACTTCTTTTGTACATTCTTGGATTCTTTTTAAAGCAGCAGAAACATGTCAATAAGGTAAATACATCTCCTACTGTGTTGTCTTTAAACAGAGTCCAATAAGTTAATGCAAAGTGTTTATCTGAGTTAATATTGGAGTTCAAAAGGCTCCATTTTTTATTTCAGTTTACAGACGTACCTTTTCCATTGTGGCGATGAACAGCATGGCCAGTGTGATCAGATGCAGCAAGGTCACGAACATCAGCAAGTACGCCATTTTTATTTTTCTTCAGTAATCTAAAACAAACACAAACCAGATTTTAAACTTCTACATAAAGAACTACTTCAGAAACAGACTTTATTAAATCCACATCCCAAATCCCCACTTTCCTTTAAAAACTGGAAAAAATCTTCTTGTGCAGTGTATTACATAAGACCCAAGCTTCAAATTAAAACCACTAAGTTATTATTTGAACATTGCCTGGCCCGTGTGTTTTGATTGTACAGAAAACATGCAGAAATCCGAGGCGTGCCCAGTGAAAATGAAAACCAAGCCAACGTTTTTCATCCAATTAAAATCATATGAATGGGACCTCTGTAATTCTCCAGACATTTGGATTTCATTAAAGGGGCTGAAAAAGCTGCCTTATATTCTTCCCTGGAAATGTGCTTAAGATTTGGACCTAGAGTAATGTGGATTTCCTTCTGGATCAATAAAGTAACTATCTATCGTTAGACAGAGAACTACTATTACTATTACTGTGTTACTGATACAACTACTTTTATATTTCAGGATATTTCAGGACAGTTGAAATAATATCTTTCTTCCTGGAGGTGGCATATCTTCTGCATGATTCCATGGAAATAGGAAGTTAAAACCATACTTTGGAACATTTTCCACGGAGATAGATTCATTTTATGCCACACTGTGGAAGATTACAGCCAAAGGAACATTTTCATGGAAACTACGAGCAGGAGGGGTCCTTCCTCCAGGACAAATAAGACTCGGGCTCATGGATCTACAAGGCTGCTCACAGTGAGGACACAAGTTATTCAGTGCAACAAACACAAAAGTAAAATTTTAAAAAGGATGTTTTTATTTTAGTCTATTTTTTGAGTAAAAAGTTGCCAACTGTGGCTTTATGTTTGATGTATACATACGAATCAATGATGAATAAGGATTTTCAACAGGCAAATTTTAAAATATTTAAAAAAAAAAAAGTTTCTGTTTAACTTTTTCAAATATTTACAATGTCATAAATCTATGTTTAACATTTATATTAAGCATTTTAGTGTGTTTTTATGTGCATGAATTGACTCTGACCTTAAAAAATGATAATAAAATAATCTTAAATTGTTCTATTTTCTCAAACATGATTGGGATATTAATCTAAATTCTGAGTAATATGAAGCGTATAGAAACAAACTGTTGTCATTTCTTTTGATTTTTAATGACCCATACACAGCAAAAATTGTTTAACTGAGTAGATTTCAGGCTGAACTTCAAGTGGGAAATTAAGGATATTTATACATTTTAACTTGGCTTATTGAATTCTAATAAAATTTGTGTTATCGACATAATATAAAAATCTTAAAATAACTGCATCTGTATCAGTTTAAGATTCATGCTTTAATAAATGTGGTCCACTTTGAGCTTTTTGTAGATGTTTTTTCCAGTGTGGTTTTTATCTACAATTGGCAGATAAACTAACCAAACCTAAATAACTACAAACAAGATCTTACCAGAGAATTCACATATTTTTTAATGATCTTGTATTTCTTTAAACAGAACGTTACAGCTTTCTCTTTTTTATTTTATAGCGTGATTTTATGAAGGAGACATGAAGGGTGTGACAGGCACAAAGGAGTTCATCAAGGGACAGGGCGACGCTGTTGGATGTTTACTGATGCTGATCTGAGGCTGAGGTCCAAGTGGGTGGCACTGCTCTGCTCTATCACATCAGATTAGCTCATTAAACGGGACTCCACTCACATACAGACAACAGGGGCTTTTATAGTGATGTAAAAATACGAGATTAAACATATGCCATTTAATTACATTTTATTGTTAATTTACTACTGCTTTACTACTGCTACCATCGCTACTACTTAAAGGTCTTATATTACGAAAAACTGACTCTTGTGAGCTTTAAGTCATGTTATAAAATGTGTTTTCTTTCATTCAGACATGTTGAGTAATCCTTTATTATTCGTCTGTCTACATCTCCAGAGCTCAGAATGCTCTGTTCCACCTTCCAATGTCATGAAGCTGCAGTTTTCAAGTTATCAATGACCTTTTTACATTTTGTTCAATAGAGACTGGTTGAAATTACCCAAATGATTCTAGTGATGATGCATGCAGTTTAAAAACACAATGGAGCACCTGCTGTATTACAACATGACAACACAAAGTGGAACAGTATTTTCAGTTTGAGAGAACAAGGTGTGGTTGTTAAACATGTGTGAATGAAACAAAACACAACTCCAGGTGTGTTTGTGATGAGAAAACATTATAACATAGATCAAAAAAGAGTGTAATGAGGACACATTTTACAAACTACTGTACGTCATAGAAGACACCAGTTTATCTAAAAAATAGTAGTAGTAGTAGTCTTACTAGTCATAGTAGTAGTTGTTGTTTTAGTAGTAGTAGTGGTAGTTTTAGTAGTCCTACTGCTACTACTAGCAGTAGTCTTAGCAGTAGTAGTAGCAGTAGTAGTAGTAGTAGTAGTAGTAGTAGTAGCAGCAGTGGTAGTCTTAGTAGTAATAGTAGTCTGTGTAGTAGTAGTACTACTACTAGTAGTAGTAGACTTAGTAGCAGTAGTATCAATAGTAATAGTAGTAATTAGTAGTAATTATTGTTTTTGTCATCGTCATAGTAGTAGTAGTAGTAGTAGTAGCAGTCTAGTAGTAGTAGTAGTAGTAGTAGTAGTAGTAGTAGTAGTAGTAGTAGTAGTAGTAGTAGTAGTAGTAGTAGTAGTAGTAGTAGTAGTAGTAGTAGTAGTACAAGTAGTAGTAGTAGTCATAAAAGTATAGTACAGGTAGTCAAAATCAAATAAGCCATAGTTATGTAAATGTATATGTACATGTCAAAATAAAATAGAGAAGTAGTAGTAGTAGTAGTAGTAGTAGTAGTAGTAGTAGTAGTAGTAGTAGTAGTAGTAGTAGTAGTAGTAGTAGTAGTAGTAGTAGTAGTAATAGTAGTAGTGAATTGCCCAGACTCATGTACACTATATTGTCCCTGTGAATTTGTTCTGTACATTCTTTCAAAGTGCTGCTGGGGCAACCTGTCACGAGCAAGTGGCAACAGCAGTCCAGCACCCAAACTCCACTTCAAAAGAGGCAACTGGAAATTTTACTAGTACCTTTCTAACTCTGGGGTGATGTTATATACTGTAATCACAAAAAGCTGTCTCCTGTTCAAACTGTGTGTCCAATTTCCAGCTCCAAAATAATCTTGTGATTTGACATTGACTTGTGACAGGAGACATGTGAGATTCTGAAGTAATGTACCAAGAAGAGCTTTGGCAAAACAACAACAATGATTCAAGCAGCAGAGTTAGGGCATATTTGAGTAGAAGTATCAAGAAGTAACTTTTAGTAGAAGTAGTAGTAGTGGCAATGTTAGTGGCTGCACAGGAGGCACAGACCAAGTCGTTGTTTTCGCAAGTAAGTGTCAAGTCTTTGACCTCAAGTTTGAGTCAAGTCCCAAGTCAAAAACCGGCAAGTGCAAGTCGAGTCTCGAGTCACTGTCCTATAAGTCCAAGTCAAGTCCAAGTCGTCTGCTTTGAGCTTCAAGTCATTTCAAGTCTTTAAACCCAAATACCAAATACAGCTTAGATTTTTGCAATTTATATACGTTTTAAGATAAATTGTACTTGTACTTGTACTGAAGTGATAGTATATTTATATATGAGTATTTATAGAGTATATAAGAGTTGTAGAAATGCTATTTTTTCCTTTTTAAATGTCTTGACAAGATCTTAGTGTGAATCATTACAGTCAGAATAAAAAGAATTCAGATTTAAAAATGATTCTCAAGTCCAAGTCAAGTCCCAAGTCACTGACCTTCAGGTCCAAGCCTTAATCCATTTTATCAAGTCAAGTCTGAAGTCCTGAAAATAGTGACTCAAGTCGAAGTCACGACTTGCAAGTCCCCACCTCTGAAGGGAAATAATAATATTTTTGTCATGTGGGAGCGTCAAGAAACAATTTTAGTAACAGCTGAAGTTAAAGTTAGACCAGAGGTACTTTGTTGTAGTATTTGTTCTTGCTCAGAAAACTCAAAATAAATCAACCTTCATAATGCACAAACAATGTATTTAAAAGGACTTATTATACTGTTTTCAAATACTTGTACTTGTGTAGAAAAATCCTGAGCTTACCTTAGTTCTCTGGTTTGTTTTCGGTACGGATCAGCAGCTTCTTTGCCTCCAAAACTCCACTGCCAGTTTAGGTGGTCCTCCTCACTCCTCACCACACCTCCTTTTTTAGTCTCTCCATCCCAAACTTCCAGAGGTTTACGCCCACTTCCTTTGCCCAGAACAGAGCTCCCTTTTGCACTCATTCAAAACAACATCATCATCCACAACGCAGAGTGCAAAAGGCCCACCCATTGCCACTGGGAACTGCACATAAAAAGCACATGTTGTAATAAAGTGTCCATTGGGAAAAGCTCGGAGAGAGGGAGAGGTGTATTAGGTAATTTGGAGCAAGTCGTGCATTCATGGGGTGCTTAAAGATTTCCGAGATGTGACTTGAAAAACACATTCTAGTACTGCCATATGTAGTAGCAGCTTAGACATTCGCAGTGGGATAGAATGAGTTAAACGGGCAAAGGGAAAAATGCCCAGTTGGAACAAACAAGGAGGTGTAAAATTGCAGGGCAGTAGATTCGTAAGGGACAAACTCTAAATCCTAAGGTATAGCTGAACTGACGTAACTACTTTTGTATGTTAGGAGAATGTGAAAGAAGCATAAAGAAGAAATAAAATGTGCAGATGCTATAAATAAGACTACTTAAAATCTCTAACCATGGGTGTACTCCTTCTCTATAGTTAAGCTGCTTGGATGAATCCCACTCAAGGACTCGTAACCCTCACCAAGAAAAGAACATGTCCCTTCTGTATAGATTTTTGCTTTAAAAGATTTTCAGTTCTGTTCCTTCATTCCTACATGGTGGTACATTAGCTATTGATTTATTATACCCAAAGAAATTAGATATATTATTGACTAATCACACAAATCCAGCATTAAACTATATTTTTTCCCCACTCCAACTGAGATTAATGGATTAATTTGGTGTTGTTAATGCAAAAATAATTGTTGGTTTTCTCCCAGATGAGGGCAAGGGCCAGTTCCTCCTGTTGATTACCAGTGTTGGGGAGTAACAGATTACATGTACTGGAGTTATGTAATCAGAGTACAAATTATGAGTAACTGTATTCAGTTACAGTTACTGTTTCAGTGAGTGGTAATTAGATTACAGTTACTTGGTTGAAATAAATGGATTACACAGAGGTATTTTCCTGTTTTCACATTTTGGGCTAAACCAGGTCTAAACCCAGTTCCAAACCAGTTCTAAACCTGGTCTAAACCAGGTCTAAAACCAGGTCTAAACTAGGTCTAAACCATTACTAAATCAGGACTAAACCAGTTCTAAAGTCGGACTAAAGCAGGACTAAAACCAGGTCTAAACCAGGTCTAAACCAGGACTAAACCAGGACTAAAGCAGGACTCGTAACCAGGTCTAAAACCAGGTCTAAACCAGGTCTAAACTAGGTCTAAACTAGGTCTAAACTAGGTCTAAACCAGGACTAAACCAGGACTAAAGCAGGACTATAACCAGATCTAAATCAGGTCTAAACCAGGTTATAAACCAGGACTAAACCAGGATTTAACCAGGACTAAACCATGCTGCGTGGACCATGTCTCCTCCTCTTCTATCGATAATATTTTTAATACGGTTAAGTAAAGTCGTGAAGATTTCCTCGTCTTTGCTTCTCAACAGCAAATCAAGTAATCCAAAATATTCAGATTACGTTACTCACTTTAAGTAATTTAATGGATTATGTTACAAAGTACATCTGTAATCTGTAGGGGAATACATTTTAAAAGTAATCTTCCCAACACTGTTGATTACATTGCACTTTAACTTCTTGGGTTCTTTAAAGATAATACAGTGTATTGTGTACTGTAATAAAAAAGAACCCAAGAAGTTAAAGTACATAAGAAGACAAAATTAACATCTTTGGCTTGATTACTCTGTACTTTCTCATAAAAGATCCAAAAAAATAAATGCACAAATGTTGAACCTGATCATTTCTATTAGTAACTAAATACTCACTGTAATACAACACAAATCAATCTGCATTTTAACCATATGACCTCTTGTATATAGCTAATATTTTATATTTTATTACATGTTTTTCTATTTTAGTTTGACTTGTATATATACATTTCTATAATTATGCCCTTATTTCATTTTAACACCTGTCTCTTGCTGTTTTTGTTTACTACTCATTTAGAATTTAGTATTACCATTTATTGCCATATTTTTTAATCTATGTTGTTATTATATAATATCGTGTTGTGTGAGCTACTATGTCCAAATAATTTCCCTTGTGGATCAATAAAATGTGTCTAAGTGTGAGTCAAATGCATTTTAGTGGCCCCACATCTGTATTATTGGCCTATAAAATGTTGTGATTTGTGTCATCTGAAACCCAGCAAAAACAACTCGGTTGCAACTGATACAAAGCTTCGTGAAATAAATTCTTCTTAAATCTTTCATATTAGTTTAATCCAGTAAATAGCGTCACCTAGTGGTAACTAGCTTTCACACACACCAATCTTGTGAAAGCATTATAATAATGGATGGGTATGTGCAGTGTATGTTAAATAATTCCATACATAGGTGTGATTATAGTCCTGTTAAACATCATTAATCATGAAATAACACAAATTAGATCGGGCCATATGAAGGCTCTACAAGTGGAAGGTACCATTTGTGAGTTTGGGGGTATTGTTAACTAACGTCATTGTAAACTGCTGGCTATCTTCGCAGAACATTGTCGCTGAAATAAAACATTTGGTATAAATAATATATTTTTAGAAAACATGTAGTTTTTTTTTTCTAAAATCGTAAATCTTCTAAAAGTATCCCCCCTTTTCCCACAGTGGTACATCCCGTTGCCTAGGAGATCGCCGAAGCCAAGTCCCTCCGCCGCGCGTGCCCGTTAGCATTTCCAGCGCGTCTAAAATGGTGAGTGCATCCTCCACACAGAGAGCGCCCGATCACTACTCCACACACGATTTAAAGCTACATTTATAACCCCACAGCACTCCGGAAAGTACACGAAAGCTTACAGCACTCCGCATAATCCCAAACTGCAAAACACAAGAGCGAGTGTTACTGTTAGCGACTAGCATTAGCTGCGTGGACCAGGGCGCTTTATCGAGTTGTAAACTAACTTTGGTTTTCGTAGCTGTTTGCTGTAAAACTGACATCTGCCTCTGCTTATTCGTACATTTCAGCTTTGTAGTGGCATTAAAGCGTTTGTGCCGTCCCTGGTTGTAGGCTCCTGGGCTTGAGGAATGCAAAGCTGTTGTCCCACCAAAAGAAGAAGCCCAGTTGCTCCTCCTCTGCAGACATTTTAGGGGACAGCTGGGAAGTGTTTTGGTCTGGCTGCAAAGTCGTGCACGATGCATTTTTGAACTGTTATTAAGCATGAACAGTTATTTCAACAATGGCAATAACAGATAGTTCATGTGTAATAGAAATCTTGTGTGCTTTGAATAGATTTAGGTCAACATAAATAAGAGTTACTGAGTGAGTGACAGAATGGGTTTATGTGGCTTATCAAGTGTCATTATGTGCTTTAGGAGTATTACAGTAGTTAATTTACAAATACTTATGGTGATACACAATACTAGGGTGATAATAAAATAAAATAAAATAATAAAAAAAAAACTGGGACATCCTTGGTTTGTGGTGGTTGGTAATCAGTGTTGAGAAGGTTACTTTTAAAATGTATACAGATTACATACTCCAAAATGTAGTTTGTAACGTAATCCATTAACTTAAAGTGAGTAACGTAATCTGAATACTTTGGATTACTTGATTTGCTGTAGAGAAGCAAAGACGAGGATATCGTAACATAAGATGTTTTGTTTGATAAAAGACAATGAAAAGCCCAGACTTTAATTAACTGTACTAAAAATATCATTGATAGAAGAGGAGGAGACACGGTCTGTGCAGCATGGTTTAGTCCTGTTAAATCCTGTTTTAGACCTGTTTTAGACCTGGTTTTAGTCCTGGTTTAGTCCTGGATTAGACTTAGATTCGACCTGGTTTTAGACCTGGTTTTAGACCTGGTTTTAGACCAGGTTTAGACCTGGTTTGGACCTGGGTTTAGACCTTGTTTAGACCTGGTTTTAGACCTAGTTTAGACCTTGTTTAGACCTGGTTTTAGACCAGGTTTACACCTGGTTTTGACCTGGATTTAGACCTGTGTTTAGACCTGGGTTTAGACCTGGGTTTAGACCTGGGTTTAGACCTGGTTTAGACCTGGTTTAGTCTAAACCAGGTCTAGTTAGGTTACAGCCCAAAATGTGAAAAGAGGAAAATACCGCTGTGTAATCCATTTATTTCAACAAAGTAACTGTAATCCAATTACCACTCACTGAAACAGTAACTGTAACTGAATACAGTTACTCATAATTTGTACTCTGATTACATAACTCTGGTACATGTAATCTGTTACTCCCCAACACTGTTGGTAATAATATAAATTGTGAAATGAGTGTGTAATTAAGGAAAATTGTTATACACTTGGCACTAATGTGAGTCAGTATAGTCACATTTTCTTTACTGTTGGCAGGGATCAAATTGGTCAAAAATAGCTACATTTCTTGTATAAAACTGGGACAAATCACTGGTTTTAAATAAATCAGCTGGGACAGGGGACACAGGGTTCAAAACTGGGGCTGTCCCGGGTAAAGAGGGACGTCTGTTCACTCTACACAATAGATTTAACAACTTACACAAACATAACACACAAAAATCTTACTATTTTGTGTGTTCTTTTAGCAGTAACAGTTTTTTCAAAGCATAGATTTTTGTATGTTCTACTTTTTGCATGTTTTGTTGTTACTGTTGTTACTACAGTGTCTAAGAAAAGAAACCAATCCCAGTTTAAGTACAATATGACTCATTTGAAATATTATGGTTAAGACTTTAATTTTCATGTCAACCCTTAATGCTTCACAATCTTAAATTATTTATGGACTGCGTGTTTAAACAGACTGTCAATACTGAGTGAGCTATTGAGTGATACCGGTTTTATGACATTTTATCAGCTTCCCATTTTGCATAGCCTGAGGTCATGTGCATCTTTAAGCGTTTGTGTGCAGGCCTGAACTTGATCATTGTATTCTTGTGTTCTTGTCACAGTGGAGAGTGGAAGAAGAGGGTTGCCATGGACAGTATTCAACCACACTAAGGATTTAGCGCCTGTTCTTTCATAATCACGCTTGGGGGAGAGATGTGGGCTCCGTCGTCTGAATCGGACCTGATAAGAAAACATTTGTCCCCCCGATGAAGCTCTTGTTTCCAAAGTGACAGATGGATCCTGAAGAGGTATTTTAGATCACTGGATTAACACTATATAACATGATACTGTGTGGATTATAAATTATATTATGTAGTAACTTGTAGATAACTTTATAATTGTGATTTATGGAGGTAGACATAATTTCCAATGTCATTTATTTGTGTCATAAAAAGCTGGTTTAAAAAAATTGCACTAACGAGAGGCACAAAAATGACAGAGCAGCTGAGGAATGTGTGTCAACATTCTTTGAGCCTTTGTAATGCCGATCCAATTAAAATTTATTTGTGTGTGGCACAGTGTGGAGTTGTAGTTGCCAAGAATTATTAGGCCTTTTTTTTTTTTTATACTATGACTGTTATTTTGAGATTCAAAGTTGAAATATCTTCAAAATTATGGATCAAAATCACTTTATTGGCAATAAAAGCAGACATTAAGGTTGTGTTCAGACTTGTAGAAACACTTCAAAACGCATCAAAATTCTGAACTAAACCTGGATTAGACCACAACTAAACCTGGATTACACCATATTAACCTGGATTATACCAGGACTAAACCAAATCCACAGCAGGAACAAACCAAGTCTATAGGAACAAACCAATTCTACGGGCCTTTGCTTAAGATGCGGTGTGCGTTTACAATTTCCAATCATTTAAATTATTATCCATATTGTTATTATAATATTGTTCCTAGTCCTGGCCCTTCAGTTATTGGTAACATAATGCACTATTTCAAATTTCAAAGATGTGCAGTAGGAATTCCAGTTTTCTACTTTGGGCCTCATTGAATTGTGAGGTAAACTGTATAACAAAAGCGAAGTGTATTTGTCCCGGTGTATGCTTGTCGCTTTTGGTCTGATGTGTAAGTACCTGGAGCAGAGACATGATCCTGTCCTTGTGAACAATAGTGCGTGTGTCGTCTGCTGGTCTCCCACAGCAGCCCTCTCTCTGCATTCTCCGGTTACATGAGCATTGTGCAGCTCTGAGTCTAGTGACAGGTGCTTAGTGCTGGCATGCCCCTCTGTTGTCCCCAGACTCCTGCATGTGTCAAGAAAATGGATCAGATACCAGCCGGGATGACAGCCTCAATGATGAGCAGTTTAATCGGTCAGGAATTTGTTGAAGATCAAGTAGAGAAAAAAGTAGAAATTGTATTTTAAAACCTAGTTAATTTGTGTATTGAAGACAGTATGTTCCATTCAAGGCAATCATAGTTACTGTAGTCTTACATTGCAGCTGATGTTGTTAACAGTACGTGGGAATGTGATGCTGATGTGAGCGCTGCTGTCAGAAGATTACACTTTAATCTGAGGTTTTAGTTTAACACAATTTGTCCCGAAAGAGCTGACTTAGTTAGAACTACAACAGGCGATATGATGTGTGAACTTAAAGAAGACGATCACCATTAACAGTTAGTCACTCTCACTTTTTGTTGGAAATCCAACTCCTAAACAGGGCCAAGAACATTTGTATTGATCATTGGCTTCTGAAAATGTGTTGTTTAAATCCATTTTATATTTTTCTTGATTTTTCAGATGATCTAAACCAATACACACACACATGTAAAACACCCCCAACGTGATGTCACTGCAAAGTATCAGTATGTTCTGGCTGAAAGCAAATACATGGCAAAATTGGTTTTGTTTGCTATAATGCACAGACACAACATCTGAATTTAAAAATCCATAACAATATTCATACAGTTTTTTCTTAGAATAGAAACATTTTCAATTGTCCTTATTGAAGCTTTGAACAGATGGACAGTATAGAAAAGAGTAGAGTAGAAAGCCTTTAATGTCATTATACACAGTATAATGAGATGCAGACCTGCTCCTTCAAAGTGCACACAAATTAACAGTTCTCATTGCAGACTTGAGTTTAGTATGACGACAGCTTTGGGAAATAAGCTGTCCCTAAGTCTGTTTGTTCTATAATATATCTAACTATCCATAATATTGTGAATGTTTTTGAATATATGCAGTATAAGATGTAAGATTGTAAAACAAAATCCAAATATTTTTAAAAAGAGCTGATTAAAATTTAAAATTTATGTTGTAATCTTTCAAACAAGGGTATAAAGTGATATTTCTGCACTTTTACAGGTCTTTTACATTTGTCTTATATTTGAAAGTAAACAATTACAGTGCATTTGAAGAAATGTTTAACACACATATCTGTTCTAGTGGTAAATTATCTATAGATTTTTATCAGGATAGTCATTTTGATCAATATTTCCCACCCCTATTACATACAGTACAACACCTTTCACTCATACAGTTGTACTCATTGATTGTGTGGTCCCCAGGTCCCGGTGGAGGGGGCCTCTCCTCCGGGACTCAGTCCGGGTCTCGGTCCGGGGCAGGTGCAGGAGGACCTGGTTCAGCAGCTCCGGGACTGTGAGGCCAAACTCCAGTCAGCCACAGATGAGCTGCAGACCCTCCGGACGCAGCAGGCCAACGAGATGGAGGAGGTGAATTATTCAGACTCCCCTGGGCTCTTTGTGTCGCAAAAGGTCAACTGTTAAAGAGCTTTTATGACTACAGTACCACATACAAGCCAGCTCATTATGTTGCTTTGGGTTTTATAAGTTTTACCAACTGTGTATTAAAGTTATTAAAATGTATTCTATGTCCTATGAAATCTAAATAACATTACATTATAGTAGAATAAGGCAAGATTATGCAGTAAAATCAACTGACCAGAATAACAAATGGGACTGACAACCATTAACCAAAATAAAAAATTTTCTGAAATTGGCTATTGGCTCACTTACCCAGTCATTGCTGATTATTCCAACTATATGAATTTTGTAGTACTTATTTTTTTATCACAGAATTACCACTTCTTGGATTTTTATTAGTTGAATTTATGGGCCATTCACTGTTGATCTGAACCCACTGCAATTTCATAAAGCTGATATGCATTCAAAAGTAGTAGAATTGGTACAGGATGTAGTAAGATGCAACTATAAATCTAAACTAAAACTACTTGTGTTATCTCACTATGTTCAGATATTGATTCTCTAATTCAGGCGTTAATGCTCTTAGTATCTATAGAGCCATGATATAGAACTGCATTTTGTCATTATAACTATTTCTTGTGCATCTTTCCTTCAGGTTGAGAGCTACGTGGCCCATATCCGAGGCCTGCTGGAGGAGAGAGAGAGTCTGACTGCGGACTACGAGAGGGACAATGAACAGTTGCGTCTGGAGCTACACCACATTCGAGAGCAGCAGGGTAAATAATACTCCGTCCACTGAGCAAGGCCGTCTCCGCTCGGCATATTTCACATACCGAGCACAGAAGTCTGTATAACTTGTCTTATGTTTTGGAGGAATTATGCAGCCTTCTCACACGACGGGCTCCCAATTATTCGAACTGTTCAAGCTGTAATTTAAAGTATTTATAAAAACACAGTGGTGAAGAAAGACATTTCACTTCAGTGCCAATTTCAGCTGATGTAGCCTATTTTATGTGGATGATAGAGACAAAAAACTAATAATATTAACACTTATAGTAACTGCACTTTTAATAGCCTTAATAAAGTATGACTTAATTCATAATTAACAAGTGATTTATGAGTAACTGAGGTTTATTTAATTGTAATGCCTAACCCTCTAACTGAGTAGTTTTGAAGTCTGAATCATTTTTAATAATTAATTTGTTCAACATGAATAGTCTTTCATGTTTTATTAAGGTTAATGAAGGTGTAGTTATTAGAAAGTGGTAACCAATTTCCTATTTATCATTATGTCAGTTCCAGGGATGTAACAATATCCAAATCTCTCAGTACAATATCATCACAATATGCATCTCACAGTACAATATTTATTACCATATTTTTGTAGATGGGACACTTTTTTGCTTTTAAAATACCTTGACAAGAGTTTGGTGTGGATTATTACTGTCATAATCCCAAGAGTTCAAGCAAAAAACATATTTCTTCATATTGTCTGCACTGAAAGGAATCATGGGATATGTAGTTCCTGATGTTTATAAGGTGTTGCTACTATAAAGCAATGCATTTAAGCAAAGGAACTTGTAAATCGATATACTGTGACAGTCACGATATTATTGTGAAACTTTTGATGATACGATATCACGATATCTTGGTTATTGTTACATCCCTAGTCAGTTCAGATGCCTCTCCTGATACGACTCTTGAAACTCCATGTCACTGTACTGAATCCTTGTATCCAGTTTTTAATTATTAAAAAATATACAGATGACTTAAAGGTTATAATAAGTTATAATGTAGCTTCCTCATCACAAACAGACCTGGAGTTGTGTTTTGTTTCATTCACACATGTTTAACACACAAATCTTGCATATTTAGTTATTCTCTCAAACATGTCATTTGGTAATACAGTAAGTGCCCCACTGTGTTTTTAAACTACGTACACCTTCACTAGAATCATTTGGATCATTTGAGCCCTGGAATGCCAATCTCTAGCTGTTAACTTGACCCCTACATGACATCACAAGGTAGACCGGAGCAATTTGAACTTTGGAGACAGACTAATAATAAAGGGTTACACCAACGTGTGAGAATGAAACAAAACACAACTCCAGGTTTGTTTTTGATGAGGTAACGATATCATAAGATCGCTTAATGCTCGTAATATAGAACCTTTTAAGACATAAAATCTCCATCTGACTAAATTTTGAGAAGGAAGATCAAAAGTGTCCATAATTCACCCTTTGTTTTGCAGAAGTGGAGAGTAAGGAGTTGGCGGAGATGCTGGCTCAGAAGGACCTGGGGGAGATCGGGCTGAGCACTCCCAGTGAGCTGGTGGCCTATCTGCTGGTGGAGAGGGCCACGCTGCTGGAGAGACTGGAGGAGACGGAGAGGAGGCTGGAGGGACAGAGTCTGGGCGAGGAATACAGGGAAATGCATTTACAGGTAAGAATAAATACTAAACAATTTTACAATTTACTGACTTACTAAAATAATATAATACAGTCCACTGGCTTTTTTGGTCTTCCTTAAAAATTATTAAGTTTAGGTTCAGGTATGTCTATTATTATATTATTATCTTGGAGTTTGATGGTTATAAGCTTTTGGAATTTGGTTGAAAATATCCTTTAGATTCACAATATTGCAGTAAATGTCAAAAATAGTTTAGCTGTGTGAGAAACGAGCCTGCTCAGTGCTGTAAAATAAATTTGAAATAAAGGCATACATAGAACAAATAAATCACTAAACAGTTTACCAAGACCGGGGTATGGAGTGAATGATTGATGATCTGTAAAAGCATCTTTGTGACATATGTCGGTGAAAAGCTCTATTTAAATGAAAACTTACTTACTTACTTTAATGTATCTTTTTATTTGAGCTATTCTTGTATGTAAATGTTGCGCTTGTTTGATGGTTTGATCCAGGAGATGGAGCACTTGAGGCAGTCTGTGGGCGAGGGGCTGTGGACGCAGAAAGAGGAAATGCAAAAGACAATGGAGAACATGGCCAAGGTGAGCTCGTTCACACGTCACCATGGAAACCAGCGCAAAACAATAATGGATTTATACCAAATAACACAGGTGCGTCTTTGTTCTCCCGCTCATCTGGGTTTGTTATTATGGCAACAGAAGAGGATTATCTCCAATGCAATTTTCTCCAACTCAAGAAGCTTTGTGCGGATGCGTCTCATACAATTAATATTTTTTTACTTGAGAGAAAACTTGGATCAATGCCGTCTTAGTATGAGTGATTGATGTTACAAAAACTAAAGCATTTTTAGTTCATAATCACAATTTAATGATTTACTGGCAAATATAGAAGGATATCACTGTATTATTTTTACACAGAAGGGCATCAGTCTAGTTCCCACTCCCTTCTTTGCCAGAACCAAACATGTTTATGTCATCAAAAGAGTTTTTTCAGTGACACAGGTGAAACGCAGGATCTCATTGTTCACCTATCATTTACAAACAAGTATAAGTGTAACGATATCCAAGTCTCACGATACGATATTGTCACGGTATGAGCTTCACAGTACGATATTTATTGCGATATCATGGGAAAACTCACAATATGGTGGGGAGGCTCACGATTAGGGATATAACAATATACAAATCTCTTGGTACGATATCGTCACCATACCACACCATACCAACTTTATTTAAAGCACTTTAAAAACTTTACAGGAGGCCAAAGTGCTGTACACAAACACAGGACAGACAATGAGAATCACAGTAGAAGAAAATATACAGTAAAAACACAATACAACTACTAAAAAACATAGAAAACAGTAAGATACTCAACAAGAAATGTACATGTCACTTGTTAAAAGCCAGTGAGAAAAGGTGCGTTTTTAGGAGTGACTTAAAAACAGGTACAGACTTGGCCTCTAATCTCTAATGGTGACAGGTTCCGCAGCCGTGGGGCAGCAACAGAAAACGCACGGTCCCCATGAAGCTTATGTTTAGTTTTTGGGACGGCGAGCTGCTGACCTGAGAGTGCGAGAGGGGACGTAAAGGTGGATCAAGTCAGCGCGTTAGGAGGGTGCTAGGCTGTGCAAACACTTAAGTAAATAAAAGAATTTTAAAATCGGCTCTAAAAGACACCGGGAGCCAATGGAGAGAGGCTAAAATAAGTGAGATGCTCTCGTGTTTCCGGGTTCCAGTTAAAAGTCGAGCCACGGTGTGAATCTCATGGTACAATATTTTGTGGAGGTTAACAAAACTGCTATATGATATTTTTTTCTCTTAAAATGCCTTGGCAAGACTTAATCCAAAGAACTAAGACTAAACGTGCTTAGAACTGTTATTTTTTCTTGTAATCTGCACTGAAAGGAAACAAAGGATCATGGTCTATGTAGTTCCCTGTCTTTTTTTAGCTATTGCTGCACCATAACTCCTGATTTAAACAAAGAGACTTGTAATTCGATATATTGTGATGGTCCACGATATTATTGTGAGGACTTTGACGATATAATATCACGATATTTTGGTTATTGTTACATTTATACAAACAAGATTAGATTTCCGTCACCTCAGATGAAGTTTTTGAGTCTAGTTCTTTGCTCATTGATTCTACAGAAATCAACAATGTTTTTCAGTCCCCTGTGATTTATTTATTTTATTTTATTTTTTTCCGCAAAAGCCATACTAGTTTTTATACGGACGAACCGTGCGTGCCCCTGATTGGCTAATCCATCAATCATGTCACAGAAAACAGGGATTGATGCACCGTTATGTACTTGGGAAACATGGCAGATTATGTACAAAAGGAGGACCTTTATCTGACAAAGATTCTGCTGACAGCAGCTAGAAGGGCAATTAAAAACAACGACAGTGGATAAAAATTATACAGAATATTTACCTCATATTACATTAGATTGAAGGTCTCAAAATTTATGAAGCTCTGGGAGAAGTGGATTACATCTGATCTAAAATGGGGTAAACCATGGTCACATTCCACGGTGAAAATGAACATCTTTTAAACTGACAATTCTTTTTGGGTGACTAATGGGAGTTTGCCTCGCAGTCTCAAAGCACACTGACTGAGGATCGCTGCTTTGTTGACACTGAAATTACAATTCTTAGCACTGGTGGTACTCCTCCTCCCAATACAATCAAGTTCTCTATTGTTTTATTTTGTTGCCTTTTTAAAAAATTTTTCCTCTCTGTTAAAAAGCAAATAAAAATGAAGTTGCAAAAAAAAAAAGAAAACCGGGATTGACCAGTGACCAGACTCATAAATTTGTAAAGTGTGTCTTCTTCATTTCAGACAACAACAACAAGAAGAACAAAATAACAGCTTTTTACCTGAAGAGATTCAATTGCTCATTTATCTCGTTAGAACTGTAATTTGTTGGGAAGAAAAGCACAAAATTTCTGTCTCTATACTTGGCGTTTTCTTCAAACTTTGCCCGTGTTTAGTCAGGAGAACAGCCAGCGTAAGATCTGGGAACTGGTCAATTACCACTTATTATCTACTACAATGATTATGAATTTTTATTACCATCGCTTTTTTATGATGTTGTAAGTTTTTGTGCACACGTTGGTCTTTGATTTTAGCAGTGCCCCACCCAGAGTCCGTGGAAGAAGCTGTTTGGTCTTCGCAGATCTGGTCAGAGCAAATACAATCTCACCCCTGTACGTTCAAATCTCCGGTCTATTTACACTCCACTAACACCAATCACGGGACCACCGAATCCTTTTACCTGTCCATGCATGACCACCACAAACCTACGTCCTCCAGCATGTCACGGGCTAAAGCATGTCTGTTTTAATCGGCAAACGTGGGACTAATATTTACCGAGCCTCTTTTCTCAGGTCTGCAAAGATGAAAAACAACATGCATGCAACTTTCTAATGATAATCCGTAATATTTGCTATGGTATATTTTCGTTATTTGAGTTTGAGGTGCTTTTATTTTAGGCTCGGATAGAGGAGATAACCCAGGAGCGTATCGAGCGGCAGAGGCTGGAGCGGGACCTGGAGGAGGCGTCTCGGAGACTGGCCATGGCTCATCAGGACATCAGGAGACTCACCAACGAACTGGACACGGCCAAAAACAATAACACGGAGTCCAGTGGTAACAAATTCAAAATATTACTGTCACTAATATTTTTTATATATTTTATGATTTTTTTCAATATAATAACCACAAATCTGTCCTTTCACAACATCTGACATCCATGTTTCATCAGCAAAGGGCACTATTTTTTGATCTTTGTTTTTTTTTTTTTTATCTGTGTTGTTTCCTCAATCCGTGTATCATTCGTTCATTCGTTTTTCAATATAAAACCAAAAATAAGAAAAGGAAAGAACAACTGTTTTCTTCATTATTTGTCTCCAAAACCAAAATGAAAAAACGGCTAACGATTTGTTTTTTTCAGTTTTCGATTTTGTGTTTAAATGAATAATGGAAAAAATGGATAATGGCCGTTTCCCGTTTCCCTGACTTAAACTGCAAGAACGGACTGAACCAGGAATAAACCAAGTCTAAACCAGTCTCAGTCCCAGTCTCAGTCCCTGTCCCGGTCCCGGTCCTGGTCCAGTCCCGGTCTCAAGACTAAACCAGAACTGAACCAGAACTGAACCAGGACTAAACCAGGACTAAACCAGGACTAAACCAGGACTAAACCAGGACTAAACCAGGACTGAACCAGGAGTGTTGGGACTGGCCCGGCCATGCCCTGCGTAGACTGTCGGGTGATCAGGAAACCGGGACCAGACTGGGACCAGGCCGGGACTCAGACCGGGACTCAGACCGGAACCAAACCAGGACTGAGACCAGAACTGAGACCTGGTTTAGTCCTGGTTCAATTCTGGTTTAGAGCTGGTTTAGGCCTATCTTAATCCTGATTTAGTCCTGGTTCAGTCTGTATGCTGCGCAAAAGTCCAGTATCACAGTTTAAGTCACAAAAACAAGAAATGGCCGTTATCCGTTTTTTTCCATTACTGATTTAAACACAAAATCGAAAAAATGAAAAAAACTCATTGTTATTTGTTTTTTCATTTTGGTTTTGGAGACAAATACTGAAGGAAACTGTTGTTCTTTCGTTTTCTTATTTTTGGTTTTATATTGAAAAACAAATGAACGAATGATACACGGATTTTCCTCATCGCAAACAGACCTGGAGTTGTGTTATGTTTCATTCACAAATGTTTAACACACAAACTCTGCATTTTTAAACTGAAAACACTAAAATCATTTGGATAATTTCAGATCTGGTATTGCCAATCTCTACTGAAAGGTAAAAGGTATTCTAAAACTACCACTGCATGACATCACAAGGTGGAACAGAGCATTTTGAGCTTTGGAGATGTAGACGGTCTAATAATAAAGGGTCACTCAGACGTGTGAATGAAACAAAACACAACTCAGAGGATGTTTTTGAGGAGGTAGAAACATTATAAAAAAAAGGCTTAAAGCTCACAAGAGTCAATTTTGTGACCTTTAAAGCTTGAAAAATTAAGCAAATAATTAAAGGTACAATTTCCATATATGTTTAAATCATTGTCTGTAATCCCAGGCTGTGAGCTTGAGGGAACAGTCCGAGAAGTAGAAAATCTGAAAAAGGAAGTGGACATACTCAAAACCAATGGTGGGACAGACTTGTGTTTGAAGTGAATTGCACGCTTTGTTATTTTTCTACGTGTGTTAGTGTGCGGTGCTTGCTTACAGGACACTTTTGTCTCTATTCTTAAATACATGAAAGTATTTGTATGTTTTTCAGACATGATGAAGCTGCAGAAAGCCAAAGATCAAAACGACAAACTGGACTCTGAAAACCGAGCTCTTAGAGACAAGATCCACACGTTAGAGGCTGAGAAGAGGAACCTAATGGAAAAGGTTAGAAGATTTAAGAAAGGTTTAAGAATAATGGAGATGGCAAATTTATTTATAAGGCGCATTTAAAACCAGAGTTGAGTCAGACTTGAGTCACTATTTTTAAGATTTAAGACTTGATAAATTAGACAAAGACTTGGGACTCGACTTGGACTTGAAGGTCAGGTGACTTGGGACTTGACTTGGACTTGAGGTCTGTGACTTGATAAGGTCTGATACTTAGACTAGCTGACAAGATAACTGTTTTTACGCATTCTTAAATCTAAACTCTTTCTGTTCTGATCGTAATAATTTGCACTCTTGTCAAGACATTTAAAAAAGAAAAATTAGAATTTCTACAGCTCTTATATAAATACTCATATAAAATATCCCATGACTTTTTAAGTACAATTTAGTTTTAAAAGTATATAAACTGCAAAAATCTAAAAGCTATATTTGGTATTTTGGTTTAAAGACTTGAAATGACTTGAAGCTCAAAGCAGACGACTTGGACTTAACCTGGATTTATGGGCCAGTAACTCGAGACTCGACTTGGACTTGTATGTCTTTGACTTGGGACTTGACTCGGACTTGAGGTCAAAGACTTGACACTTACTTGCGAAAACAACGACTTGGTCCCACCTCTGTTTAAAACAACGTTAGCTGACCAAAGTGCTGTACAATCAATAAAGTAAAGAAACAAGATTAAACAAAAACTTTTAAAACACAGACCGTTAAATAATTACAATACTAGGTGTGGTATAATTCTCACTATTTCTTTCCACTCTGCTTTTTGTTTGTGTTGTGCGTTCATAGATTTCCAGGAACAGCAACCCAGATGTTTCTTCCAAAGAGGAGCAGGGCTTTGGTGAAGAACCAACTGTGAATAAATCTGCCTTATTCACCAGTGACAGTGATCCCATTCACAGACGGTAAATAAAGTAGAATTGTTGAGTCACAAAAACTGTTTGCAGAGGTGGAAAATAGGCCTTGGTGATATGGAGATACAGTAAACATCTAATTGTGATCTCACTGCTGCGACGATCTGTTATTTTGGTGATACAGTCATAAAGTGATTCACTGTTTCTCTGTTTACTGCAGCTCTGTTGGTACTTCGCAGTGACACCGCTCATGGGGTGTTCTACGTGTATTTATAGGGCACAATGTTTACCAGTTGCCATGGTGACACAATGCACACATTAGCACACACCGTGAAAAAAGTTTAAGATAGTCTGAGATTTCAAGAAAGAATAGAATTGATTTAAACAGCACATTTTCAGGAGCTTGTGATGAATAGGAGCGTTCATGTCCCTGTTTGATTTTCAACAAAAGATGAGAGTAAATAACAGAAAAGCTGAAAAACTAAGGCTTGCTCACTTGTGATAGAAATGTTATTTGAGAGGGTTTAACAGCACAAATCAGCTCACCTACTGTACTTATAATTGTAGTTCCAGCTAAGTCAGTTCTTCAGACAGAGCAATGCCTACAATTAGCAAAGTATCACTGCTCAAACACGCACTTTTCCACACACTTTTCAATTTGGTTAGATTTAAGTGAGTGACAGATGAATTGAACCGATACAATACAATGTGTTCGTGATTTATAATAAAATCAAAATGTGACCCCCAGTGGAAAGTAACTAATTGCAATTACCGTATTTTCCGCATTATAGGGCGCTCTGAATTATAAGGCGCACTGTCATTAAATGGTCTATTTTTGAACTTTTTTTCACAAATAAATCACACCGGACTTTAAACGAAACACAACAGTTGGATGGGTCAGTGGGACTTTGTTTGACACGTTCACGGTGACTCTGGGCTTTGTCCAGCTGTGGCGTGTAGGGAGGGTGCTGTCTGGGACCGCTGGATTGTCGGCGTGTTCGCAGTGACTCAGTTGTTCAGTTGTGTCTAGAAGTGGCACATTGCACTCGCTTTTTCGGTTCGTTCCTCCGTTCCGTTTCTCGTCCGCGTGGAGTGATGAGTGTGGCTGTGGGTGTTTTTCGCTGCGCAGTCGCTGTCTGCTCCGTGTGTTTGCGTGCGCTGTGGGTGGTGCGGCTTTGTAGTTTACTAAAGTCGTGCTGGGACACCCGAGTGGAATTGTGTATAGGGCGCTCTGGGTTGTGGGGCACGCGGTCGTTTTTTGATGGGGTTGGAGGCTTTTGAGCGCGCCCTATGGTTCAGAAAATACGGTACTCACATTGTTGTAATTTAGAGGATTTATAGGTAATTGTACATTTTTTTGTAGACTTTAAAAGATGTACACTACTTCTCAAAAGTTTTAGAACATAATTTTTCCATTTATTTATTGCAATTCAAGTCGTGCGAGTCCAATGAAGAGCTTGAAATGGTACAAAAGTAAGTACTGAACAGCCAGAGGTTAAAAAAAGACAAAAGATAATAAAATACAAGTCCAGGCTCTGCCAAAACTACCTCAGGAAAAAAGAACAAGATGTAAAGCTTGAAAACATGGAGTGTCCAGCAGCACAGTGTCCAGACTTAAACCCCATGAAGCTCGTTTGGGATGAACTGAACCTACAAGTACCACACATTTATGGGAACTTCTGCAACAGATTTGGAAAGAACTTTCTGAAGAATATTTAATTTCTGTTGTAAAAAGAACGAGCTACAAGTGTGTTCAGCTGTTATATTTGCCAAAGGTGGACACTTTCATGAATCAAAAGTTTAGAATACATTTTGGTCAACAGTAAAAACTGGACAAAGTGTGGTGTTCTAAAACTTTTGACCTGTAGTGCATTTGTAATTGAGTCTAATTGTAAATCATAAGACTGTATTTATTTAATTTAAAATCATAGATATTATACAGTACAGCACAAGTCCCAGTTGTTCTAAAGCACATCTTTAGTACTTTGCACTGCTGCTTGTTTTTGTGTCCATAAACCAGGGGCTTTAGTCAACTCACTTTGGCCTGTTCTGTGTATCAGGTGTCAGGCGGCTGTGGAGGACGGTCTGGTTCAGCTGAAGGATCTCCAGAGGCAGCTGCAGAGACAGAAGAAGGAGAAGGAGGAGCTGGAGGAGAGGAACGAGGAGCTGGAGGCGTTACTGGGAGAGACTCAGAACAGCAGCCGTGAGGAGAGGCACCGGCACGAGGGGGAGGTGGAGGGGCTGCACAGGAGGGTGAGGGATGCAAATATAACACAGAGCAATGCTGGGGTTTCAAGTTTGTTCATACGGGAACTGTTGTGATGCAGATTAAAAGTCTTGAAGCCGAACTAAGGAAGCACGAGGCTCAAGAGCATCCTCTGAAGAACGGAGAAGAGGTCAAGACCGAGTCCTACTTACAACTGGTAGGAAATTACTGCTGAACTTCACAGTATGTTTTTTTTTTTTTTCCACCCATAGCGTTCGGCTCCAGCCAAATGAATCCCCGTATTAAAGCATAATAAAAACACCAGGATCATGTAGAGCAGGGTAATAGACCAAAATGATGAGGCTCGCTGCAGCAGTTACAGACAGAGGGGCAGCAATTTTTTTACGGAAAATCAATATGAGCCACGTTTGAGTTGATGGAGACGAGTTGAACCGAGTTTGAGGTGATGGAGCCGGAAGCCCCCCACCATCGTCACTTTCTATTTGGAACATGAAGCTTAGCAGATTAAATCTCAAACCTCAACTTTTCCATGTAAGTTTGGTTGTGGGCAAAACACCTCACCCATCATGAACTGTAGATGGTCAGAAGAGCCAGTGGTGCAGTTTTATCAGTGTAGTTCTGTTCAGTTTACACCAAGGAGACACCAGACCAAGTAAAAGTCAGATTTGTGGAGATGTAAACATACATGTTTTTCAGAGCAATAAAAACATCCCAAATCTTTTATCTGACTAAAAGGTAACATGGTAAGTAGGGATGTAACACTAACTAAAATATCGTGATATTTTATCATCAAAAGTTCTCACAATAATATCGTGGACCGTCACAATATATCAAATTACAAGTCTCTTTGCTTAAATTAAAAGTTTTTATGGTGCAGAAATAACTCTTAAAAAAGACAGCGAGAACTACATAGACCATGATCCTTTGCTCCATTTCAGTGTAGACTACAAGAAGAAATAACAGTTCTAAGCACTTTTAAGTCTTAGTTCTTTGGATTAAGTCTTGTCAAGGCATTTTAAGAGGAAAAAGTAGAATATTATTAACAGTTTTGTAAACCTCTACAAAATATCACAATAAATATCGTACCGTGAGATGTATAATGATAAAATATCGTACAGAGAGATTTGGATATTGTTACATTCCTAATTATGAGCTTACCCACCATATCGCAATAAATATCATACCGTGAGGTTCATACCGTTACAATATCATATTGTGAGACTTGGATATCGTTACACCCCTAATGGTAAGGCTATAATAGTTATCAGTGTTCCAAAGCCTTAATTATTCATGAATATGTATTAGTTGCTTAAAATAAAAATAAGAAATTCAATAAGTTGTGGTTTATGTATTATTTCTAGCATCTCAGAGACAGCAGTCAGGAGAGACTGGCTCTGCTGGAGGCCCGTCTGACAGAGGAGAAGGACTGGAGGAAACAGCTGGAGGTGGATCTGAGCTCGGCCCAGACGGCTCTAAAGAAGGACAAAGAGGTCTGACTCACTGAGGACTAAATTAAATGTTCTTTCTTTGGGCCAGCAGCAGAAGTGGCAGAATGTGTTAAACAAGACTTCCTCATCCACGTGAACCCACTTAGTTTTGTTATATTTAGTGTGATTTTCATGCATGTTTGTATTAATTGTAGTAATTCTGCTGCATTCAAGACGCCATTGTTCAGAGAATTCCAATTTTCACTTCCAATTACATGCCCACTTTCCTGTACTTTCAAAAACATGTAAAACAAATGTGGATATCAGCTTTGCAGTTTGAACAGGAAGTCAAACACTCTCCTTTTCTACAATGTTTTAAATCATTATTGTGATTTAAAGCAGATCTAGAGAGGTAAATGAGATCGCCTCGTCTTATTTACCCTCTCAAAGTTTTATTTTGAGTGATTCATGGATGTTTGAGCAAGCTCTAATCACTGCATGATATTCATCTATCCGAGGAGTGGCTGAGTCATTGTTGTGATGACGTTTACAGTGACGTCAGCTCCTACTGGGCACCGCAGTGTTCTTACACGGACATCAGCGGATGTGTGTCTTATTAAGTCATTTTAGATGAATAGTTCAGCTGGGTATCATTGAGAAGTTGCCGATACGATACATATCTTGATACAGTGCACTTTCGATCTGATACGATATATTTCAAAACGATTCGTCTTTGTTAAACCATTTCTTCTGCAAAGTGAATATAAAACACACACATTTTAATCATCAAAACAGTGAAAATGTCAAATGTGTTCCATAAACAAGTTTCCTTCCTCTAAATAAGCAACAAAACTCTAGTGCTGTAACAAAATAATTTAGTGAAATATACAAACGTAGAGAAAAATCCCGCACACTGTCTTACTCGCAAATTGTGAGATTTATTATAGTAACTGAAAGGATTTATTAGGTTTGTTCTAATAAATCTCACAATTTGCAAGTAAGACGGTGTGTGGGATTTTTCTCTATGTTCTTGGGCTGCTCCCTCCCTTCCAACGCACCCATCTCTAGTAAATGATGTGTGAAGTTCTCATTCTTTTAAAGTGAAATATACTAAAATATACTCTTGGCGATAAAGCAGCCCTTGATATCGATACTGTATCATCACATTTAACGAAATGATATATCAATAATGAATAGTGTGATTTCAATTTTGCAAATTATAACACAGCACCTTCTGTGTTCTTTAAATGAGCTAAATGTAAAAAAAAATATCTGTGTTTCTTTAAAAAGTGTACTATTTCTATACCAGATTGGATTTGAAAGCGCACTTCATCTCCCCACGACCTGCTCTATTTTGGCGTAACAACATCGACATTTTAAATATGTAATTATTCATTTACCCAGTGGTTAAACGGTGAGCTTTTCAGGTTACAGTTTAGCTCCTCTGTGTGCAGGCTCTCCAAGCAGCTGAAAGAGAGCTGAAGAAACTCAAGATGGAGGTGAACAGTCTGCAGACCGAGTGCCAACAGGGAAAGACTCTGATCAAGAGCCTCACGCAAGTCAAAGGAGAGAAGGCGATCCTGGAGGAAAAGGTCTGGATATAGAATAATGATAGCTCAGAAAGATGTGACTAAAACTAAAACGTAATCTTCCTGTCATCAGATGGCTCAGTTGGAGCGAGCTCACACCCGGCTGCAGACTGAACTGGAGCGAGTGAAAGAAGATGAGAGAACTAAAGAGGCTCAGAGAGGAAACAGTATTCAGATAGAACATTTACAGCAACAAGCCGATCGACTGAGAGGTGAAGTGGACAGTCTGCAGTCTGCTTACAACAAACTCAGGTACAACTACACATGAGAGATCAGTGTAAATGTTATATCAACTTAGGTCAATATGGGATGCATTTTTAAATTCAGGGCTCACAAGCTTTCCACTATTTTGTTTTCTTGCCACAAAAAACAAACTTATGTGATCTAGGACTGAAAGATTTGGAAAAAATATCAATAATGTCAATTTTTTCTGATAAGCAATGCAATTTTTAGTTTTAATAATAGGATTCTGTCCAAAGTTCTCATTTTAAACATGTCCGGAAACACAAAATTATGAATTGGCAAACTAATACAAGAATCACATTTCAGAACAGGTTTGCACAGATCTAAATTACAGGGTTAGTTTTTTATGCAGAAAAAGACACAGGTCATTTTGTTGTTTGTGGATGAAATTATTGTACTTAAAAATTGCAGTCTTTTGCTAATTGCGTGCATTTTAATTATGGGTTTGATTCAATTGTGGTTAATCTTGTTGCTGTCTTGTTTCATTCCCACCTGGATGATTATTACTCTGTACTGCATATTTAGGCTGTCTTCCTCTTGAGAGCCAAAATGTTTTGTCTCACAGCATGATGTCATCCGTACATACACATTTAGTAGACTTTAATAGGGTTTCATGTTTTAATTATCTACACTTTTTTCACTGATCAACTTTGAAATATCATTGCAAACATGTATTTTGTCCTTTACTGCTCCTTACACCATGACTTAATGTTTTATATTCCAGGGATGAGATGGTCTCGGAGCGGCAGCAGACCTCCGAGCTCCAGGACAAACTGAGCGCCAGTGTCCAGGAGAAGATCAGCGCTGAGGGGGAGAAGGAGAGGCTTCAGCTGGAGGTGCAGCGTCTGAACGAACAGCTCAAGTTACACAAAGAACAACTGGAGTCCAGCAAAGAAGCTCTGACCACACAGAGGGTCCAGACAGAGGAGAGGCTCAGCCCAGTGAGGAGCACCCGAGAGGAGGGCTCCAATGAGGTGGGCTCATGCTTTTGGGTTACAGTTTGTTAATGGTCAGTTGGATTTTGAATCACTAGCACTGTACAAACAAAACTGTAAATCATTTATTTAACAACCAATTACGTTTTTTCTTTTGTATGGAATTATTTAGATGCGACTAAGAATGCAAGATACATTAAAATTAAATCAAAATCAGTTTGCAAATTAATCTGGATTATACATACGGTACAAATAATTGTTATTTGTGGGTTTATAGTCCGCATTTTTGGAACTTTTCACCATTCAAAAGACATACGATTGTGTTTTAATTTGTTAATTGCTATGATAAAAGTGGTAACCTACAGATAGTTCAGGAAATTGTCACTTAGATATTTTTATAGCAAATTTCCATTGTCAATAAGTCAGTTTCAAGTTTTCCCAGTACCCAATACCACTAGCAGTTTTTTGTTTTTGTTTTTTTTTTCTTAAAATTAAAAAATAAGCATTTTGAAAACATTTATTTATTCATTCATTGTATCTTTAGCTCTTCCATCTGAAGCAGGAGCTGAGTCAAGTCCAGGCCAAACTGGACCGAGAGCGAGAAGTGTCTTCCCAACACCAGCTGGCTCTGCAGGCCCAGCTCAGCGAAGCACAGGCTCGTGTTAAGGTAAATATTTAGACTATTACCAGTCCGTTTATATACAAGGATATGTTCACTTTCATGCTCCATTTATTTTACTTATTTTGTCATTCAGCTTTTTGCAGTGACAGTTTTGGTTTGGGCTGTGTAATTCATCACATTTTAATCGAGCTCAAGATTGCAAATTATCAATAATTAACTTGGATTTTCGGTTGAATCAAGAGATCTGCAGCCAAAACTCTGTGATTTGGAGAAGAGTTCAGACTTTGTAGGACATTTTTGGACTATTTTATGTTAAAACGCCACTGTATAATTTTGTACTGTTTATCTTTAAGAAATTAATATTAAAACCTTTGAACCAAATTTTTGAATCATTTACCTAACACGTAATCACATCTTTCTTTTTTATAATATTTAGATATGACTAAGAAAGTAAGATCAATTTAAAGACATTTGAATTTATATACTAAGACAAAATCAAATTATAAATCGTGATCAATCATTATGAGGATTTTTGGACTATACATGTCTTAGTAAAAGTTGTATTTTCTGTTTTGTTCGCACAGTCCCAGGATTCTGTGTTGAACCAAAGGGCAGAGGAGGCTCGTCAGATGAAGCAGGACCTGCAGAGAGCCCAGAATCTGTTCACTTCAGCCGAACGAGAGCTGAGATACGAGAAGGAGAAGAACATGGACATCAAGAAACACAACACACTGTTAGAGCAGGAGAAACTCAAGGTGAGACCTACAACACTGGTCTTTATGGAATTATACATGCAATAAAGTCCAAGTTTTAAAAAAATACTTTATGAAGCTTGAAAAGAACTTTATATTTTACAAATCTTTGAATGTAAAAGTAATGCTTATTTAAGTGTGTTTCAGTCGTTTGTTTTGGTCTTCAACTTTTAACCCCCATGTAAAAATATTTCTAGTTCTTGGTTTAGATAGAAGAGATGGATGAATATACATATGGATTTTTATTTTATTATTTATTATGTATTTATTTATTTTTAAACAATAGAATATAACATTTAACAAAATACAATAATTAACATAAAAACAAAACACAAAAACAGAACAATACTTACAACAAATATTAACAACAAAACTGCTCACCCTTAACCCACCCCATCCCCCCAAACACACAGATAGACACAAATTTAATTAAATAAAACAAAAGTAATGTGGTGCTGCAGCATAACCACACTGCTAGGCCACCTTATAGTATTTATATTTTGGCCAATCTGTAATTTAATTTCCCTTGATTTTATTATTACTTGAATTTTAATATATGCATCAAAGAAACATCTTGTGTAAAAGTTAAAAAATTGAGTTGCTGTGTTAGAATTTTCCTTTTAAGTGGCAGTTTTCAGATGTTTTGACCTGGTTAAAGGCGCAGTACATGATTTTTACTGTCTCAAAAACGTGAAAAACGGAATTAGTTAATTAATTTAAGTTATTTATTATCTCATGCTTTCTGATCATTCTAAATATTCATCACAATAAGTTCGTAAGAGCTTTTCACTTCGCTCGCAGACAACTGCTTAGTTTTACCATGACTCTAAACTCACAACAACTAGCAGGGTAACACACACTTCCTGATTATCAGACGCTAAAATACTTTATAATTAGATGCAGACAGTATGCATTTTATTTTGAACTCAAGAGCTGCTTATACGACCAGGGCAAGGCTCAAATGCATGGGGGAAAATAAGGTACAGGTCCTTTAATATCTTTGAAATTACTGGGCCAATCCAAATAAAATAATAATAATACTGTTTTTAGTTAAGGTAATGTTTTTTCAAATGGCCAGTTGTTCATAGAGTTGGTTGCCGCCTCATATTCACTAAACTAAGATAAGATAAACTATAATTATAATGTCTGTCTGTGTGTTCTCAGCTGTGTGCAGAACTGAAGCAGCTCCAGACCAAACTGATCCACACGGAGCAGAGCGTCCAGTCCCAGATCTCCGAGTGCACCCGACAGCAGAACAGGGTCAGAGAGTTGGAGCTGGAACTGGCGCGCTCCACCTCCAACCGCAGCGCCACCACCAGCCTCCAGGAGGAACTGCAGGCCGAGAGAGCGCGCCTCATCGTCGCTGATAAGAAGGTCAGAGCATTGAATGAATGAATTAATGCCTTTATTTGTCAGTTTCTTCACATTTACAAAGCATACAAAGGAATCAAAATTGGACTTGTCACCCCATTTGTACATTTAGAATAATAATACATAACATTGGGAGACTAGACATGGGCCAGTCTGGAAGACAGGGAGCAGAGGAAGAAAACGAAACACCAGAACACCAGAAGAAGAGGAAAAATTGTTCCTTGTTATTAAAAGATGTATGGATGCCTGTTTGAATAATTTATGTTGAAGTCCCAAATACTGGTTCAGAAAATTTTGTGATAATTGTATATTGAAAACCATGAACAAATAATCCAAATTTTTACTTTATTACAGGAAAAAATTATTACATAACCATGAAAAAACGAACACACTTGTTCTAATAAACTTGTTTTTCAGGTGGTGGAGTTGCAGCAGCAGTTGAAGTCAGCTCAGCACATGTTGCGTTTGGAGGAGGCTCGGGCCGGAGAGAGCAGCCGTTTGGAGAGAGACAGCAGAGACCTGAGCGACGCTCTGTCGGCGCTGAGGGCCCAGCAGCAGGAGGAGCACATCACCAGGTCACACACAAGTCCAACTTTGTTTAGTTTTCCTGTCTGGTTCAGTGTTATGGATTCTAGTCATTATAACCTACAGTTTTAATGTAAAAATCTAAGTCCACGTGTTATTTAAGGATGACTCCAGTATTCCAGTGTTTACTATCGATGGATTTCAGAGTGTATTAGCACTGTTCACATAGCAATTAACGATAATCTTCTGAAGTCCTCAAATGACACCTTTAAACAGGAATCTAAAATCCATGAATATCCTTTGACACTATGATGGCAAGATGTGTAAGCATTCCAGTTCTATTAACTTTTAGTATAATTACTTAATTTTTGCGATATTACAAGAAGCAAAAAGTAATAATAATAATACAATTTGTTGATCCAACATTAGTTCAGCTCACCAGCAGTTTGAGATCAAAACTCTTTTCATACCTAGGATTTTTCACTTTATCGTGATTGTTGCATTATGATGAATACCAGAGTTGAAATGTTGTATTGTGAAACAAATATTATGTTCTTCCATGTTTTTGTGCTGACACGACTTAACCGTACTGTATATTGTGTTGTATTCAGGAAGTTGCTGGAGCAGAGGGAGGAGGAGCTGCAGCAGCAGCTGAAGGCGCTCAGACTCAAAGAGGCGTCTCTGAACAGAACCAACTCTGAGCTGAGTCTGAGGAGCCAACAGCTGGACACACGTCTGGTGCTGCTGGAGAGTGAACTGAGCAAAGCCAGAGAGGAGGTCAGGATGTACAACAACTGTAACAGCTTCTGCCACAGCACAAACGGCTCTAGAGCTAACTGTGCTGCTCAAGTCAAACTAGATCAAATAATTACACCTTCTCCGAAAGTGTAATTCTGTTCAGACAGCACTTTGTAAACGACTGCAGGACTTAAACATTTGAGAAAAGACTGAAATATGAACTGATAAACTAATACAAGAATCTCATACTTTTCTGAATATGTTTGTAGAGGTACAATAAGATGTAAGACAGAGGGAATGATATTATCGAAATAATTGCAGCCGTTGCAATTTGATATTTGCACCAACTCATATATTGTGCAGTCATAATCTGTATATCCAAACCTTCACTTAGGAGTTTCTCTTCACTTATGCAGATTTAATTACCACAGGAAAAAAATCATTAACAATATTCAGAATAGTAATAAAAAGTCAAAACAAAATAAGTTTATTTCTTGTTTCTAAAGGTGAAAAGCAGCCAGCAGTCGACTCTCAAACTGCAGGAGGATCTGGCATCTAGTCACTCCGAGAATGAGCGACTCCAGTCAGAAGTGCAGCAGGTTCTCCTCCAGATGGATTCATACATCAGGTGACATATCTATAATATATAGACCATAGGCTTAATCTTATAGTATGTTATTTATCATACTAATAATTATATATATACTCTTACATTACCTGTGTCTGAAACAGGAAGTACAATGAAAAGCAGAGCCAACACAAGACGAAGCTGCGCCAGGCCAAACAGGTGTATTTGAAAGCCACAGCCCAAAGAGACCGACTCATTCAGAAACTGGAGAACGACCTGCTGCTCGCCTCCAGCCTCTGCCACAAGGTACTGCCCCCTGTTTTTTGTTGTTTGTTTTTCTTTTTGTTCTGTTTTCAGGTTTGAGCCGTTCACTCCCAAAGAGAAGTCATTTTGCATTTTGAAGTAGAAGACTGTGCAGCCTTCAGTGCAAAATTTGGAAAAACTTCACCAACGGGCAAACAAATTTGGACTTGGTACCAAAATTTTAAAAAGGAAGGCTGTTTATGCAGGGCTAAAGGATTACATATGTGTGTGAACATATTCCAAAATGCAAAATGACTTCTCTTTAGGAGTGAACGGCTCTACCTGAAAACAGAACAAAAATAAAACATTAACATAAAACCTTGATCTGTTTCTATACAATCTGTGAAAATTTGAGGTTATTTCAACAAGAACTGACAAAATTATCGGCCGGCGAAATTATGTACACCCTGTATTTCCATGGAAACAAGCTTGTGTTAATTGAATCTACACAGAGGCTTTAATCACAGGACTTGTATTTATTATTTATTTACATCTGACTGTGTGGTGTTTGTCCAGGAGAAGGAGCGCACAGACACGGTGATGCAGGAGAACGAGAAGCTGCTGGAGGAGAGACGAGAGCTGCTCCAGAAGATCAGCGAGGCCGAGGAGATGGGCAGCAAAGGCATGAGGACGGCCTCCACCATCGAGCACAAGTACGGGACTGTAGGAAGAACTATACTCACTGTTTAAACATATAATGAAGGTTTTCTCTCACCGTTTCCTTGCTCTGAGATATATATCGATTGATTCACGCATGTTTGAGTCCCACATTATGCACCTATTTCATACTTACTACTTACTGCAGTTCATTGAAATATTCAGATTTCAGGTGATGCACAAACCAGAGCTCGAAATAACAACATTGGAAATAAAATCAACCTTTTTTGTCAGTGAAAAGGTCCTGGTATTGTCCTGTTTTATGATGAAATCCAACACAACTTAACATGAAAGTCAAATCTGTTCAGTAGTTCAGAATGTTAAGTTAGTGGACTTGATTCTTTTATTATCTTATTATTATCTTATCAAAGTTTTCTTCTTCCTACTCCTTTTGATGTTATTTCTGCTATGATTTCACTGATGTTATATGTTCCATTGTAAAAGAATGTAAATTTCTTAGTTGCCCAAAATAAATACATAAATATCTTTAATGTATTTTACAATTGAACCACAACTGCAAAATAAGGATCTCTGTGAAGGCAAAGAGAAATTTGATGTTTGTAGGGAAAATTGTCCTTGTATTTAAACGATCTTCTAGCAAATTCTCATCAACCTCTGTACCACAGCTGATGATGAAGTGGCAGCCATTGACACAAGCCCCTAATGTATCTGTAGTTGATGTGATGTTGCTTTCTTTCCCTCTGTGACTTTTCTGTTTCTTTCCTTTTCGTTCTGACTCAGAGTAAACGTGTTGGAGGCTGAGAATCGGCAGCTGCAGGAGCGGTCTCTGAAACTGTCCAATCAGGTTTGTTCTTTGGAGCGCGCCCTGAGGAACGTGCAGTCCCTCTACAATCTGGAGGTACGGCAAGTATCAAGTATAAATAAGTACAAATAAAAATGTGGAGGCACCATTATCATACGTATTGACTGTTTTCAGAAGAAACAGACTCAAGATGGTTTTAGTGAGCTGCACACATCATCTATCAGGTAAGATCTCTGCAATTACTGCTAAAAAACTTGAGTAATCTTAGAAAAATGAATGGAAATTTTAATAGACTCTTGTATATTAAATTTTTGTACAGTATGGTACTTGTGGACAATATGATACCCACATTAAAGATCCATTATTATGCAAAATTTACTCTTGTGAGCTTTAAGCCAGAGGTGGGACCAAGTCGTTGTTTTGCAAGTCTCAATTATGTCTCAAACCTTTGACGTCAAGTCCGAGTCGAGTCCCAAGTCAAATACAGGCAAGTCCAAGTCGAGTCTCGAGTCACTGGCCCATAAGTTCAAGTCAAGTCCAAGTCGTCTGCTTTAAGCTTCAAGTCATTCGAAGACTTTAAACCAAAGTACTAAATATAGCTTAGATTTTTGCAATTTATATGACTTTTAGGCTAAATTGTACTTAAAAAGTCATAGTATATATATGAGTATTTATATAAGTGTTGTAGAAATGCAATTTTTTCCTTTTTAAATGTCTTGACATGAATTTAATGTGAATTATTACTGTCAGAATAGAAAGAATTCAGATTTAAAAGTGCTTAATAACAGTTATTTTGTCATGAGTCTGCACTGAAATTGAAGGATCATGTTCTCTGTAGTTCCCTCTGTTTTATTACATTGTACTGTATATTACTGTAGTACATTTAAGGATACTACATCACAGTACTTCAGTTGCATCCAAAGTAACAAGTAGAGAAGTAGGAGGGACATGTTCCAGTTTGTTCCTGTAAAATTCAGCACTGCATTTATCAATTGTAAAGAGAAAAGTATTTTCTGTGTATATATATATATATATATATATATATATATATATACACACATATATATATATACACACACACACACACACACACACACACACATATATATATATATATATATATGTTTTTTTTTTTTTTTTACAAGTGTCTTCTAAATTCAGAGGGCTCAAGTCTGAGTCAAATACAAGTCAATGACCTTCAAGTCCAAATCAAGTCTCAAGTCTATGTCATTTTATCAAGTATCAAGTCCTAAAAATAGTGACTCAAGTCTGACTCGAATCCAAGTCACAACTTATAAATCCCCACCTCTGCTTTTGGCCATGTTTGATTGTTGTTACCTCATCAAAATCATAAGCAAAGTTGTGTTTTGTTTGTTTGTTTTAGTTTGTCTACATCTCCAAAGCTGAAAGAGTGATGAACTTAAATATGCAGTGTGTGTGTGTTAAACATGTGTGAATGAAACAAAACCCAACTCCAGGTCTGTTTGTGATGAGAAAACAACATAGATCAGAAAATAGCGTAATATGGGCTCCTCCAGATCTACTTATGACATTGTTTATAACTGTGTAAAGTTCATAAATAATACAATACAAGCTCATGACTTTGTTACTTTCCCTTTAGTTTCTCCTCCGCCCCGCGCGAGAAGCTGGACATCTTGGACGCTCTTTGTCGTGTGAAAGTGGACGGGACACGCCTCTCCTCCCACAGCTTCACCGAGCAGAGTTACCTGAACCTCACCTCCCCCGTGGCCCCTCCCCCCAACGCCAAAGACCCCGAGGACGGACCCCCGAACCAGGACAAGACCTGAACTCAACCAGGTCTCAATCCCAACTGGTACAGGGCCCCGAACAAGCTGTAGCATCTACCACAAGACAGAAGAAGAAATCGTGGTGAGAGTAAATGCGTAAAAAGCAATCGTAAAGGCTTAAAATGCGTCTCGGCTCAGGTATCATCCATTGTATTAAAGGGCCCATATTACGCTTTTAACTGATCAATGTTTTAATGTCGTTTCCTCAACACAAACAAACCTGGAGTTGTGTTTTGTTTCATTCACACATATTTATGCATATTTAGGCTGAGTTCTTCTTTTCAAAATTCAAAACTGGGACACACTCGGGTTGGGATGGTTGGTTTAAATAAAATTGTGAAAAGAGCTCATAACATTGTCCATTCTTAACTCACTTGTTGTGGGTCATAATCTGAAGGACTTCTGTCTGTGTATTTTTTTGCCTTATGCTCGTTTTTAAGTTCAGTTTTCTGTGTTTTAGCTCAACAAATGACATTATATTGCCCCTTTTTATTGTTGGTGTGTATCAGATTGGTCAAAATAAGGAAACCTCGGACATTTCTTGTATAAAACTGGGATGAATCAGTGGTTTTAGATAAATAAGCTGAGACAGGGAAACGGCTCAAAACTGGGACTGTCCTGGGACAAAGATCCAGAGGTGGGGACTTGCAATTCGTGACTCGAGTCGAACTTGAGTCACTATATTTAGCACTTGAGACTTGACTTCGTAAAATAGACTAAGACTTGGGACTCGACTCGGACTTGAGGCCTGTGACTTGAGAAGACTTGATGCTTCTACTAAAAAAATATATGTTTTTAGAAAATACTTTTCTCTTTACAGGTGATAAATGCAGTGATTAATTTTACAGGAACAAACTGGAACATGCCCTTCCCCCTCTGTTTGTTACTATGGCAACAGCAACTGAAGTACTGTGATGTAGTATTCTCAAATGCACTACAGTAATTAATATACATTACAATACAGTAAAACAAAGGTAATTACATGCAGACGGTGCAGAGTACATTACAATATAATTGGAATTTAACATCTTAATTCTTTCTATTCTGACCGTAATGATTCACACTAAGATCTTGTCAAGACATTTAAAAAGGAAAAAATAGGATTTCTACAACTCTTATAAATACCCATATATAAATACACCATGACTTTTTAAGTACAATTCAGTTTAAAAGTCATATAAGTTGCAAAAATCTAAGCTATATTTGGTTTAAAGGCTTGAAATGACTTGAAGCTTAAAGCAGACGACTTGGACTTGACTTGGACTTATGAGCCAGTGACTCGAGATTCGACTTGGACTTTCCTGGCTTTGACTCGGGACTTGACTCAGACTTGAGGCCAAAGACTTGAGGCTTACTTGGCCCGACCGCTGCAAAGAGCGACGTCTGGTCACCCTCGAAACCTTCACTAGAATAATTTGGATAATTTCAGCCCCGGAATTGCCCTTTTCTACTGAACTAAAGATAAAAGGTCACTGTTAACTTGAAAACTACTGCTTCATGACATCACAAGGTGGAACAGAGCATTTTGAGCTTTATAAATGTACACAGACTAATAATAAAGGATTACTCAAATGTGTGAATGAAACAAAACACAACTCCAGGTCTGTTTTTCATTAAATAATAACATTATAACACAACTTAAAGCTCACAATTTTGCGTAATATTGGACCTTTAAATATTGTGGTGGAATAATAATCATGATTTTAGGCACTTTGACCGTCACTTGTGGCCTCTGTGGTAAATGAGTTTAATGTACAGCGTCGCCAGTCACCGTTAATAGTTTACGCAGCTTTGGACTTTTTGGTACAATGAATTTTGGTAAAACTATTTGTAAAAAACCTTGTAAATACTGAGATGTTTGACACGAGCACTTTATACTTTTTTATAGTACTACTTTCATTTGTTTACATGACGATGGAGGATGTAGCAACAGAATAATAATAATAATAATTGTCCTAGAAACAGCTGAAGTATTTGGTTTTGTGTCAAATCTTGTTTTACTACGAAGATTCAAGAATACGGAGAAACACTATACACTGATCAGCCGACTGACATTTGTTTGTTTAAAGGTCCACTCCACTAGAAATGTTACGCAGTGCACCTTTAATTAACATCTTTTATAAGCTCTAGTAACCGAGAACCTCATTTTCTTCTTGTTCTTTTTTTTTTTTTAATTAAATCATAACCGTACAGTACAAAATTCTTAAAGTGTTCTGGTAAGCGGTACTTTTGCCCACTTAAGTATTATATTTTTCTTTTAACTTTTAATTTGTGCCACAGTTAAAACAGATAATACAAAACAAAACAAAATAGCTACGTAAATATCAAATGTCTCACTGTAACTGAATTTATCTGTTTGAAGTTTTAGGCTTGATGTACGATTTCTTAAAACTGTGAGCTTTATGATAGTTTTGCATTAAAAATAATCATCTTATCAAACAATGTAGGTTTAGTAAATAAGTATACAGCATGTGGAGACGGAGAACTACTGAAATCAAGTCTGAATTCATGTGTTTTAATGAATGTGAAAATTCCTTTTGTCGTCAAAGGCTGTTCAGTGTGTAGTCGCATGGTACTTAGCCATGTTTTCATCAGTGGTATTCTCCTGTAGTGCTTCTGAGCGCTTCTTTTATACAAATCTGCAAAGAAAAAATGTCGTGAAGCAAAAGCACTTGTAGTTTAAATGCTTGGATTACCGACACGTTTCTTCAGAAGTGTGAGTGTTTTCTACCACTGTGTGTTTTTTTGTATTAAGAGTTCATGATCACGTAAAATGTGCCTGAAACGATTCACTTGGACTCGCTGCTGCGTCTTAAAACAGAAGCCTAAAAGCAACAAACGAGGATCAGACTCTGTATTCTGTAAATATGTTTTGGGAAATAAAGTATTTTCATAAATAAATGTGTTAAATCTTTTGTGTGTTCAGTGGGTTTCAAATGCAGGTTTAGGAGTCAATATGTTTGACACTTTTCACACCGCTATGATGTCCAACGACGTTCATTTGGTCTTCTGATAATTTGTTATTAGGTTCTTTAGGGATTATAAACCGGGACGAGGGGCTTTTTTACTCTCACACACCTGGGATACAGTCCTGAGGAAGTTGGACTGCAGATGGCGCTGTCATCCTGTCTTCCACCGGTAGGTAGACAGCGCCAAAACGTGTATAAATCAGATGACTAGACACGTCACAGCAACATCACGTGACCACTCTGAGGAAGACCGCAGGGAGCAGTCGAAACTGTCAAGTATGAAAACGAGGAAAAATAACCCCTATGATGTGTTTGTGATGTTATTTTTGTGGCTGTAGAGACTTTTCAAAGCCTGATCTCGTCAGATCTCAGAGGCTGGGACTGGGTACTAAATGGATGGGAGAGTGCTGATAATACCAGGTGCCACAGTGGGTAAAAAACCAAATCCAAATCTCTTGGTACAATATTTTCCAGATATGCATCTCACAATATAATATTCACTATGATAGTTTGGAAAGGCTGATATAATTGTAGATGGAACACTTTCTTCCTTTTAAAATACTTTGACAAGATTTTGGTGTGAATTATTTCCTTCATAATCCCAAGAATTCAAGTAAAAAACACATTTCTTCATGTTGTCTGCACTGAAATGAATCATGGGATACGTAGTTATATGTTCATTAGCTTTTGTTATATAAAACACAACAACATTTAAGCAAAGGAACCTGTAATTCGATATATTGTGACAGTCTCTGATATTATTGTGAGACTTTTGGCGATAAGATATCACAATATTTCAGTTATTACATCCCTATTGTCTAGTATGAACGTGGAGTGCGAGAGTGTTGGTGGTGGTCGGAGATTTCTGTCAGTCTATCCCAGGGCAGCTGTGGCTACAATAATAGTTTACCACCAAGTATGAAAGGGACTTTTCCTAGAATCAAAAGCTAATCAGGTCCATACTGCAGAAAGATCCAAAAACATTCTACATACTTACAAACAGTAGTCAAGATGTAGTTAAAATATGAAAAGACAATTTGTTATAGAAAAACTTCTAAATGTACTGAGGTAAAAAATTGCAGGCGTTTTAACTTAAGTACTGGAAATGTACTTCCATTTTGTTACGTTCCACCACTAAAACTACTACAGCTCCTCCTGCTCCTGCAAACCACAGACATCACAAGAACAATCAGAGATAGCAACCCCCCCATGAGGCATTGGTGGGAGCAGTTCATCACCACAGAAGCAGCTTATGAGGAGCCCAGCCCATACCCCGGTTATGTGTGTGCCAACTTGTGTGATGACTGGGTGAATATTTTAGCCCACAGATGGTTCAGAAATTGCCGACATTGTCTATCCTTTATAATGGCGTGACCTTTCAACTGACCCGTGTGACCTCAAATGACCTCGGATCATCACCAAACTTTTTTTGCGGCATCGGGCACGGGGGCTTGACCCAACGTACCAAATTTGGTGACAATTGGTCCATAAATGGCGGAATTATCGCGGGTGGACAGACACAAAACCTGGTCAACCATTCGGGGACCAGGTAACAAACTGATATTTACCACAATAATCTCAATGAAAACAGTACAGCGTTCAGTTTATAACAGTCTGTTTAATAAACAAGGTTAAGATACAAAGCTTGTTTTCCTTTTTTAAACATTGATAGTTTCTCACTCCTGGCTGTGCATAATTAGTTTAGTCTAGAAAGTGTTTTAATATGAAAGCACAATGCAGACAGGAGGAAAAAGTGTCTAAGGAAATCTACATAATACTTTTCCATAGAGAAACATGGTTAATACAGAGTCAGCTTGGTGTGTTAAAAAACAACAACAAAGAAATTAAAATTATATGATTGAATACTGCAAAAAAGGACAGAGAGGGAGACGAAGCTGGTTCAGTAATGTGTGAATGTGGCTTTTCAATTCTGAGAAAAAGGCCAGAAATAAGAAGAACTTTGTATGACTAATTGCAGTGAACACAACGGTCAGCTCTAGTCAAATGAAGCTCACTGAGGCTGGCAGTTATAGGACCGAATTTGGCATGAATTTATGAGGAATAGGAGTTTATTTAAAACACCAGGATCATGTAGAGCGAGTTAATACGAACATTTTAGGACGCAAATGACTAGATTCTAAGGTGTTTGCTTTTGGAATGCATATCTTATACCAATCTTACACATATTTGGTAAAGTGTCTTGCCCAAGGACACAGCAATATCATGGATTATCGATCACATTTACAAAATACTGAACCCTCGTTGAAAGAGTTAGTTAAAGTCTCTTGAAGTGTGGCTGTGAGCTGTAGCTGAAAATGCTGCTTTCTCTCTTCGAAATCATCGTAATTGGACTTTTGGAGATTTATTTAATACAGATTTAGTTTATTATATTTGGATTGTGATTAAATTTGTGAGAAATGGTTGAAATCAAGCAGTTCACAGGGAAAAGATCTTAGTAATAGCGTAATAATTTGGGATAATATCTAGTTAGAGCTGACAATTTATGGCCCAAAAAACATCCGTCTCTGTTAATAAATTGCTAATTGTGACAATTTAAAGGCGCACTGTGTAACTTTTCTGGTAGAGTGTCCATCAAATGCTTTTCTCCATGTTGTCTCCATGTTATTGCTTTGTCTGGATTGGAATGTTTCACAGTATGGCATTAAACCTTTCTATCTTCACGGAGACCAAACCAGACCAGGTTACAGGTCAAATCTGCCAGTTTTTCAAAGTATTTTTGAGCTTTAAAATCATCTGTACTTGAATAAATGTGCGTATCCATAGAAACAAGCAGGTGACGGAGCATCCACCAGAAAAGTTACACAACGCGCCTTTAAAATAGAAGTTTACATTTCAACTGCTATACTAACCAAAGCCACAAGGGGTCAGTAGGAGAACAAATAATTCATCTAGTTTACGATTGGCTGCTTTTGTGACAGGATTTTCCGATATGTGTGTCAGTGCGTTAATTTCTAGTCAGTGCAAAAGGTTAAATTAAATACCCATCTTTTTTTAGTAAACGCAGTATTTGCAGCTACAACATTCAGCCTTACTACAAGTTTTAAAGGTCCTATATTACACACGTCATGTTATAATGTTGTTACCTCCTCAAAAACAGACCTGCAGTTGTGTTTTGTTTCATTCACACATTTGAGTAACACTTTATTATTCGTCTGTCTACATCTACAAAGCTCAAAATGCTCTGTTCCACCTTGTGATGTCATGAAGTGGTAGGTTTCGTGTTAACAGATCCTTCTTTCTGCCTTTCGTTCAGTAGAGATCGGCAATTCCAGGGCTGAAATTGGCAAAGTTTGAAATGATCCAAATGATTCTAGTGAAGGTGTATGGAGTTTAGAAACACTGTGGAGCATATTTATGTGCAAAAATATTGAAATATTGTAACATCGAAATATCGTATCGTTTAATGTGATGATACAGTATTGATATCGTCGGCTGTTGTATGGATATATCGCCAAGAGTATTTTTTTGGCGTATTTTACTAAATTATTTTGTTACAACGCTACAGTTTTGTTGCTTGTTTAGTGCAGGGGTGTCAAACTCATTTTGGTCCGGGGGCCATAACCAACCTACTTTGATCCAAAAGGGGCCGGATCAGAAAACTCATGGCATATATAACCCCAAAAATAGCAATAAGTTCAAATATTAGTGGAGAGAAATGCAAATCTATAACAGAAATCTTTTTTAACTGATGAACTCTTTCTTTTACAAAATATTATAATATTATGAACAACCTGAAACTTTAAGAAAAATGCAATTTCAACACAATGTTTTAACATTAACTTGTATGTAAATAGGAATAAGTCAATTTTCATGGAAAATCCTGCACTCGGCTCCACTTTTCTCATTTTTGACATTTTGTTGATGAGGGTGTCACGGTCAACAGTCAAAACGATCGTCCTTTAAGAGCGTTTGGAAAGAGACAAGTCTTCATTTGTGCTGCTCTGGTGGGAGGGGCCACGTACAGAGACGCTGGAGATGCTGCTATGATAAGCAACGCAGAAAATTACCAATATTTTCATAGAAAATATAATTCAAATATTTTAGTAGAAAATCAACCAGAGGGCCAGATTAGAGGTCTTGGAGGGCCGGATCCGGCCCCCGGGCCGTATGTTTGACACCCCTGGTTTAGAGGAAGGAAACTCATTTATGCAAAACATTTGACATTTTCAGAGTTTTGAGGATTAAAATCGGTGTGTTTTACATTAACTTTGCACAAGACTTTTAGTATCACAGCCATGATTTAGTCTTGATTTGAAATATATCGTATTGAATCGTATCGAATCGAAAGGTCACTGTATCGAGATATGTATCGTATCATGGCCTATGTATCGAGGTATGTATTGTATCGGCAACATCTTAATGATACCCAGCCCTAGTTGAGCACTTTCTGTATCACCACATGACATCACAAGGTGGAACAGAGTGTTTTCAGTTTGAGAGAAGAATTAAATATTCAGAATTTCTGAGTTAAACTTGTGTGAATGAACCAAAACACAACTCCAGGTCTGTTTGCGATGAGAAAACAACATTATAACAGATCAGAAAATAGCGTAACATAGGCCCTTTAAATGTGCACTGTGTAACTTTTCCGTTCCGTCTCCATGGCGATGTCACCGCTTGCCAGCTTTGCCTTGAATGTCCCACAGCACGGCATTAAACTGTCATAACAGAGACGAAGAGGCGACGACGGCACACCGAGGATGCATGCGTTCGAAAGGGTGTTAATTTCACTATAAAACACCTGAAGTAATTGAATAACTGTAAGAAAAGATAGGTTTAATGCCCTACTGCGGGACATTACAGGCCAAGCAATGACAACGCCGTGAAAAGGGGGAATCCGAGCCAACTTAAGTTACACACTGGCACCTTTAAAAAGCAAAATAACTGAAGTAAAACATGGTTAACATAAACATCAGCTAAAATAATTACAGTAACTTCTTTATAAACTTGTACAGGAACAAAATATGCTTCTTAAAAAAGCTACTATGAATGGATAACATGTACAAACTCCCATAGACGAGGGAGCTAAAGAGGCAGGATTCGTTGTAATTTCGTTCTGTTTTTGCCCAATGGCTTGAGTAGTAACAGTATTTTCATCTATATAGTGTACTGTGTGTATACTTATTTTACATAGTCCCCCAAAAAGTCCAGCACTGTCTCCGTTAAGTGCCCTGAAGGAGGATTTTTGTACCGTCCAGAGGTTCAAAGTTACAGTCAAAACACAAGCGTACAGAAATACAACGTACAAATTATCATGAGGCGTACGGGAGGTGGAGTATACAGTCAGTAAAGCTTATTTTGACTTTAAAAAATACTAAAAGTGGGCTGGAACATCTGCACAGGGCGTCACAATTTGGTCCCGTGTGTTACTGCAGGGGTCAAAAGTCGCTGATTTAGCCAGGGGAGTCCAAAATTTATCATCAAAACACAAACCGAGGTGAAGGCAAGTCATGGGTCGTAAACTGGTGGGTCATACAGTGAATAATTTAAAGCTGCATTGTGTAACTTTTCTGGTGGATGGTCCGTCAAATGCTTTTTTTCTCAGTGGGACAGAGCTGGGACCAAGTCGTTGTTTTGCAAGTCTCAAGTAAGTCTCAAGTCTTTGACCTCAAGTCCAACTCAAGTCCCAAGTCAAATACAGGCAAGTCCGAGTCGAGTCTCGTGTCAGTGGCTCATAAGTCCAAGTCAAGTCCAAGTCTGCTTTGAGCTTCAAGTCATTTCAAGCCTTTAAACCAAAGTACAGCTTAGATTTTTGTAATTTATATGATTTTTAAACTAAATTGTACTTTTTGTACTATTTACAGAGTATGTAAGAGTTGGAGAAATGTAAATGTTTCTTTTTTAAATGTTCTCAACAGGTCTTAGAGTGAATCATTACAGTCAGAATAGAAAGAATTCAGATTTAAAAGTGTTTCTCAAGTCACAGGCCTCAAGTCCGAGTCAAATCCCAAGTCACTGACGTTCAAGTCCAAGTCGAGTCCCAAGTCTTAGTCCATTTTATCAAGTAAAGTCTCAAAAAAAAAAAAAGACTCAAATCTGACTCGAGTCCAAATCACGACTTGCAAGTCCCCATCTCTGGTCTGGAATGTTTCACAGTATGGCTTTAAACCTTTCTATCGTCATGGAGACCAAACCAGACAAGTTACAGGTCAGATCTGTGGAGAGGCGACCTCGCTCACAGTCAGAATGCCTGTTTTTTTGTTTTGTTTTTTTTTACATATTTTTGAGCTATAAAACCACCTGCAATTAAATACATGTAAAGTAGAGCTGTTTAATGTCATACTGTGGAACATTCCAGACAGAGCAATGGCGTATCCATAGAAACAAGCAGGTGATGGACCTTCCGCCAGAAAAGTTACACAATGCAGCTTTAAATATGTGCATTTATAACAGGTTAGAACGAGCCTCTAGACCTGTAATCATGCTTACAAACACACATCTGACACTGGCTTTATCAAGGTAGATTTTAGAAAACTCGTAGTAGTAGTAGTCGTAGTAGTAGTAATAGTAGTAGTAGTAGTAGTAGTAGTAGTAGTCGTAAAAAGTACTACGCAAGATAATATGGGCCAATTCATCTGGAAGCCTGAGGGCCAAGAAAAATTGGTTTGAGGGCTGCATTTGGCCCCTGGACCACAGTTTGGACAAGCCTGAATTAAGCCATTTGTTTTATATTTGGATTTAACGGATGGATCGTCCTTTGGCTGGTTTAGAACCGATTTAATCCTTGTTTAGATCTTCAAGTGGATGCTCCAAAACTTTTGAGCATTAATGATAAAACATACTGTATATTTTTTTGTCTCGAACAGACATAAGCACAACATAAGGTACATTTTTGTCCTTATTTGTAAAAATGTAATAAAAGTAAAAGACTAAATATTTAATCTACCTAATAAAATCATTGTCCACTCTTTTTTAGAGGAATGATGGTGAACTTAAAGGTCCGGTATTACGCCAATTTGACTTTTGTGATGTTTAAGTCATGTTATAATGTTGTTACCTCCTTAGAAACAAACCTGAAGTAGTGTTTTGTTTCATTCACACATGTTTGAGTAATCCTTTATTATTAGTCTGTCTACATCTACAAAGCTCAAAATGCTCTGTTCCACCTTGTGATATCATGACTTGGTAGTTTTCAAGTTAAAATTAATTCTCGTGAAGGTGTATGGATTTTAAAAACACAGTGGAGAATTTCCTGTATTACCACATGACATCACAAGGTGGAACAAAATGTTTTCTGTTTGAGAGAAAAACTAAATATGCAGGATTTGTGTTAAACATGAATCCGTGTATCATTCGTTCATTTGTTTTTCAATATAAAACCAGAAATAAGAAAGCGAAAAGCAAACTGTTTTCTTCATTATTTGTCTCCAAAACCAAAATGAAAAAACAGATAACAATTTGTTTTTTTCAATTTTCATTTTTGTGTTTAAATGAATAATGGAAAAAACAGACAACGTTTCTTGTTTCCTGAACCAGGACTGAACCAAGACTAAAACAGGACTAAACCAGGACTAAAACAGGAATAAACCAGCAATAAACCAGGACTGCAACAAGACTAAAACAGGACTGAAACAGGACTGAATCAGGATTAAACCCGGACTAAAACAGGACTAAACCAGGACTAAAACAGGACTGAACCAGGACTAAAACAGAACTAAAACAGGACTAAACCAGGACTGAAACAAGATTAAACCAGGACTAAACCGGTCTCAGTCCTGGTCTCAGTCCTGGTCTCAGTCCTGGTCTCAGTCCTGGTCTCAGTCCTGGTCTCAGTCCTGGTCCTGATCACCCAATAGTCTACACGGGCACACCTCTGGGTCTGTCCTGACACTCCTGATTCAATCCTGGTTCAGTCCTGGTTTAGTCCTGGCTCAAGTCCTGGCTTAGTCCTGGCTCAGTCCTGGTTCAGTCCTGGTTCAGTCCTTGTTCAGTCCTGGTTTAGTCCTGATTCAGTCTTGGTTCAGCTCGAAAGTCCGGCATCACAGTTTAAGTCACGGAAATGGGAAACATGATACGTTTTTTCATTTTGGTTTTGGAGACAAATAATAGTAGAAAATAGTTGTTTTTTCATTTTCTTATTTTTGGTTTTATATTGAAAAACAAATGAACAAACGATACACGGATTGACATGTGTGAATGAAACAAAACTCCAGGTCTGTTTGTGATGAGGAAACAACATTATCACAGCGTAACTTGGGCCTTTGTAAATGTTTTTGACTCATAGGTGTCGCATCGTGGGTATAAAAACAAAACTAAAGACACACATTTAGTTTTACACCTTGTTCAGGTTCTTATGGCACTAAAACATAAAAACTAAACCTAACATGGAAGTGTTTGATTACTTTAGGATCATTTAAGGTGCCTTTAAAACATGGAGGAATATTTGGGGATTAATTTAACATTCATTTAACGTTTCGCCCTCGTTTTTTTTTTTTTTTTTTACAATCACCAAATTATTAAATTGTCTTCCAGCGATTGCCTTTTGTTCACGGACCCTGTATCATGGAACAGGACTGAGGCTGTAGCTGCCTTTGGCTTCTCACGATTTCGCCCAAACCCCAGTGGCCTCAAAGTGCTTTAAATCATCTTTGGATGCTTCTAGTTACACCCAGAAAATAGGAATTATTTTATATTCATTTTTAAAAGGGCTCATGTTGTGTGGCACATTAAAAAAAACATTTAATGGAAGTAAAAATAAGCCTCCTTCAGACCAAACACAAAAGCCTTTCTCTCACAGATCAGCTGCTGTCTACGTTTACTCTTCTCTGATTGGTTGGACAGCGCTTTAAATTACCGTATTTTCGGGACTATTGGGAGCACTCATAAGTCTGCAACCCCATCAAAAAACGAGTGCGCGCCCCACAATCCAGAGCGCCCTATACATGAATCCACTCAGGTGTCCCAGCACGAAAACATGCAAACACGCACGGAGCAGACAGCGACCGTGCAGTGAAAAACACCCGCAGACACACTCATCACTCCACGCAGACGAGGAACGGAACGGAGGAACGAACCGAAAAAGCAAGTGCAATGTGCCACTTCTAGCCACAACTGAACAACTGAGTCACTGCGAACACGCCGACAATCCAGCGGTCCCAGACAGCACCCTCCCTACACGCCACAACTGAACAAAGCCCAGAGTCACCATGAACGCCACAAACAAAGTCCCACTGACCCATCTAAGGCTACCTTCAGACTTAATGCTCAATTGCGATTTTTTTGTGAAATCCGATGTTTTTGCGAGGTCGTTCACATTTCCAATTAAATGCTACTTGTATGTGACTCCAGTTTGAACAGTAAACGACCTGAAAGTGTCCCGCATGTGCACTGGAGACACGATGACGTCAACCACAGCGAGCGTGCTCTGTGTTTATGGAAGCTGTCCAAACATGGACGCGAGCATTGAGCACCTGGCGATTTTGAAGTTTCTCTCGTACCGGAGCCAGAACATGAACAACTTTCTTGTTTTAAGGAGGAGATTGAGAAGGAGAAGGACGAGGTTTTGGCTGTGGCGTTTTGTGGGGCAGCGGCATTGACGTCCTTTGAAAGGAACGTGTGGATGTGGAGACGTAGTCAAGAGTGGTGAGTGGTGATGTGCTTCGCTTCAGTGACACGTAGTTCATTAACAATTTTCGCTACATCAGCGCAGAATAGTGACGTTTGTGGCTTGTTGATAACGTGTAGGTCTGATGAATGCGCTTTGGCCGTTCAGACTGAAGTCACATGTCAAAAGATCGGATATGTATCGGTTTTAGGACCATATATCGAAGTGGCCTGGGTCGCATTTGAAAAAATCTGATCTGTGTCGTTCAGACTGTCATTAAAAGATCGGATACAGGTCACATAGGGGCCAAAAAATCAGATTTGGGTCACTTCAGGCTGCAGTCTGAACGTAGCCTAACCAATGACAGTGCGCCTTATAATCCAGAGCGCCTAATAGTGCAGAAAATACGGTATTCACTTCCCAGATTCTTAAATAGATAAACACGGACAAACACAGACAGAACTGTAATTGAAATGTGTGAAAGTTTAAGATCAGTGAATCAGCAAATTTCGGTTCATCATTTAGGGAACTTGCAATTCAAGTCTTTCCTTAAATAAGATTCTTAGTAGCCTGGCCAGCCAGACTATTTGTAATATTCAAAGAAGTTAAGTTATATAACCAGTTACTTGTATCATAACTTTTACTATTTTGTGAAAAGGGGCAGGACAAACGGATGACAGACATTCAGTCTCACTCCACTAAAAGGATCTTGTGTCTGGTCTGAAGAAGGCCTTGGACCAACTCAAACATGTCTAAAAGTCCAATCAACCCAACGGTTTACTCAACTGTACCAAAAAGTGCTTTAGAAATCTGACGCGTAACAATATCCGACCTCTCCACTCTCCACGAATCAACAAGCTTTGACATTACATTCGTAAAATACTGCTGCTTTGTTTTTCAAACCACTTTCACTAGGTTCAAATGGCCTGTTAATACCAGCTGTAGTACTGTTTGTGCCTGTAGGTGGCGGTAGCGGCAGGGCCTGGTGAGCGAGCTGCGCCGTGGGCCCCACTCTGGATCAGATGAGGGAGATGCGGATGGGGATGCTGTTGGGGGAGTCGGTCCTCTGTGGAGACTGGTGGTTGACCAGGTGTTCCACAACAGTGTGTTTGGACATGTGCTTCATAAGGTAGGTCTCCTGGGAAAAAAAACACAGAGAAGAATCAGAATATGTTTCATTAAAGATGCATTGTGTAACTTTTCTAGTGGAGGGTCTGAGATGTTGTTGTTTTGTCTGGTATTAAACCTTTTTTATCAGTTTTTTGAGCATTAAAACCACTGTGGAACATTTCAGGCAGAGCAATGACATCTCCATAGAAACAAGCAGGTGATGGACCCCCAACCATAAAGTTACACCATGCATCTTTAAACAACAACTATGCACTCTTATGTAACCTTACGTCCTGTCAATCATCAGATCATCTTTGTACTTTTTCCTTACGACCTGCTGAGTTTTTCTGTATCGAGTTTTTTAAATTTTTATCTATATTTTTTATTACTTTATTTCTATATTTTATCTTTATTTTTTACTGGTACATATACATTTATATAATTATGCCTTTTTTTTTTTACACCAGCCCTATTTTTGCTACTTATCTAGAAGTTACTATTACCATTTATATTTTTTTCTCTTTATATTGTTATTTATTTATTGTTATAATATAGTGTGATGTGTGAACTCCTGTGTCCAAGTAATGTCCCTTGTGGATCAATAAAATTTGTCTTAGTGTAAGTCTAATAAGCTAATAATCATATCATATCATATAAATAATATACTAATCAATAATAAAGCTAGTATCAAAACATCTATACTTGGATTTGAACAAGTATAGATGAAAATAAAAATATACTGGTTATACTATAACATTTTCTGAACAATTTAATCTTGAATGTTATCAGAACAAGTGTAATACCACATAGTAAAATAAGCAAATACTGTAATTGTGTGTTGAAAACGAGTATATTGTGTAAAAAATAGCCAAAATAGTCAAAATCAAGTCTATTCCTCAGTACTAGAGTTCAATTTATTTTATTGTTTGTTTTTAAAGCAATAAGTACATCTGGGACCTCATCCAAATGTACATAGATGGTACAAAGTTGTAGTAAAGCAGATTGAAGTATAAAAGATGGTGCGACTCACTGAGGTGTACGCGCGCCCGCACATGCTGCAGCAGTACGCCTTGGCGTTCTTTATGGCGTGCGCCGACAGGTGGATCTGGAGCGAGGCCGAGTCCGAGTAGGCACGGTAACAGTTTGGACACTTATACGGTTTGTCTTTGTTGTGCTGCCTCTGGTGAGACTGTGGACGGAGACAGGGAGACTGTTACCATGGAGACAGAGACAGGACAGGGAGGCTACAGCAGGATGTTACCACAGAAACAGAGACAGGGAGATTACAGGAGACTATTTCCATGGAGACAGAGACAGGAAGAGTACAGCAGACTGTTACCATGGAGACAGACACAGATACAGGTACAAGTACAGGGAGAGTACAGCAAGATGTTACCATGGAGACAGAAACAGGACAGGGAGAATACAGCAGGATGTTACCATGGAGACAGAGAACGGACAGGGAGGGAACAGCAGGATGTTACCATGGAGACAATGGTGTGTGTTGGGACCATAGACTGTATAAAGAAGTGAACTTAGGCTACGTTCAGACTGCAGGGCTTAACACTCAATTCCGATTTTTTTGTGAAATCCGATGTTTTTGCGAGGTCGTTCACATTTCCAATTAAATGCGACTTGTATTCGATCCCCTGTGCGAACAGTAAACGGCCCGAAAGTGTCCCGCATGTGCACTGGAGGACACGATGACGTCAACTGTAGCGAGCGTGCTCTGTGTTTACGGAAGTTGTCCAAACATGGACGCGAGCATTGAGCACCTGGCGATTTTAAAGTTCCTCTTGTACCGGAGCCAGAACATGAACAACTTACTTGTTTTAAGGAGGAGACTGAGAAGGAGAAGGACGAGGTTTTTTGGCTGTAGCGTTTTGTAAGACAGCGGCAGTGACGTCCGCTGAAAGGAACGTGTGGATGTGGAGACGTAGCCAAGAGTGGTGAGTGGTGATGTGCTTCGCTTCAGTGACACGGAGTTCATTAACAATTTTCGCCTACTTCAGCGCAGAATAGTGACGTTTGTGGCTTGTTTATAACGTGTAGGTCGAATGAATGCGCTTTGGCCGTTCAGACTGAAGTCGCATGTCAAAAGATCAGATATGTATGGATTTCAGGAGCACATATCCAAGTGATCTGATCTGTGCCGTTCAGACTGTCATTAAAAGATCAGATACAGGTCACATAGAAGCCAAAAAATCGGATTTGGGTCACTTCAGGCTGCAGTCTGAACGCCTAAGTGAGTGTGACGTCACCCATAGCTTCAGTCAAATGAAGCTCATGAGGCTGGCAGTTATAGGAGCACTCAGGTTCACTTCCTATTTGGAATGTGGCGGCTAGAGGGTGAGTTATGTCCCTTTCTATCGCTGGGACTCACCTGGAGGTTGGAAAGCTGAGTGAAGGCCTTTTCACAGCCGGGATGAGCACATTTGTATGGCCGGTCACCAGTGTGGATTCTGGAGGAATTACAAGAAAGATTAAAAAAGATTAACTAACACAATATGCACAATGTGTCAAATTACACTGGTATAATACAAATCTAGAGATAAAGATAAAAATCACAACTCAGTATGTTTATATTTATGTTTATATTTCCTGTAAGAACTAAACTCATCTCCTGCTCTTGAGACTTATTGACTATGATTTGTTAATTCTACATCTGCCAGTCTGACAGATCTGCCAGATCCATCAAACTGACCACACCTAGAAACAACAGCTAATAAGAGACACACCACAGCAGTCAGCGGACACCTCTGACGAAGACAGAAGTGTTTAGCTTTTTACAAAGTTGTCTTATTAAAAGAAAACACAAAGTTTCTAACACTACTATACTGCTTTATACAATGTCTGTAGAACAATTCACAACACAATATAATCCAACCAAATAATCCTTCCACTAATCCCACAGTATAAACCAGTTGGGCCGCTGACCTGGTGTGCTGCTGCAGATGGGACAGCTGTCTGAAGGAGTTCTCGCAGTAGGAGCAGTGATACGGTTTGATGCCCAGGTGGATGCGCAGGTGCTGGGACAGATACGAGGCGTTGGCGAAGGTTTTGGAGCAGTGTGGACACTTGTGGGGCTTGGCTTCTGTGTGCGACTTGGAGTGAAGCTGCATCTCCGACTTGGACAGGAAGGTCAAAGGGCACACTTTACATCTGGGAAAGAAGTTGAGAAATAAGAAGCTAATACCAAAATGTTTCTTTGTGTCATTTCCTAAAATTATTATTATTTCTTTGCATCATTACTGACAGTATGTGTCGAAAATGTTGTGTCAATGTGTCAAAACAGCACCTATAAATATATATTACTAAAAAAAAAGAGAGGTCAATCAATGTATCATTAGTTTTTCAAAATAAAACCAAAAATAAGAAAATGAAAAAACAATGGTTTTATATTGAAAAACAAATGAACGAATGATACATGGATTGAGGTCCAGCACAATTTTCATTTGTTGGATCTAAAATTGTAATGGTTCATATTGTGCTGTGGTAGTGGTTTTGTTTTCTTTGGTGGCTGCAGTTATTGGACTGGTGAAAACTGCCAATGCTAAAAACATTACAGTACACTACATCCCGACCTGTACGTCCTCCCCTCTTTGGGCGCCACGGTGACACAGCCCTGGTCGGCGAGGATGGGGTAGGGCACCACCAGCAGCGGTCCGGACGGGTTCTCTGCCTTGATCTTCTTCCTCCCGCGTGGGGCTTTAGGGGGCGGTCCCAGGAGCCCCGCCAGGCCCCCGGTCTTCATGTGGTCCATCCCCGGCGCGGTGGTCAGCCCCGAGAGGATGTTGACAGAGGGGGCGCTGCTGAGCCTGTTCTGGGAGCTGGAGGTGGGCGTGGTCGGGGTCAGGGCATCAGAGGAGCTGTGGGTGTCCGCTCTCGAAGAAGGAACTAAACCTGGAGGAGTGGAGATGGGTTATGGACAGTGTTGGGCGTAACGCGTCATAAAAGTAACAAATTACTGTAATGCGTTGCTTTTTTCTGTAACGCAGTAATGTGAAAGTGGTAATATTTTACTCGGTACAAATGTCAGTAATGCACGTTACAATGCATTTTTAACCTGGATTGAAGTGGTGGGTTTTTTTCGTTTTTCTTCATAAAAATTCCCTAAAATCACCACAATATCAGCAGCGGTGAAACGCCGGAGATGCGCCCGGGTAGACCGTGAGCGAGCAAAAGGGCCGACGCAGAAGTCCGAGCTCCATGGGGCTAATCGCAGCTGATGCCCGATCACGCTCGGGAGTTCTCTCAGGCGCGGCCCTAGATTCCAAGTTCTAGTCCAAGATTAGTCCTGGTTTGGTCCGGGTTTACTCTTGGTTTAGACCTGGTTCAGTTCTGGTTTAGTTCTGGTTTAGTCCTGGTTCAGCTCTGGTTTAGTCCTGGTTTAGTCCTGGTTCAGTTCTGGTTCAGCTCTGGTTTAGTCTTGGTTTAATCCTGGTTCAGTTCTGGTTCAGCTCTGGTTTAGTCCTGGTTTAGTCCTGGTTAGTCCAGGTTCAGTTCTGGTTTAGTCCTGGTTTAGACCTGGTTCAGTCCTCCTGTTTCAGTCCACAGTTCAGTCCTGGTTTAGTCCAGGTTCAATTCTGGTTCAGTTCTGGTTTAGTCCTGGTTCAGTCCATATACGACGCAAAAGTTCAGCATCTTCACAGTTATTTTGGTGAGAGTAACTTAAAGTGCTGCAATAGTTGTGTAATGTTTTACATTTTAAATACAGTAATATTGTAATGTAATGAATTACTTTGAAATGGCAGTAACAAGTCATAAATAACACATTACAGTTTTAAAGTAACTTGTCCAACAGTGGTTATGGATGCGCTAATTTCTTATGAATGCGTAAAGGTCCTAAATTATGCAAAATTTACTCTTGTGAGGTTTAAGTCATGTTATAATGTTGTTACCTCATCAAAAACAAACCTCGAGTTGTGTTTTGTTTCATTCACACATGTTTGAGAAGCACTTTATTATTAGTCTGTCTACATCTATAAAGCTCAAAATGCTCTGTTCCACCTTGTGATGTCATGAAGTGGTAGAAGTTTTCAAGTTACCAGCTCCTTTTACTTTTAGTTCAGTAGAGATTGGCAATTCCAGGGCTGAAATTATCCAAGTGATTCTAGTGAAAGTGTATGGAGTTTAAAAACACAGTGAAGCACTTGCTGTGTTACTACATGACATCACAAGGTTAGGGTGACCGGGTTTTTAAACTCAAAAACTGGGACACCCCCGTTTTGTGGTGGTTGGTAATAATAAAATTGTCAAACGAGTGAGTAATTAAGGAAAATTGTTCTGTACTCGGCCCATTCATGGTGAACATGTGAGTCAGTGTAGTGACTCACTTGACTCAGTGTAGTAGTACTTTTCTTTGTGTTTTGGTCATTTTTAAGCAGCTTTTCTGTATTTTACCTGAACAGATGACAATTTATGCCTCTATTTACTAGGAGTGTAATGATATTCAAGTCTCACGATACAATATAATCACGGTATGAACCTCAAGGTACGATATTTATTACGATATGGTGGGAAGGCTCATGATTAGGGATGTAACGATATCTAAATCTCTCTTTACGATATTTTCACGATGTACATCTCACGGTACGATATTTATTGCGATATTTTGTAGAGGCAAACAAACAAAACTGTGAATATGCTACTTTTCCCTCTTAAAATGCCTTGACAAAACTTAATCCAAAGAACTAAGACTTAAAAATGCTTAGAACTGTTATTACTTCTTGTCGTCCGCACTGAATTAGAGCAAAGGATCATGGTCTATGTAGTTCCCTGTGTATTTTTTAGCTATTGTTGCACCATAACTTTTAATTTAAGCAAAGAGACTTGTGATTTGATTTATTGTGATGGTCCACGATATTATTGTGAGAACTTTGACGATACGATATCACGTTACATCCCAACTATTTACTGTTGGCAAGGATCAAATTGTTCAAAAATAGGGACAAATGGGACAATTCTTGTATAAAACTGGGACAAATCAGTAGTTTTGGATAAATCTGCTGGGACAAGGGATGAAAAAAAAACACATACTGGTTATAATATGACTCTTGAAGTGTAATCTGTAATACCACATAGAAAAATAAGCAAATACTATTATTGTGTGTTGAAAATGACTTTATTGTGTAAAAAAAATTGCTTTTAAAAGTGTAAAAGTGGAGTGTTTTAAGTCTCGTCTTAAGACCCACTTTTATTCTCTGTCTTTCCGTACTGCGTGAGTTGTGTGGTCTCTCTGTCTTTTACTTTATTTATTTGTTTATTTTTATCAGTTTTATTTTTTGGTACTACTTTTATGTATTGATTTAGTTGTTTTTGTTCACTGATTTCATTGTTATTATTTTGTTCATTTATTCTGTTGGTTGAAACATAATTCTGCAGTTTTTTTTTGGAAGTGGGATGTTTTATATTGCTACATGAAGCATTTTGGAAGCTGTTTTGTTTATAAAATGTGCTATACAAATAAAGTTGGATTGGAAAATGATCATTTGAGTATCAAAATAAGCAATAAGTACATTTATGTCTCTCTTTACTGTTGGCAGGGATCAAATTGGTCAAAAATAGGGACACCTGGGACATTTCTTGCATAAAACTGAGACAAATCAGTAGTTTTGAATAAACCTGCTGGGACAGGGGGACACAGGGCTCAAAACTGGGACTGTCCCGGGTAAATAGGAGCGCAAAGTGGAACAGAGTTTTTTTTTGTTTGAGAGAAGAAGTCAGCCTAAACATGCAGGGTTTGTGAGTTAAACATGTGAAAAGGTCAGGTCCAGGTCATGTTTTTGATGAGGAAACAACATTATTAAGTAACACGGGCCTTATAAATCTGCTCTTGGGTCTTTGTGTCAGTAGCATAAATTAGTTTCAGTTTGACATTTACTTCAGCAATTGTTATAACTTCAAATTTTGTTATCATGACGGCTAATGTCAAAAAAACACAGAAAAACTTTTCACATTCTCACTTTTTCTTTTGTATTTTGCGGATAAGCGCTCACGTATTGACTGTCCTATTTATAATTTCAGGAAGTGAAAGTACATAGAAAAGCCCGGGCTTTCAGACTCATTGCTTGCTAAAACCACAATTGTGACTAACCTGTTCAGCGAATGCCACATGAAATTTCTCAATCTGAGACTCCTCCCACCTGTTCTGTGGTTGAGCCTCGCAGACTGCTCGCTCAGTTGTCTCATGTGCCAGTCTTCCCATAATCCTTTGGCCTTCACAGCAGCTTTATCATCCATATTTACATCTGAAATTAAGCAAACAGTAATTATAGTTATTTATGAGATGGGTTTTGAAGACATATTACGTGTTATTTTTTCAGCTTTTTCAGTTCCAATACCAATTTCGATGCCCAGAAGTACTGAATTTTGTTACTTAAAGGTGCATTGTGTAACTTTTATGGTGGAGGATCCATCACCTGCATGTTTCTACGGAGATATTTTGTTATTTATTTATTTATTTCAAACCTGCACATACAATTTATCTAACAACATAACAGTACAGACGCAGGTTGGAAAAGGAGATGGATGAAACTTAAACATGTCCAATCCCGTCCCACACTTCACACAACAACACTTCAACTATTCAAGACAGACAAAACAAACATTTACACACTCATCCAGATGAGGGTGATCAGATTTTCAAACTCAAAACCTCGGACATCCCTGGTTTGTGGTGGTTGGTAATAATGAAATTGTGAATCAAGTGTTTAATTAAGGAAAATTGTCAGTATAGTCATATTTTCTTTGTGTTTTGGTCATTCTTATGCAGCTTTTCTGTATTTTACCTAAACAAATGACACTTTATGTCTCTCTTTACTGTTGGCAGGTGTCAGATTTGTCAAAAATAGGGACACCTGGGACATTTCTTGTATAAAACTGGGACAAATCAATGGTTCTGGATAAATCTAATGGGACAGGGGACTCGGCCCAGGTAAAGAGGGACGTCTGGTCACCCTATACTTGCTCTGTATCTGTGCAATAGAAAAGTTGAGGTTAAAACTAAGGTGTATTTATGTTAGATCTGAGCTATCTATCTATAATAAAATTGTGAATTGAGTGCGTAATTAAGGAAAATTGTTCTGCACTCGGGCCATTCACGACTAACTTGAACCAGTATAGTCACATTTTCTTTGTGTTTTGGTCGTTTTTAAGCAGCTTTTCTGGATTTTACCTAAACAAATGACAATTTACGCCTCTCTTTACTGTTGGCAGGTGTCAGATTTGTAAAAAAATAGGAGATTTTTTGTATAAAACTTGAACAAATCAATGGGTTTGGACTGGGACTGTCCTGGGTAAATAGGGACGTCTGGTCACCCTATACTTGCTCTGTATCTGTGCAATAAAAAAGCTGAAGTCAAAACTAAGGTGTATTTTTGTTTGATTTGAGCTTTCTACGATAATGTAAATAATTTTTAGCCTATTTATTATTATACCACTAATCAGAAACAGTGTTTTTCTATGTATTTCTATTGGTAAAACTGCACAACACATTTTAATCATTGCAAATTCATTAATATTTTTCAAAAGCATACAAAATAGGGTGACCAGATTTTCAAAATAAAAACACCCCTAGTTTGTGGTGGTTGGTAATAATAAGATTGTGAATCGAGTAATTAAGGAAAATAGTTCTGCACTCGGCTCATTCACGACTAACTTGAAACAGTATAGTCACATTTTCTTTGTGTTTTGGTCATTTTTAAGCAGCTTTTCTGTATTTTACCCAAACAAGTGACAATGTATGCCTCTATTTACTGTTGGCAGGGATCAAATTGGTCAAAAATAGGGACACCTGGGACATTTCTTGAACAAAACTGGGGCAAATCACTAGTTTTGGAAAAATCTGCTGGGACAGGGGACATAGATCTCAAAATTGGGACTGTCCCTGGTAAATAGAAATGTCTGATTACCCTAATCCACAACACTCTCTGACTCAGGGCATCACTGTCTCTCCTACCAAGTATTTTTTCATTGTTTCTCTATTAAATAACTTTTTAAACTGAATCAGACTCCTACACACTTTTAATTCTTCTGATAATCAGCTCCACAGATCAACTCCACGCACTAGTTCTAAATTTCGGCTGATAAAATGTTGTATTACCTCTAAATTTGTAGTTATGATGAGCATTTTGATCTGAATGAGCTGGAAGAGAGTTGCTAAATGTCCTGAACATTATTTGAGCTGTTTTAAAGTTTAACAGATCAAGTTTTAAGTTTGATGATTTTAAAAACAGTGGGTTTGTTGGATGCGTACAGTGGACATTGTGAGCAATACTAATGACTCTTTTTTGCAGTGAAATTAAGTGAAGTAAATAAATGAGTCTTACAGAGTTTCCAAAGACTTCAACACAATAATATTAATAACAAAAAACAAATGAGTGATACAGTAACAGTAGAGCATTCTGGGTTAATAAATGACTTGATCGTTTCCTCACTCCTACACAGTTAGCAACTTTTGTCCGCTGGAACTTATATGAGGTTTCCATGACATTTTCTCATCTATTATAATTCCAAAAAATACATTGCTCTGCCTGGAATGTTCCACAGTGTGACATTAAACAGCTTTACCTTACGTTTATTCAGTTACAGTGGTTTTAAAGCTCAAAAGTACCAAGAAAAACAGGTGTTCGGACGGAGAGCAAGGTCGGCTCTCCACAGATCTGACCTGTAACTTGGTCTGTTTTGGTCTCCAGGAGGATAAAAAGCAAATCAATCAGCAAAACAGTGAATATGTCAAATGTGCTGCATAAACAAGTTTCCTTCCTCTGAACAAGCAACAAAACTGTAGTGCTGTAACAAAATAATTTAATAAAATATACCAAAAAAATAACTCTTGGTGATATCGATAAAGCAGCCCATGATATCGATACTGTATCATCATATTAAATGATATATCGATACTTCTTTTTGATATTTTTGCGCACCCCTAGCCCCCATGCTCACTTCCTATTTGGAACATGGAGGCTAGTGGATTAGCTATGTCCATTTACTAGGAGTGTAACGGCACATGTATTCAGGCCGAACCGTTTTGGTACAGGACGTTCGGTTCGGTACAGGGCCGTGCACGAGTGAGTTTGCGCAATTTGTGTGTGTTTATATTCTGCCACTACGTGTGCACCTACACAGAAGGCTCGGCTCTTTAATATTCACGACGGAACTTGTCCGGGATTGAGTGTTTCCTACAGCGCTTTATAGTTAGGGCAGCCTCCTTGACAACATTTGCCCTTGGCCTTGACTACGCCCGTTCGAACCAAGTGAATCCTCGCAAAACTACGGTCGTCGTGCCACAGTCCTCACTTTCGCCTTTCACGAGCATGAAATCTCCGCTCCTCACACCCCAGACCCACGAGCTCTGTCCCGAGCTAAAGATTATTTTGAACCGCTGAGGACATTGTAACTGCAGCAGATCTGCACTTACTGCAGACAATGTGGACAAGTTGTTTTTTCTGGCCAAAAATATGAAGACTGAGTAAAACTTCATCGTGGTACTGTTAGTGCTGCGCTTTACTTTTTGAAAAGTTTAGTTTACTGTTTACAAGGAATGTATTTTTTTATATTTCATACATTTGTTTCTCATGTATAATTTATATTTAGAAATGTATATATAGAATATTTTATTAAACTTATGAGTATTACCAAGCAGCACTTTGCATTAATTTTATTTTCGTTTAATGAAAACACAAATAAACGACAAGCAAATGGTATTTCATTTTTTTCCCATACTGTACCAAAAATGAACTGAACCATGACCTCAAAACCGAAGTACGTACCGGACCATGAGTTTTGTGTACCGTTACACCCCTACCATTTATATATACAGTCTATGCTTTATACAATTATGAATCAGTTTTCTCTTTTCCTGTGTACCTGGTCCGGAGCTGGTGGCGGGGCGGGCGTGGAGAGCGATGTCCGGTTGCCCTGAGCCCTGCGTGTGGTGCCCCGGTACTGACGGCTGCTGCTGTGGTGTCTGAGGCTTGGGTCCTGTGATGCCGTGAGCAGCGCCCCCTTCAGGAGAGGGGGAGGGCGGCACCAGGAGAGGCTGTTGGGACGGTGTGGAGGTAGGGGGCAGGTGCAGGGGGCGGATCTTCTCACCCATGAGCTGCTCCTTGATCTTGTTTATGAGCACGAGGTTGTCCAGCTGAAAGGGTTAACGCGTCATGCTCAACAGAAACAGCCACCAGTGTCAATGTCTCCTGCTACAACCAAAATCTCCACTGATATTTTTAAAAGATTTTGTTGCTTGTAGGTTGTGACACTAACGTATGATCTACAAGAAGAACTTAAAGGTCCTATATTACATAAAACTGACTCTTGTGAGATTTAATCCACGTTGTCATGTTGTTACCTCATCAAAAACAAACCTGGAGTTGTGTTTTGTTTCATTCACACGTTTGAGTAATCCTGCATTATTACTAGGGCTGGGTATCATTAAGAAGTTGTCGATACGATACATATCTTGATACAGTGCACTTTCAGTTTGATACAATATATTTCAAAACGATTTGCTCCGGTTCAATAAAAATAAAGGCTAAATCATGGCTGTGATACTAAAAGTCTTTCTTAAACCGCTTCTTGTGCAAAGTTAATATAAAACATACCCATTTTAAGAGATAAGAGTTTAATATAAGAACATAAGAAATTCCTTCCTCTCAACAAGCAACAAAACTGCAGCGCTGTAAAAAAAAATAAGTGAGTAAAATATGTCAATAAACACTCTTGGCGATATATCGATACAACAGCCCATGATATTGATACTGTATTGTCACATTATGCAAGACGATATATCAATATTTCGATATTTTTTGCACACCCCTAATTATTACTGTAGTCTGTCTACATCTCCAAAGCTCAGAATGCTCTGTTCCACCTTGTGATGTCATGAAGCAGTAGTTTTCAAGTTAACAGCTGCATTTTACCTTTTCTTCAGTAGAGACTGACATTAGCAAAGGTAAAATTATGAAAATATTGTATGAGTATGAAGAGTATGAAGATTTAAAACACAATGGAGCACTTCCTGTATAACCAACCACATGACATCACAAGGTGGAACACATGTTTTCTGTTTGAGAGAAAAACCCAGCCTAAATATGCAGGGTTTTTGTGTTAAACATGTGTGAATGAAACAAAACAAAACAGAACTCCAGGTCTGTTTGTGATGAGGAAACAACATTATAACATAGATCAGAAAATAGTGTAATATGGAGTTTGGTGAAGTTTATAATTTTATCATCAAAAATAGCCTAGGTTTATTGTTCATATTATTTCAAACTATAAAACATCAAGAAAGCAACTCGTAGGTAAAACTATTACAGATCTATAGACTAAGTCAGGGTCTTCCTGCAGAAACTGGTGTCTGAAGACTCTCAAACTGGGCTAAGAATAGCTGTGATTGTGAAGGAAATGTCAGAGCTGGAGCAGACGTACCTGGCCGGGCATGGAGGGAGGAGGAGGCCAGAAGTACGGATTATTGAACCGAGGCTCCGCCATCCTGACACAAGACAACACATGAACTTAAAACAGTGGTACAGATATTTGTCTGAATCATAGACAGTAAATATAACTTTGTTATACAAATATACAGTCTATGGTCTGTGCTGGTTTGTAAGTGGTTTCAAACACAAAGAGCACTGGTGTATTTTTTTACACAAAGTACAAAGGATATTATACAGATGAATCACAGTATTTTGTTCTCTCTGTAGCTTTATAATGTTACTAACACCAACTGTTTTACAAGGTCCAAATGTCATATTTTAAGGTTTTATGTAATATTTCTGTAATAGCAACGCTTACACTAAAAGGAGTAAAAACATTTTCAGCCTTAAATTCTTATGAAAACATGTTAGAATGTTAATAACTTTATTTCACCAAACCCTCTCCAAACGTCACCTGTGTTTATTCATAATTTATACACGGTGTATTCTCCAAAAGATTCATTGAATTACTGTTTCAGGTTTTTAGATTCTCATTCCTTTGTCTTGTCGTGGACCCTCCTTAAATGTGATCAAATGTAGTTTGAAACGCTGTTAAAAATCCTAAAAGTCATAAAGCCAACTTTGGAGTCGGTGAGTTTTCGGACATGTGCGCGGTCCGCGGACCTCTCCAGGACCAGCGGTGCGTCCCAGACACTCTCAGACACTCTTAAAACATTTCCAGACAAAAGAGAAACAAAAATGGCAGCCTTATTTTTATAAGGCGGGGACGCCATATTCTGCAGACCCCAAAAATGTACGCGTTGGACTCTTTTGTGTTTGGTGAGAGCTGATTTTGGTGCTAAAGAGCGCGCGGCGGCGGACACAAAGGTGTGTTTATCATGTCACAGGCTTGAATGATTGTTTACAGCGGCTTTGAATAGCCCGGCCTCCCTTAAAAAAACTGACACTTCCTACAACAACCATCCATGCCCCGTAAAAAACACACAGAGCACGGAAACAGCGGAGAGAGGCGAGCTCCAGATCAGGGACATCGCTGTTACTACAGCGCGTCCGCACAATGCTTCGTCTGCTCACAGACACTAAGCCATGTTGTCCACTTTCCCTTTTTATCCCCATTCTGCAACTTTTGGGCGAACAGCAGCTGCACAATTCAATGCACTCGCCATATGCATCTTACAATCCAAATGTATTTATTGCATACTGCACGGAGACACACGCATTGCCTTTTACACATACAAAGACGTGCACACGTACCTTTTTACCCGCTTGCAGATAATGTCTTTTGCAGCTATTTTTTTTAAAGCTAGATGTTCTTCTCTCTCCCTGCTGCTTCCAGACGGACCACCGCTTCCGGGTCGCTTTGTTCACTTCTGGGTGTTGCACAGCAGCAGCAGCGATGCTACCGCTAATCGCAGTTTCAAACTCACGGATCTATTGAACAAACAACAAACTACACACATAATGCACATCTGCAGGTTTATCCTGTGCACGCTGTAGTCCGAGTTTGTGATAAGAAAGAAGGCATTGCATGGTCTAGTTACATTACAGAGTGAATAGATCTGCAAAAATGGCAAAAGCCCTGGAGAAAAATCAAACATTAGGAGTCAGACATGCATTTTTATAAAAGGGGTAAAAAGAGAAACTCGTGTCTGACAAGAGTCTGTATTTGGGAATCTTCTATTACAGAGTATTACTGTAGTTGTAGCAGATTCACATAGAGTCTAGGAGCTGCACACAAGAGAAAAATAGAGAAATAGGTTTTGGATTCAAGCAGGATTCAAGAAATTAATAAATTTATCTACCCTTTTAGTTAATGACCAACGTAAAAGTGGTAAAGTACTGCACTTTACTGTAAAATTTTAGGTATATGTACTTTACTTAAGAACATTTTAAAGTGGATGCTTTTTACTCTGCTACATTTTTGAACTGAAAAGTAAGTAAAGTATTTTTTATTATTGTTTGAGACCAGCTGAAAAGGCTGAGGGTTTATTTTTAACATGTTTGTAGTTTGAGTAAACAGAAATATACAAATACAAAAACATTTTCTTTCATTTGTTTCTTTTGAACAAAATTCAGCTCAAATCTTTATCAAAATCACTCCATTTGAAGTTTTATTAAACCTCAAAATCTGTGTGAAATGCTTCTACTTTTTACATTTTTAAACAGGTACTTTAATACTTTTACTTAAGTTGACTTTTACTACTCACCTACTACATACTTTTACTTGAATGTTTTTGCTCCAGTATCTGTACTTTTACTTAAGTAACAAATTTGTGTTTATTATTGTATCATAAAAACTCTGTTGCTTATACTTTAGCAGGTGAACCATGATATGAAATGAGAATGAGGAGACACGAAGACAAACATCTCCCCTGGGGTTTTGACACTCAAGAGGAGGAAAGGGAGAGGCTGAGGTGGTGGATGGTTCTGCTGCTGCGGTGGAGCAAGCACTGTCAGCCGGATACAGGTGAGTGTGTTTTATTATTAGGGATGTCAAAAAGGTTATGCAGACACTAAAAGTAATAGTATGAAAACTGTAAACTTTAAATATGACTAGACTCGAGTAGTGACTGGTTTAGAAATAAAACTTGTAAAAATCTATAATGTTTAAGTATGTATAGTCAATATAATAACAACACTTGAATGAGAATTATTGACTCTTATAGACAGTGATGGAAGAAGTACTAAATTTTGTTAAGTAAAAGTACAGATATTATTAGTCTGTCTACATCAGGGGTCTCCAACCTTTTTCCTTCGGTGAGCTACATTTACAAAACAAAAATGCCAGAGAGCTACTCATTTTGGAGCCTGCAAGAAACTGAGACGATTATAAGAAAGAGATCAAGCCTTTGGGAACAGTTAGATGCCTACAAAACATAAACCATTGTTCATTTATTAGTGCACAAGGTTGGGCTTCAAAGTTATACATTTACAATGGTAACAGGCATGTAGTTAACCAATTTTTGTTATTCAGCACAGTGGTATAATTCAGAAATCCTTTGGCGAGCTTCTTGGAAGGGGGTGGAGAGCCACTGGTAGTTCCCGAGCTACAAGTTGGAGTTCCCTGCTCAAAATCTCACTATGTTCAAAATGCTCTTTTCCACCTTGTGATGTCATGTGTTGATAGTTTTCTGTTAACTTTTACCTTTAATTCAGTAGAGATTTGCATTTCCAGAGCTGAAATTATCCACATGATTCTAGTGAAGGTGTATGGAGTTTAAAAACACAGTGGAGCACGTCCTGTATGACATCACAAAGTGGAACAGCATGTTTTCTGTTTGAGAGAAGAACTCAGCCTAAATATGCAGGATTTGTGTCAGTGTGAGTGGTGGAAGTAGTACCTAATTTCATTACGTAAGTAAAAGTACAGATACTGGAGTTACAAAAAATAACTCAACTAAAAGTATCACATGAAAAAAATTTACTTACTTGTCACAAATATGCGACAAACTCTTTGGATGGAGATATAAGCCGGGATAGCAGCTGCATTGCTGTTAGTGCATTTGCTGGACCTTCGTAGGAACCTTTGGCAAACACTTGTTTCTAATTGTCGCAAATTTGCAACATACACAAATTTCTATTTATTATTTTTGCTGTAGTCAAATTAATATTCTCAACTTAATGTACCTACTATGTAATCTACTTAAAGACAAAAACACACACAAAACTTTTTTTTAAAATATATATATACATCTATATAAATTCAGGTATTAAGGAATTAAAGAACTGTTTAATAACATGTACTTAAAGGTGCATTATGTAACTTTTTAGATGGGGGTCTGTCACCTGCTTGTTTCTGTGGATATGCCATTGCTCTGCCTGGAATCTCGATTTACCGGTCAATCTTCGTTCCTACTCTCACCTATGGTCATGAGCTCTGGGTAGTGACCGAAAGGACAAGATTGCGGATACAAGCGCTCGAAATGAGTTTCCTCCGCAGGGTGGCTGGGCGCTCCCTTAGAGACAGGGTGAGGAGCTCAGTCACACGGGAGGAGCTCGGAGTAGAGCTGCTGCTCCTCCACGAGGAGCCAGCTGAGGTGGCTCGGGCATCTGTTCCCGATGCCTCCTGGACGCCTCCCTCGGGAAGTGTTCCGGGCATGTCCCACCGGGACCCAGGACACGCTGGAGGGACTATGTCTCTCGGCTGGCCTGGGAACGCCTCGGGATCCCCCTTGAAGAGTTGGAGGACGTGTGTGTGGAGAGGGAAGTCTGGGAGGCCGTCCTCAGACTGTTGCCCCCGCGACCCGACCCTGGATAAGCAGAAGAAAATGGATGGATAGATGGGTCTGTCACCTGCTTGTTTCTATGGACATGCCATTGCTCTGCCTGGAATGTTCCACAGTAGTAGTAGTAGTAGTAGTAGTAGTAGTAGTAGTAGTAGTTCTTCGGTCAATTAACATAATCATACATCATATTACAATGATTTAACACAAAAAAACAAATTATGCAGTTAATGCATATCAATAAGGTTATTCTATAGACCGAAGGGGTTTAGGCTGAAGTTTAACACTTGTTTTGTCAAACCCTATTAACATATAGAACAGGACACAAGATGGCAGAACTATTTACAGAAAACAACACAAAACTCCTCTTTATGAGAGCAGGAAAGGAAATGTCCCTAAATCTTTTAGTATATACATAAACAACACAGAACACAATCCAATACACGTCGATGTTCATATACACACACACACACACACTCTGACCCTGTACATGTTAATATTTATACCTATTGGTTTATAAATACATTTAAATATATAAGTATAATTGGGGGTTACAGTTAATCTGTAAATTCAATGGGGTAAAATATGATTTATTGTTTTTCTCTGTATTTCTCTATAATTTTAGTCTTATATATTTTTATAAATGTGTAAATTGTTTTAGAGCCTTTTAAAGTTTCATCGACAGTGTAACATTAAACAGCTCAAGCTTATATTTATCCAATTACAGGTGGTTTTATAGCTCAAAAATACCTAGAAAAACATGGCATTCTGACTGTGAGCGGGGTCGCCTCTCCACAGATCTGACCTGTAACTTGGAGCTTGTTCACACGAGAACGCTTGCGGGTAAAAACGACAAAATATGTTATTGGAAGTGCCTTTTGTTTAGACAGTGACTGCATTTTTGGGGCTTAAAAACACAAAAATCTGAAACCACCCTCCAGAGTGGAAAAGTTGAATACGCTCGTGTTGTTTCCGTCTACACTGCCCAAAACGCAAAACTCTGGTCAGATCTGCTCACGTCACATACGAATTTACGTCACATACATCACCACCTTGCGCCACCACCGAGCCGCCTGACATGCACATCCAACCGAATTCCACACACTCTCGCGTCACCGTATGCTCCCGAAAACACTCGTCTAAAAGTGAAGACGTGACCCCACTTTTGCGTCTTCTGTTCAGACCGTCATCATATAAACATAACCTTGGTCTGGGTTGATCTCCATGAAGATAGAAAGCTTTAATGCCGTACTGTGAAACATTCCAGACAAAGCGATAACATCTCCATGGAGCAAAAGCATTTGAAGGACCCTCCACCAGACTAAAGGTTCACTGTGTGACTTTTCTGGTCGAGGGTCCGTCAAATGCTTTTGCTCCATGGAGATGTTATCGCTACTCACACAAATCTCCATATATGGCCAACTTTTTTAAAATAACCTTTCACCTATAACGTAAACATGCAGTGGAGAATTTTATACATTTCCTGTTTAATATGTACGCATTTTGAGGTGAGTAAGTCTTCGCCCACTTCCACAACCTTAGATAGAAATCTGCCTCGCTTCCTCATTGTTCTTAAATATTAGACTGTTTTCTGATCTATGTTATACTGTTGCTTCCTGATCACAAACAGACCTGAAGTTGTGTTTTGTTTCATTCGCACATGTCTAACACACAAACCCTGCATATTTAGTCTGAGTTCTCTACTGAAATAAAGGTAAAAGGAGCTGTTAACTTGAAAACTAATGTAGATGTAGACAGACGAATAGCACAGGATTACTCAAACACGTGTGAATGAAACAAAACACAACTCCAGGTCTGTTTTCGAGGAGGTAACAACATTATAACATGGCTTAAAGCTCCATTTAAGAGTCCATTTTGCGAAATATAGGACCGTTTGAAGCTGTTATAAAGACTGGCGGATCAAATGAGGCAGACAAAAAGTCCAAAAATTAACAGGATTTATTGATAACAAAAGATGTGCAGGTTGATGGGAGCTGATTTGGAGGCTGGGGTGAGAATCCAAGGAGGCAAAACAAAACAAAAAAAAAAGGCAAACTAAGTACTGGGAAACAGGCAACAATTCAAGAAACAAAACTGGAGCCCAATAGTTGTACAACGTAGGATAAAGTGTTGATCTGTAGAGGTGTGGAT